CAGTCTTTCAGTATAGCCGCCTAAATAGAAAAAAAACCCATTTGACTGACCAAGATTACGCCAAAATTACTTTTAACAGATTAATTTTAACAGATTATTATCATTTTTAACTCTAGCTCTACATTGCTAGTCAGAGTTGTAGTGCAGCCACCTGCCACTAGTGAGTGCTGTGGGGCTCTGGTTGAAGACTACAGCTGTAATGGACTACTACCTGAGTGTAAACAAGCATAAATGACAGATGACATCTTGGCAAGATTTTGATTTATGGAAACTGAGATAAAAAAAAAAAGTTGTGTGTAGACCTGTGACTGTTTGTTAATCTGGTATGACTACTCAGGCAGAGCAATGTGTAACCAGCGCTAGCTTGTTGACATTAATCTGCGAGGAGGATCGAAGGCTGGTGGTGCCAGCTCTGCTAATGTAAGCCGCACTCTGCAAAACAGTTTGACGCCATCTACCTGCAGACTCTGAGATCTTGTGTTGAGTTGAGGCAAATTGGCTGATCGAAATGTAAATGACCGGGATTAAGATTAAAACAACTAAATTTTCTTCATCCATTTGTCACACGGCTCTATACAGATTGCATCACTGCAGCTTTGTGTCTTCCAAAAGCCTGTGATTAAACTGAGGTGAACTTCAGGGAGCTCTTTTGATTCCTCTGATAAGACCCCCAGTCCTATTAGCCGGAGCGGTCCCAGTGTGAAAGCTGAGCGCTGGCCTCACACAGCCACTCTTATCTTAATCCTTCATCAACACACACCTAATCTGACCACAGCTGCCAATGCTGATAAATTTGATGCTTCTCTGGGAGAATTCAGAGTCCAAAATCAAACTGGTACAAACTTTTGGGTGCTATATAAATAACAACAATTGTTTATGATGTCTTTGCTAATTTACAAGCAATTTCTACTGTTTTCACAGGGTATATTTTCTTTTGGTGCTAAGGTGCGTTGTGGTTGACAACATCACACTTTCCGGCTTCTGTGTTCCTGTGTGTTTATGACATACAGAAGTGTGTTCCAGCCAGAGCAGCTATGGCAAGCAGAGCTTTTAACACCCTTGAAATAGCTAAGCAGGTATTTTAATTGCTTTACCCTGCCATAGCTCAAAATGTTATAGGAGCAAAAAAGGTTTATCCTTTCCCATGCATAGCTCTGGTTTTTTAGAAACACTATGTCACTGTTGGGGAATTTGGCCCAATGAAAAGGTAAATTCCAGGATTTTAATATCGTAATAAATATTCAGGTGGCTACATCTTTATTTCCCCATTGTTGTCTATGACTTTTGTCCATTTCCTTCCACTTTCAATCTTAATCCTATTTGTCTTTCGAACCACTCCTTTCGCCATTAAGGCCACATTTCTGGCACAACTGCACAACTACATCCACTAAGAGACTACAGTTCTGTGTTAGTGAGGGAAAATTTATGATGCAGGTTGGCCTGTTTGTCTTTAATCATCGTGGAGTAATAGCAAAGTCATGTGCACGAAGCCTCACAATGAGGTGCTGAAGTACTTCATGAGTAGGAAACTTCACACAAACACAGGAAGCTCAGCGTTTCTGACTGAGGGCAGGAGTCTCTGCTGCGGCGCTGCAGGGACTGATGGGTTGCTCAGATTAGCTGGGGCCAGAGAACCTGCAGTTCCTACTCTTTATTGTTGGCCAGGCTGTCTACTGAAAGGCATCAGAGCAAAGATCAGCGGGCTATAGTGCTAAAATCCTCAGACAAAGCTAAATGCAGATATATCATACACATGTAACATAATGGTTTTCAATAGTGTAGAGAAATGTTCAGTTCATAAGAGCTGAAAAGATCATTTAAAAACTTGTGATTTTAAAAAAAGCATTCACACAAACAATGTACTGCTGGGTTTGATACTATTACCAAGAGCCTTTCATTTAAATGTCATTTCAGTATTGAGTAAGAAATTATGAATACTGTCAGAGTTGTTAGGGTGTCTATACACTTGAGTCTGACATTTTATTGAATATAAACTCAGGGGAATTAAAAACATCAACCCCATTCTTCTGTGAACTGCAGCATGAATGGGACGTGCAGCAATGTGCAACTACAAGGTCTAACAGTGCCCTCTAGTGGTGAGAAAATGTCACTCTTTCATAGTCTGCAAAGCATTTACGCTTCATTTACTCAGGCTAAGGTCTGTTAAGGTCGAGGTCTCTTAACTTTCCTCCTGTGTTAGATTTTACTACGCACTAACCTACGCACCCACCATAAGGGTCAGTTTTGACCCGTGTCTTAAATCAGCTGTAAATTTTTAAATTACACTAAAAACATTTCTCTATCATTCAATTTGTTTTCTCGTCTCTAGTTTACCTTGTTAGGCTTCATTATCCATGAAAATATTGCTTATTATATTTTTTGTTGTGATCCTCTGGACCTTTCTTTGTCAGTATACCCCTCATACAGACATCTATACTGAATTGATCTCACATGTCTGGACATGCCCAATGTTGTTTATAGTGTGGTGCCTGACAGTGCCCATATGATTTCAGTTTTTGCTCTAATTAATAGATATTAATCTAACTGGATTAACAGCGACCCTAACACGACAAGTGCCATAATTTTAATCAGAGAATTTTACAATTTAGTAAATTTAATTTTTTATTTTCATTTTGTTGAAATAGAGTGTCCTGACAACATCAAAAAGTCTTGATGCAAAAAAGCTTATTTAAGTGGTTCTTTTAGGCATTTAAAAACAAAAAAGGGTCAGTACAGACCCTAACACAGGAGGAGGTTAAATTGGGTCTAAGAAGAAGTGAGTTACACAACTTAATCATTGTTCAGACTCACATGTAGTTTGTCACAGTGACACATTATTTTGCATTCATTATTTTCAGTAAAGTGACTGTGAGTTTAACAAAAAATAGCAATATAAGTCAATAATTAGACGGTGATTCTATTGTATGAACACATCCTCATGAGAAAGAACATCAACAATAACTTAGTAAAGATGTATAAATAAAGCTTAGGGGGTCACTGCCTGCCAGTGATTTCTAGTCAAAGTCAAGTCAAGTCAAAGTCAAATTTATTGTCAAATATGTTATACATGTTAAACATACCAGCACAGATGAAATTTCAGTCCTCTCAGACCCACGGTGCATACGAATAAACTATAAGAATAAAACTATAAAAGTGTAAATATAGAATAAACAACTAAGCTAAACAAAAGACTTCCTTAAATACTCTCAATTTACAAAATAAAGAAAACAATATAAACAGCATAACAGTGTAAACAGTGTAACAGCAAAAATATAAGAAAAAAACCACTGTGCCACAACTGTTGCAGTTCTACCACTGTGTAATACCATTCAGGCCCTTTTGCATGTAATTTTGTCTTAGGTAAAGATTGACTTGCTTTGCACTGAATTCACTCTTCAATCAATATTATTTTCCTTTTCAATAAAAAAAAACAAGTTATATAACTGCAGCTGTGTAGCTATATAGGCAAAGTACTCCCAAATGAGGTAAGCCTACTGACTTTCTTAAAGCACAACCAATGGCAGGTTTTACTAAAGAAACGTGACACAGACAAAGTCATTTTGAATAAATTGCGTTGAAATACTCGCTACCAAATATAGAAACAAGTATAATCAATTCTCTGTCTTCCTGTTCAACAAAACAAATGCATACCAAATGTCAAGTCAAATTCATCACCGTAATATCTGGGAATTTACACGATAGAATATTGCAGGTAAGCTTTTCACAAAAAAACCCTATTGAACTGCAAGATGAAAACCTTTTTATGACAGGCTGTTTCAAGTTACATAACAAGGAAAACCTGGTCTACAACTTCCAGCTGATTGTCATAATCCAGATGCCCTGCGTAAAGGCCAGCATGAAACAGAGGTTTACTTTCAGCGTTTTAAGTAATACTTACAGTATCGACGAAGCTCAGTCGTCCCTCCATTTCTTCCAATCCAAGATTTACAATATCAGTAGGCCTACTATCAACTTTACAACATTGTAGTATCTGGGAAAGCCCGCCAATTTTTCAGGTTTCAAGTGGGTCACACTTGCGGCCTGTGCGTTGCGCATGACGCTCGATTGAGAGAGACTTATTGGTTTGTCTCTGTGGTGAAAATGCGGTTTAAACGACAGATTTTTTACTAACTTAAATGAGGCACAACGACCCAATTTCCAGCACAATAAGCACAGTCTGTTGGTAAAAGGGGACTGATGCTTGTACCAAACACTTTAGCGCAAAACACCTGAACTGAACAGGTGGGGGCGGTCGGACTACATTTGTCTCCTCTAACTGCCAGTTGTGGGTCGTTAGTATATAGATCCTTGCAAACTTCACAGTGATGGAGAAAATTATGAATTTATTATGCTAAGACTTCTGATTTTAACCTCAAAACACAAGAAAATAATGTGAGAATCCACAGCCAGTCTGACAGTATAGGCCCTGCCTGAACCCCGCCTCTCTCTGGCTGACAACACCTGATAGTTATGACGCCCCTGGTACTGTCATCCAAAATCCACTAGATGGCATATTTCATTGGGTTATGGCCAAAAACTGCACTCAAGGCGCATGTCAAACAGACAGATGGCGCAATTGCCGCAGAGATGCTGTCTTGCAGAGTTCAGAAAAATGATCTAGCTTCTCAAAACAAACAGTAACAGGGCCCCTTTCTGTCTGTCAGCGCCCATTGATCATTGTACATACAACTGCGCCTTGTGCGGACTGAGGAGGCAGCAAGCAGCGCTTTGGACATGGTCACGTGAAATGTGTAACGCAGAAAAGCTGATCCCAAAGTTGAACATTTGAGAAAGGAATGAAATGGAAATGTGATTTTATGTGTGAAATAGTGTTTTGTGGGTCTGTCTGTCTCGGAGAACAGTCTAATTTGTGTAATTTTGTCATACCCAGTCAGAAAACGAGCAGGCAGGAAAAGGTGAAAAAAACACACATGTATTCCTGACAGCCTATTGGTCCAAATTTTCCCTGTGCTGCCACAATACTGCACACACGTGACCTCCCTGTTTTCACCCAGTTAAACGCATGTACTTAAAAGACAGGCCACTACCATTCACCAACACAAGCACGATCCAAACAGTATTCATGTCAGAAAGGTAAGATCACTGCTGCGGGGGACTCGGATCACTGGAAGTGGACCATGGCGGCTGCCACGAGCAGCAACACATCCACAGCCACGCTACAGATCAAGCACTCCAGTATCGAGCATACGCGGAAACGCATAGACCCAAGGAGGAGACAGGCGGCGTTGTCTTTTCTCAGCAACATTTCTCTAGATGGAAGACCCGTGCAAGATGATGCAGACAATCAAACCGAGGAGGAGAACTCTCTGGAAGCTAGGACTAGACAGAGCCTGGTTTCTCCGGAGCGCTCGGGGTACGGGGCTGCTGGCGTCGCCGGAGCGGCTGCTGCTGCTGCGGCCGCGGCGGCTGCGACCACGGCCGCCCAGGCGCTCGCCTTTGCAAACCAGGCTCTCCTCGCAAGCACCCGGGCCAGCCTCGGGACGGGTCCTGCAGCTGCCCTGGTGGGCTCAGACACAGAGGGAGACGCTTTCGTGCCGTCGACTTTCAGCTCGCCTTTCTCCGCGGTGCCAGCCTCGGCCAGAGGGAGGCTGCAGACGTACACTCAGGGAATCCTACCTGCCCACTACTCCAGGCAAAGCTCCCAAAACTACAGCCTGGAGGGCGGACAGATAGCCAACTCTGCCATAGAGCTGCAGAGGTCAAGGTAACTGTGTGAATTTTAATTGCTGTCTGGTGTACCGTATGATTGGACTGATAAGGGTGTCCAAGGTGCATGCTTACAGTCTGCAGGATGTACACAGTTGGGGCGTTAAACTGCTCACTGATGTTATCACAGCAAGCAAACCAAAACCCAGCCAAAACAACCAAGAAGCCTGCCACTGTGAGCATGCAGCAGCAGACAGTCCATATGCATGTTTGTTGAAATGAGCCCTGCAGACAGCTTTAGAGTCAGATCATGATTTTACTTGTTGAATGTTTGAAGATTATGTTCCTCACAGTTATTACAATAAGATGTAAATCATAGACTACTTCATCTGGTACAGCTTTTAGGTTTCTGTTTCCAACCACTTCACCATGGCCCTGAATGAATGAACGAACTCAGAATAGTTTCTTTTACAGTCAGCTGTTTTTAAAAGGTACTTTCGGTTCCTGGCAACAAATACTGCCTGGACACAACAATGCACACCCGGAGGATTAAGTTCAGCTGTTAGTGTGTTTGCTCCATGCAGGTGTTTGTAGCCTTATGATTCACAGAGATGGATAGATCCAGTCTGATTTCAGGTCCAGCAGCTGTGGAGCCTTAACCTAGTTCCCCCTAGAGAGGGAGAGAGAGAGAGAGCTCAGCAGCACACCTCATTAGTTCTCACATTCCCTCATGCTCTTTGTCAAATTTTACTACACCTCAAATTATTTTTAGTGAATGTTATTCCAAATCCTTCCCCACACCTGCTGCCCGCTCCTCTGTAAACATCCTGTAACTCTACACTCCTCTTCATATACAACAGGGGCTCGCTTCTCCGTGTGCGTGCCTTTTATTTGCCCTCTTTTTTTTTCCACTCCGTCCTCATGCTGGAGGAGAGTTTGGAGGGTCTGACCTCGCCGCAGGAAAGCTGTCAGTAACACTCGTCTCATGGTCTTCTCACTGTCAGAACCTGCTGTCAAATCCCCCCCTCTCTGCTTTCCATTCAGTGCTGCTCTCTTTCCCAAATCCTCTCCTCCCTCTGCTGCCTCTGCCAGACTCCTCAGGAAGCTCTTTTTTTCTTCATACGGCAACACTCAGTGAGCATTTAGTTTCCCTTCCTGAACTCATGGAAATTACACTGCTGAAGTAGTCTTAATCTGTAGTTTTTGAAGAAAATTGAACCATTAGAGAAGTTATATAACTCTCTTAACACGATGAAATGTCAAATCTCCCGAGCACTTTTTAGACCTCTTATATCCTGATAGTTTCTTCATGATGATAGAAATAGCAGGTGATGGAGCACTTTGACTAGAAGTAGGGATGGGAATCAAGAACCGGTTCTTCTTGAGAACCAGTTCCAAATGGTTCAATCCATCGACATCATTTACATTTTATCTTAACAATTCCTTTCTCCCGAACAAGAACAGAGACAGAGAAAAAAGCATGGCGGACGGTATGAAAAGTAGGCAGAAATGATCTAAAACGTGGCTTAGTTTTACTAAGAAAGACGACAACAGCGCAACATGCAACATTTGTCGAGCAGTGATAACATGCAAAAGTGGAAACAGCCGAATCATGCTTAAACATTCGTCAACAAGGCACGGTATCAAATACATACTTTTTTATGTTATCAGAGACTCAATCAAATTTTGAGTTTACGATAAAAAGCTATAGTCTACCTTTTTGTTTTTATTAAATCAAAGAAAGGTATTAATAAGGGAATCATTAAAGAATTGAATCGATAAGCAGAATCAAAAATGGCATTGATATCGATAAAATCTTATCAATTCCCATCCCTAACCAGAAGGTCCATAAATTGCTTCTCTGGACTCATCTAAGTCTTTAAAACTCATGTCTGAGTGTCCATTTTGGCCCCCCCAAAAGTGATACCTCCAATGACTGCTACTTTTGCTCAAATCTGTTGTCTGAAAAAACATATTTTCTGCAGAAGTTATTGTCGAAGTTTGTCTTCACCATGCTGTAAATGACCGCTTCTGCCCCCTCACAGCAGTTACAGGCATTAAAAACAGCAGCACAGAAATTGCAATCTTTTTGCTGATGGTTTTGTTTACTTTCATCAGCCATAAAGAGGCATCGCTGTTAATTTCAGTCTGTTGTATAACCTGTTATAAAGTCCTCACAGGAGCTTTAAAAGTGCTTGAAAATGAACAAAAAACAACTCCTGGATTGGAGATACGAGTATGTGGATTTTTCACCTGCTGTTCTTTAGTTCAAGAATTCACCCCTAGTCCTGAAATGAACGCTGTTGGGTTCAAATATATATAAATAGTGGTAATGAACAATGATAACTTCTCCTTGCCTGTTTTTAAAAGTTTTATTTAACAAATATGTGCTCTTGGATACTTGAAATGCCCCAAATAACATGTTTTTCAGGCAGGGTTTGTAAGGTTCAGTGCCCAGTCCTGCCACAGTGTAACATGTCTGGCATCTCAGTGCTCCACAGCCTTTCTTTTCTGCAGTCACTTGACCCACTCTGAAGTTGTTAAACCCCGACTGTACCCTTCTTTTGGAATGTGCTTGGAGGACATCCATGCAAAATGAGTTCTAATGTAGAAAAGTAAGCAACCTGTTGATGGAGCATGGCCATATTCCACCGGCGCGCGGACAGACGAGCGCTGCGCACAGTGCCGGGTTTGTTTTCTGAGGGCAGCTGGTGGAAACGTGTCCAGAGGTCCCTGGCTGGGAGAGGCAGGATGCCCAGGCTTTCTGAGAAGCAGCCTGGCTCTGGGCTCTGTATTTTTCTGTCCTCCACTTCCTCTCCCAGGGGCATCAGAGACACACTCTCCCCTCAGACTTTTGGCCTTCAGCGCTGCTCCCATTCAGGAAGTCGCAGAGTCTCTGATGTGCAGCCAGAAAAGACTCTCTGAAGCCAGAACTGCTTAAGACCATCTCCTCAACAGAATTTAATGCATGAAAGTGATGGATGATTTCTTATTCAGCTTCTCCTCTCATTCCTCGGCCATCATCCATCATGAATCAGCATGCCAAGGGCTACGCTTTAAAAATAGCATTTCTATTACCACCAGGCTGTGTCTGCTCAGAACCATCCCTACCTTTTTTTCCCCCCTCTGAAACATACACAAAGATGAATCTTTTTCACATCCTCTCTCGGTAACATTCCTGTCACCTTGTAAGTGCAGAATCATGTACGTTACAAGCTCTGTGTTAGCATGAGGCAGCAGAGGCTGTGGCTGGATAACAAGCTGCACAAGCCATTATAATGGTCCTGCGGAGTTTTGTGCGATTGGGTCACATACTTCTGGTTAGGAGCCTGATTGTTGCTTGCTGAGGTCATGGTTGGCATAATTACAGGATTATATAAGAATGCCTCATTTTCACCGAGTCTCTCAATGTCAGAGCTGTCAACAAACACTGTAAAGCCCTCAAGATTTAGGGGAAAGAAAACAAACTCAAGAGTAAGCAGAACATATGTTTTGTTTTCATGCAGTTTTGAAGTTAGGCCCTGGGGTGAAATTTCCACCTTGTTACTTGTTCTGTTTTTCCCTCCCAGCAGCTAACACTTCCATGTTCTGTGTGTGTAGTGTAGTGTAGTGTAGTATTTCTGAGCTGCACAAGTGACTTCTTTATTTCTGTCTGTCTGTATCTTCCTTTTGCCTTTCTTTCTTTTTTAAATCTGCAGATGCAATCCGTTTGTTCCCTCAGCGTGTTTCAGCACTGGCAGGGTGGCTTTTTCAACTTTATCTCAATAATCACATTTCCGTTTTCCTGGATTTGTATTTGAGCGAAGAAGCTTAGATTGTTATATTTATTTCCACTCTGGCAAAGTGGAAGACTATGTCCTATGGCACGCTGCCAACAGGGCGTACGTGTGAAAGTGTTTAATCTGTACATCCAAACAGTTCTCTGGAGTTTTATAGCTCTGTTGCATGGCACCCCTGGGAAGGATCATCAATGACTTCTTCTGCAGTGTTTCTGTTGCAAAAGGATGACTTTGTGTTTTCAGTAGCTGCATTTACAAAGCACATATAAACAAAGTCACTTGTTGTAACACTAGCAGGAATTGTGACAGAGAGACCGAGGGGTACGTGTTGATCTAAAGCTTCTTTAAACACGGCCTTGTTAATGCCAAACTGGGTAAAAACCGACGTTTCTAACCAAAGTTGTTCATGTTGTGTCCGAGGTGAATAAGTGGCCTGGCTTGTGTTATTGTTTCCACACTTCGCACCGGCCTGAAAACATCTTTTGCACTAAAAACACGTCCTGCTGCTGTTCATCTACAGTGCCCGGATCAAAGTCCTCATGGGTCACTTTTGCCTCCATGAACTGGAAAATGCCCTTTGGCCGAGTGGTGACAGATTTTTGATAAACAGAAGCTAATTATCATGAAGACTGAACACAAACAGTCTCAATAAGAGAGATTTTTTTTCCCCAAATACATAAATAACAAGTAAATTTTTTTGTTTGTGCAATTTTTATACTTATTTTTACACCTTATAATTTTTAGATGCTACTTTTTTCTTCTGTCACATTTTCAGTGCATGTCAAAGCACTTTGTAAACCCTTGTTTTTGAAAGTGCTACAGAAATACTGTTGGATAAATGGATCGAAGATTACGTGATCCTCTTTATTTGTTTGCGGTGTACTCTGATAGAAAAACATCTGACCCTTTGGTCTAAAACCCCTGATTTATTTTTACTAATTCATGCTAAAACTGTTTCCATTAATTGGACTAGAAGGTCATAACGTGGTAATAACTCTGATTTAAACTGCGTTAAACTGTAAATTATTTGCCATAGAATCAATACTTTAAAAAGTAAAGCATAATAATTGTCCATATGTACGTTACTATGAGTCACTTTTTTTAAATAGGGCATTTGGTACATTGCTTTAATGTAAAAATACAGGTTAGTCTGGCTTCAAGTCTTTAGATTTAATCTCTACTTTTGTTGTCCATTTTGGGTAAGAGGCTAAAATGACCTGTTTCGACTTTCTAATCAGCTAATGACAACATTTCTTGCCAATATCTCTCTTCTTTTTTTAAAGTGTGCTAACAAAGAGAAAAATGTCTGATTACGTCGATTGGTCTAAAAGCTTTATTCAAAGTGATGAAGTATAACAATGCCAAAACGCAGAGAGAAGACTACAAGCCTTGTTCATTCAGACGGTTTGTAGTCTCTGATCTTTATCCAACCGATCCATCTTTCAGGGCCGTCACAGGAGGAGAATGATGATGTAAGACTATAAATCACGTGATCCCACTCGTCTGACCTTCAGGCTGAGGTCGGGGCCCTTTCATTACGACCCTTTTGGCTCCCACTAGCCGAGCCGGTGTTGACATCAGCTGCTAAAAACCGGCTGTTCAGTTTTAAACCAAAGTTTGAGCTCTTAGCTTCACGTTGCTGATCCTAAAGTTATAACAGACATAGCAGAGGGTTTAGCCAATGTTACGGCCCTCAGGTTTTCATCTGCTTTAACAGTCTAGCTCCTCATGTTAACACTTATCTCCACCGTCTTATTAGACAGTGTTCACTTAGCGTTTGTTGGTTTAAACCCCAGGAGATCTTCAAGGACAGAGTCATCTTTTGTTAATCTATCCTCATGCTCTTGTCATTTATTAACCAGACACTCCTCTGTTACGCTCTTCTGTTACGCTCCTCTGTTACGCTCCTCTCCCTCCCCCTCTGGGTAAAATCCTCATTGAAGAGGGGTTCAGTCAGGTCAAGTGTCACCAGCTCGTCTGGGTGCTGCAGGGTCTACAGCTTTACAACCCATACTGAATTGTGGAAAAGTCTAACAAAGATCAACACAGTGTGAACAGTCATTTTCTTTTACACCCTGAGTGGCCTTGCAGTGAGAAACTGCGGATTTTATTAAGAACTCGATGACAGACCCTTTTCACCGTTTTTCATTTCCACTACTCCAAATCCAGCCGCTTTGTGAGGCTGACTAATGAGTTGGATTATGTTGTTATTGTGGCGCTAAACATGCAATTACAACCTAATTTTGGTAGAGCTCATGCACGCTCAGCTATCACATGTGGGTTTGTTTCTTAAACTGGCAGCCGGTCATATGAGTGCGGTCCAGCAGACTTAGCTTGTTGAGTCGTGCAACCTAAGTGTGAAATAAAGGCCATCTGTGACAAAATGTGTTACACAAAGTGCTCGAAAGTGCAGCGCCAGATCGTTATCCTCTTAGCTGCCCTGATCCTCGGAAAAGTCTTTGTGATTTACACAAGATCGAGGAGTGATCATTGACCACACAGACCCAACAGAGGTGTTGATGGATAGTCGTAACTGAACCAGACGAGACTTGTTTCTGTAAATTAACTGCAGAACACACACGCAGACTGGTGATAATTTTACGTCTGTGTTTGACCTTTTGTTCCAACGCCTCCATTGACCTTACATAAACTTCAGTCAAGGGCTGTTTTTGCTTTTTTAGGTCTTTATGTCCAAACTCGGAATGACGTCACACCTGAGCTACCGACGTTTCAGTTACCAAGTCGGAAAAAAGCAAAATCGGAGGCGGAAACAAGATGACTACATCTATGAAAGTTATTTCAGCGCTTGCGTTGTCCTTGCTTGTATTCGGACAAGGCAAGCACTAGAGTAACTGTAGCCATCTTGTTTCCACCTCCGATTTTGCTTTCTTCCGACTTATGCTGGTAACTCAGGTGTGACGTCATTCCCAGCTCGGACTCCTGACTTCCGAGGTAACTCGAACGCAGCAAAAATGTGTCTGTAGAGTCATGAATCAAATGTTTTCATTCACTTTATACCTAAAATTTCAGGCTCAGATTTTTTTAACTTTTGAAAACTTTTTAGGCACAGTTTCTTATCTTACAGAAAAAGCTTAAAATTTATTTTATTTCCCAAACTATCTAATTATTTATGCCTCTTACCCCATTTGAGGTCTCAGAATCAGAAACACTTTAATAATCTCCAGGGGGAAATTGCTTTTGTTACAGTACTGCAGTGCAAATACAGTAAAAGTAAAAACAGTAAAAACAGTAAAAGAGGAGATAAATGATAGATAAAATAAGTAAAAATATATAGATAATATACAAGTATTTACACTATAAACAACACAAATAGTGACATGGTATGCATAGTCTCAGAGGGGGATTGAGTGTATCCTAACTGTCATTGGGAGTAACGCAGGGTTGACCCTGTAGAGATCGCCTTTATCACATGGCTATGTGGTGTTGTGTGGTTGAAATCCACTGCATTGTTTGTAAAGATTGACATATCATTTTCTCCTAAAAACGGACTGTGGGGGAAAAAAATAGATCCATTTTCAGTGTCCACTCTTGCTATTTAAGGTTTCACTTTTTGTTAAATCAAATTACCTCCCAGTGCCAAGTCTTTGAGGTCCAAGAATGGATTCTTGTTATCATTGTACCAGTTAGTTTCTGTGTTTTGCAGAAAGACCTCAGTTAGTCCTTGGCTTGTTTTGATTTGTCTTCATGTCTCCTTCTGTTCAGGCGAAGACTCATCTCTCAGCGCTCTTCACTTGAAACACTAGAGGACATTGAGGAAAATGCTCCTCTGCGAAGGTAGTGAACGACACACTAATATCATAACATTCACATGGTCTGCTGTAGATTTTGTGTGCGCTGTATCCCACACAAGCAAAGAGTTTCTGTTTCTCCTTGGTAATGATGTGTGCTGTTTGTTTTACTCTTTAGATGCCGGACCCTATCGGGTTCACCCCGACCAAAGAGCTTCAAGAAGATCCACTTCATAAAGAACATGAGGCAACACGATATGCGCAATGGAAGGTATGAAGGCAAACAGGACCAGCTCTTAGTCAATACAAGTCCTGAGTGTATAATGGCGGGCTGCCCCAGTCAATGCACTGCAGTTTGGATGTTACTCACATTACAGGCCACATTGTACTCATCAGGCCCGGCCCACTCACAGCATGTCAGTACTCACTATTAATGAAATGTTATTGATTGAGAATCTTGCCTTTTTGCATAGAGTGTAATCTGATTACATTTTACTTTACTTTTTATTTGATTCGATGCTAAAATATCACAAAAAAATCACCCTTACTTAATCTCACAGTTTACACGAGCATGCATGCAGCACAAAAATCCTTAAATATGAAAATAAATGACATAACAATGTTTTTACTTATATATACTGGGTGAATTAAGGCAAAGAACGTGTACCTGAGGAAGGATGACCTCTTTACTGAAACTGAATTAAGTTTGTTTATCTGTGCTGCAGAGTCCAGTTGTGGTGGCTACAGTGGAAATATTTTTTAATCTTAACTTCTTACTATTCAGCGTTTTGGGACTACAGAGGAGTAGATCTTTGTTGTCAACTCAGTATCTCGTATTTGTTCCATTTAGAGGAGCTGCATTTGTTAAATAAAGTCACCTGATAGGTGAGGTTGTTTGTCTTCTTATCCAGGCACATGACTTTCTTGTGATTATGTCCCGGTGTTTATTTTGGTTGGGGAATAAAGATTCACCATGTGTGTTGAAGCTGTTCAAAGTAGTACTTTAAAGTAATGCTACTGTATGCTAATAACCTCTGGTCATTGAGGAACAACTCTCACTGGATACTTTACAAAAACACATGTACGAGTGAGTTCTTCTTTAAATAGCATGTGATAACTCAAGTTTTTAAAAAGTATAAGAAAAATGCATCATTGTTTCCCCCAAACCCCTGACTACATGCTCCGTGATCTACTCCACTTTAAACACAACACCCTCACATACTGATGTTTCAGCTCATTCTCCTCTTTCTCATGTTAAATGCACACTTTCTCCAGCTTTGACCTGTGGATCTTGTCACATAGATATTGATTAGCTTGTTTACCGTTTTTGTTTTTATAGGATAGTCCTTATCAGTGGCAGAAGATCCTTCTATAGTGTATTTTCTGTCCTGCCCTATCGAGATTGTAGCCAAGCAGGGTATGTATCCTACAGCATGCTAAACTTTGTAACCTCCTCAAGCCTGTGCTCCCTCTTTCCCTTTTGTTTTTTTTCTCATCCCTTCTTTTTCTGTGGATGTACTGTCCTCCGGCTGGTGCATACATCGCTAAGGGTTGGTTTTGGTGGATGCATTTTTACCCTTAAAGTCAAATAATTTAGTAAAATGAGGATTTTAATCAATATTTTTCATACTAAAAGACTTGATTCTTGTTGCCTGTGTTGCTTTTTTCATAATGGCCTCAGCGGCTGTTGGGCTCTCATCCTTTTTGTTCAAGTCGACCCGTTTTTGTCTTTTGTTAACTGTCTCTGGCTTCGCTGTTTAGCATGTAAGATTCATCTTCTCTGGGGTTCCTGCTCGTCTTCGATTTAGACCCAACCTCTTTAGTTATTTCATGTTTTGTCTTTTGTCTGAAGGTAGGAAGGACTTTCTGTTGCATGGGCCGCTTACAGTCATGGTAGCTTGCAATTAACCATTTTTGTTTACCCTGTTGCTTCATAGTTTAAATCTCTCGATGCCAAAACAGAAAACGCCTCTGGCTTCTCTGTAGATAGTATTCTGTGTCCAGGATGTTTTGCTTGTTTTTTGAGGCACATGGCTCCGTGTTTTTGTAACCCACCTGGTTTGCATGGCGATAGCTTTGGTCCGGCTTTGGTTCTGACGCCCCCCTGTCACATGAAATAGTGTGTTTTGGAGGAAGTGAAAGAGAAAAGGGACAGATAAACAGCAGAGAGTACAATGCAGGGACTGAAAAGCTTCACACTGCGGCTTAGTGAAGAGCATAAAAGGCTCAATCCGTTTGTGGAATTTCCAAAGCCAGCCAATCAGTGAGAGGTCAAGGGTTAATAAACTCCAAAGACTATCCAGTGTGCACATTGACCGATCATTGCCTCTAATTGTCAGTTTACGGTCATCGTTGGCTCACTCAGTCAAGTACAGTCACTGAAAAATAACATTATATTATGACTGGGCTGCAACAGCTGACTGTATGTATTTTACCTCTGTCTTATTTCTTCCATCTGTCGTTAAACTTTAACGACAGCCCCATGAACTTCAGTGGCCGAATTTTACAATGCAGTGGACTTGCACAGAAACCACTATAAGTCTGTCAATTTAAAGAAGTAGTTTAACATTTTTATAATTTATAGCCGTCTTTCCAAGTGTGATATTTAACAGATTGACATCTGTTAAAGGTACAGTGTGTACAAATTGTAATATTCAGTGATATCTAGTGGTCAGTCCCCAGCTCATCTAATCCATCGGTTAGGCAACATAGCTCTAGAAGACAAGATGCTCTTGTGAGGCATCAAAAACATCTACCACAACCACTCTCTTCTCTTTCAACCAATGCATTTTGCACTGTCACTCACTAAAAACAAAATATGCATGTTGCTAGTTTGTGCTGTGCAATGGTTGGCAGTGCAAGATGGCCGCCTCCATGGTAGAGGACCTGCTTCTATGTAGATAAGAGGCACATTTGAAGTAAACGAAAAAAGTGATTTTTATACTCAGGTAATCATTTGCAAATTTAAATGTACTTATGAATATTATAATCCATTTCTAGCAAATATGGAAAACCACACACTGTACCTTTACAACAGTCTAGTAACAGCTAGCTTAGCTGAGCTAAAGCAGGGGGAAAGGCTAGACATGCAAAACCTCACTTACAAAGGTTGTACTGCTTCCTTTTTCTGTAGAGTGTAGCAGAATAAACTTTTTAATATAACTCATACATTTCTGATTTATTATATTTATGTTTTCATCTAGCTGTAGAGGGCAGGAAAAATGTGAAAAATTTGAGTCAGACTGTCTAAAACAAATGAAAGTTGAATTTTTGTGTTTGTGTTTGGGGCGTGACTTACTTTCGACCTCCTGTGAGCTCTGAATTCAAACTCCACTACTGCTGACTTGGACTTTCTCTGCCTGGGCTTTGCATGCTTTACCCCTGTTGGCATGGGTTTCCTTATTCAGTATCCTCCAGACACTGACCTTAAAAAACATGCATGTTAGGTAATGCTCCTGGCTCCAGAGCGACGTTGAGGTTGGCTTTTTTTTGTCAAAAAATCTTTGACGGTTCACATGTAGAGGTCAGATTTCTCTCACAGGGATTAATAAAGTATAATTTAGTGAGTTTAGTGTAATGGCTGCAGCTTGGGCCAGCCTGTTGGGGGATATTATTACAAGCCAGTGAACCAAACTCTAAACAGTTTATATGAGCCGCAAAGTATTTGGTTGTATATCAGCCAAGAAAGGTTCAGATTCTTGTAGTCATCGTCATTTTTATTCTAAGCTCGCCTGATTCTAGATTTAGAGACACTTGGGGAGGCATGACACGCACTTTTTATAAGTTATAACACGACTAACATACAGATGTTTGAAGTCAGTGATTCCTATTCATGCATGTTACTCAGTAATGTCTGCTTTTTCTTTTGATTTCCTTTCATTTCTCCTTACTCTCAGCAGACTGAAGCACAACAATTTATTTTCTGGATGGCTTCATAGAAAAGCTCTCTCCCTAGAAAGCTTTCTGTGTATTATGTTTCCTCCTGTTTTTGTTTGATCTTCACTCTTCTTCAGAGCAGTTCTGCCTGGGGGTCTCAGTGTCCGTGATGCATCTGTCAACATTGTGTCCTGACGTTGCCTTGTCTGCCAGATAACACTGTTTTCATTATAACAGATTGGCCCCACATGTCATCAAAACACAGGGAGAGTCATGTGAGGGCTCACTGTGTCACTTCTTTGATTTATCTCGTAGCAGAGAGTAAGACAGTAAAAGCCAGACAAGGGAGGAGTAGAAAAACAGGATAGTGTTAGGAGTTAATGACTGTGCCATTTCAGGACAAAATTTTATGGTAGTGTAAATATAGAGCACATCGAAACTCAATTTGTCAGCTGTTTTGAGGTTTGTTGTTTTGCTCGAGCAGAGAGATTTCATCACCATCTAATAAAATGCAAAAGAAAAATTTGCCCTTTTCTTTTGCTTGTTTATTTTCCAGCCTTCATTCGATCACTTATCTGAAATTACAGGAATTAATCAGCGTTTCCAGCGTGCCATTACTAATTTAGGCACAGCTATTTATAACAGCAGAGCATGAATACGGTGGACTGCAAGCATGTAATTTTTTTGTCAGTGCACACGCTCATTTGCCTCTGCTGGCAGTGACCTAAAATACTCAGTGAAAGCAAAATCAAAGCACGAGCCAACATTTGATTTAATAAGCATATTTTCCTATTTAATGTTGTACTTTGATGGATATTGTTTAACTCTTATATCCAAATACTGACATACCGTTTAAACTTAGCTCAGAGTGCATACGGTTCAAATCTCCAGTAGCTGCAGGCTTCAACTACAAAAATATTTGATCAATTCCAACCAGATGAGAATCCTCCACTGTTTGCTCCACTGACACAGTTTAATCTCTGTTTTCTTCAGCATTTGACCCTCAGAAATTCTCTCACATTAGTTTGAAATTTCAGGCGTTGGTGAGGCAGCAGCTGAGTCTAGAGAGACTCTGCCCTCTACTCATTCTTCCTTCCCCCGGGTGCTTTTTATTTCTAATTGCCCCAAAATGCACCCAAAGACAAGGCATTTAAAGAAACTAGACCAGCTGATGAGTGCAGATCAATACAGGGCCTGTCTGTGAGGTAGAAGTGTAGGTGTTAGGAGTGCAGGTTCGTTTGTGCTCCGAAAGGTCTAAAGATGTTCTGCTCATTAGGGATGTTAAGCTGGAAGGAGGGCGTCAGCGTCACCCGTCAGGAGGCGTCAGTGCCAAGGAGATGGTGATTGGGCTGGAAGGAGTGGAGCTGGGAGCTGATGGAAAGGTGAGAAGTCAGCAGAGGTATGATATTGGGGGGGGGTCATTTTTATGGTATTGAACAACAAGATTGATGCATTAAAGGGATATTCCGGCATAAATTAATTTAGGGTCAGACACACTGTAACACCGAGTTAGACACCCCGTCGTTACTGATGTTGGTATAACTAGAGAAGCAAGCTGTCGGCAACATTCATCTCTCGAGGGGGTGTCTAACTCTGTGTTACAGTGTGTTTGACCTAGCTTTATTTTACGCCGGAATATCCCTTTAATATAAGACTATCTCAGACTGTGTGACTCCAGTGACTATAAAAAAGGGAATAGGGAGAGATCAATGTAATATTTAGCAGGTAACTCCAACAAATCACCTATTTTTAGTGAAGTTGATCCAGGTGTAAGTGAAATCAGGTGTAATTAATCAGATTATTAATGATTCCATTCCATTCATACAAATCAGAGCCAGGTTCCTGTTATTGTGTATTCTGGCTCATTGTCATGATATACTATGACACCAATAAAGTTCACTGTAGTTAATCTAAGTTGAGGCACCTCCACTTTTCCTGCTTTGCCAAAATACTCCAGTTAACATACCTATTAATCCAACGGGTGAAAGATAAGATAAAAAAAAAAAAGTTCTAATCAAATAACGCTGTGTCCTCAGACCGTGTCCTACACTCAGTTCCTTTATCCCACTAATGTGCTGGGGGGTCGAAGAAACACCATCGACTCCACCTCGTCTTTCTCTCAGTCTCGTAACGCCAGCCACAGAAGCCTCAGCCTGGGCCGAGCCAACAGCAACCAGAGCAGCATAGACACAGGTCAGTCACATGGTTTGTGTTAGCATTTTTTTTTTTATTAATCAGTTCATTTCAACAAAAATCATGTTAACATCTGGCTCCACCTCTGTTTTTGTTTTTACTGCTGTGCTTGTCCAGGGAATGATTTGGGGGACTTCAGGGAGTATGACCCAAATCTACTGGATGACCCGCAGTGGCCTTGTGGGAAACACAAGAGAGTCCTTATCTTCCCCTCTTACATGGTGAGAAAGTAAACTAGCTGCTTCTAGTACAACATCTCCACTAACAACAACAACACTAAAACGATTATCGTCTGGGGGAACAACATAGAAAGTTTTGTTTGAGTGTTTAAATGCCCTTTAATACGACAGCGTTTCCTTTTCAGTGCTTATTTTTGTCATTGTTGAGATCATCCAGAGACAATAACACGGTCGAAGAATATGTCTGCCTCAACAGTATCTTTCTCTCTGGAATAGTCCTCAAAAGATTTATCAGCTCTTTTTGAAAAGAAGCCAGCAGGATGTTCAGACTTTTTTTAATCAGCAAGGTCACAGGCTGGGACCGGAGAGAATAAATACACATACTTTATCACAGTGTAGTGGGCAGGAGCTTTTAAACACAGCAACAGTAGTGTTTGTGTCTCCGCGCGAGTGACTCTCACACTTTTCCGGAAAAGAACGGATGTTTTATCGTGGTTGCAAAAAAGAAAAACAAACCGGACTAGACTCCCACCTCATTCTTTCCCGGGCTCTGTTTTTGTTACACAGACTGGCAGAATACACAACAGGGACTGACATAGTTGAAATGTTCAGTCAAGGCCAGGCTACATGTTTTTTTTTTTTTTTTTTTTCCTGCTCTTCCTCCAATTACAAAACCCAGTGTCTCACAACAATAGCTATTGTGTTTACTACAGGAATGGAACCAGTAAATTCTCAGCATTTCACGGGTTGAATTCAGGCTGCTCTGAGGACATGACTCTTAAAGTGAACTTTCAAGTTCGACCTGAGGTAAAATGAGCTTTTATGCTTGTGCAGGCAAATAAAAAATGAGCTACCAGTAACTTTAAAAAAGAAAGGAAGCGTATTTTCATATTCATTTGTTTTAAGGAGTAGTTTTTAGTTTTTTTTAACTATTTGAATGGGTCATGATCAGAGCCATCCCAAGCCTCAATGGGGCCCTAAGCAAAATTTGATTTTGGGGGCCTCTACTTCTGGCAATAATACTGATTGTTGATCATTCACATATCTTCACAAATCTCTTTAACATTCCATGACATGCAAACATACATTAATCTTTTTTCTCTTCTTCTTCTTTCTTTCCTCTACCGTCTTCTTTTACATTATTTTACATTATTTTGCCTCACAACTACCTGCTCTTTGGATGCTAAGTGCACATTGCACAGCAGAAAGCACAGAACGGTAGCAGAGCTTTGACATATCGGCAGTAAGAATCATAGGTCTACATCAGCAGCAACACTAAAATGTTTTTACTTTATTTTATTTTTACAATAATGCGTATTTGATCATACAGAGAGCATCACTCATCACATGCAAAAAATAGAAAATATATATAATTTTTTTGATTGCTCTCGGGGGGCCCCCTATTGGCCGCGGGGCCCTAAGCAGATGCTTAGTTCGCTTATGCCTTGGGCCGGCTCTGGTCATGATGAGTAGAAAACTATTTTTGCACCAGGCTATAAAAACAGGCATTTTTAAATGGGGTCTTTGTAGTTTTAAGGGACAGCTTAAGTGCAGGTTTTAACACTTTCGTTGCACTACGATGATTGGGTTAGGGGGTTTTTTAAGGCAAGTACAAAAGAGCAATAGAAAGTGTAACAGCACAGACAGAAGAAAATTTTTAATTTGTGTAAAGTCAGGCTAATGGTGCAGGCAAAATGTTTCTGCAAGTGTGATCAGTCAAAGTTCAGCCAGGAAGTTGTTCTGTAAACTGTGCTGTATGTTTATGAAGTATTGTTTGTTTTATTACCACATTTTACTATTTTTGGGGGCTTTATTAGTGGAATGACATAACAACCAGTGAACAAGTGATTGCCTTGAAAAGAAAAACAAGTGATCAGACAGGAAGAGAGAGAAAAACAACACCAAAAACTACACGGAGTAGGAGCTCTGTTTGCAGAGATCTCTCTTGTCTCTGCAGAACAGCTTAAACAAATTATGGATTGCATAAATCGCTTCAATGCAGAGATCTTACTCTGAGCTCAAACTCTCAGCACCTCATTAAACCATCTTAATGTGATTCACTCTCCTGATACGACATGTTCAAACAGGCTGCGTGGATTGTTCAATGTAGGGTCTGATGGAGGCGTGGAAAGCTGGTTTTGCATTTAAGTGTGTTTATTTCCAATAGGTTTTAACAGAACATGACAAGCAAAGATAATCTGTGAAAAACAAACAAAACTAACATGATGTTTATCCGTCTCTGAGTGTTCACACTGGAAGTGGAGGAGGAAGTTTGTTGAGACAGCTGACACTGCAAACAAACAGGACTAAATGATGAATTTTTGAGGAGTGTTTCCAGCAGAGGGATGATGCACATTTGCTGTGGAGGAAAGTAATAACAGCAGCAGCAGGATAGCGTGTGGGACTGACCGAAAATAAACCACTGAGTTCATGTTTATTGTAATGAAGGAGCATGTCAGCCAGTGCAACAGTGTGACTCACACTAAATATGACTGTGTTGACATATTGGGACAACAATGGCGCTCTGTGTTTGTGGACACACACAGTAGGATGTGTGTTAGTAAGATCAGTCTTGTTGTTGGCTCTGGTCTTGTCCTGGGATTTGTTGACTACAATAGAAATATAGAATACCACTAAAATTATCCTTTAAGGGTCACGTTTGAGTGTAACAGCAGATCCCCGTAAAGCCTCACTGTGAGACGCTGGAATCCAACACTAGTGTGCGAGGATCCGGTCACCTCCGCTCAGCTCTGACAAGGCCCTCTGGTTTTCTTTTTCAGACGACGGTCATTGAATACGTCAAACCCTCCGACCTCAAGAAGGACATGAACGAAACCTTCAAGGAGAAATTCCCACACATACGGCTCACGCTCAGCAAGATCAGGAGGTGAAACAGAAAGATTTACACAAACACATACTCATACCATGAGTTCATAACTGAGGTCCTGGGTCCCACTTATCATAAAACAGAGTAGAGACGAAGGAGCAGCAGCAGACCGCCTGTAAACTGGCCTGATGCAGCTCTCTGAGAGATGATTCGGCACTTTTAAAAACTGAAATTCCATCATTTTGTTGTTAATCCAAATGCTTGTGCCTCATCAGGTTACTAATTTATTGACCATTTGTACTTTCTAACTGTTCCTTTACGATCTACCAGAAGTAGCTTATATTTCAAAATAAAAGCATAGTTTTAAAGTGTAGGATAAAAATCAAAATAAAAGTTTCAGCTACACAGCTGGTGATGTGGATGAAACATAAATTTTAAACACAACTCGAAGTGGATGGTAGCATGTAAGTGAATTGTGTTTATTATTCAAGAGGCTGCATCTCAATGACATAACCTGACTAAATAAAGGTTCAGTGATAATGATTAGTAAAATTGGCATCAGTACCCATTAGCTTTCTTCATAAAAAAACTTAAATATTGCATTGAAAACAACAGCCTCTGTCTCAGGCTGCTGCTCTTCGTCTCCAGATCTTGCCTCCTCCTGTCTGGACTCTGAATTCACATAAGCGCCCACTCACCATGCGTTATTCAGTACTTGTAACTCACTGCATCTTACTTTAATATTCATTGTAATTTGTAAAAACAAACAGATTGGAAATTACAGGACAAATAATTTCATAGCCAGGGTTATAGTAAGAAAACATCACCACAGATGTTCAGTTATGCATAGCAGTGACCTCCGCGGGCATGAAAGCCTCATACAAGAAAGCCTGTGTGACCCAAACTGGCCTGAGTGGGCTATAGTGGAAAAATAGGCTAATAAAAAAATGGGAATTATAATGACATGATTATTTTTAAAGGGGATTCTTTTAGTTTGAGGGCAAAATTCCTGCTTTGAATCTAGGTCAAAACCAAAAAGAGGAATCTACATACACTCCAGCGTCTCCAAGAGAAAAAAAAAGAGTATTCGTGCTTTAATGGTGGATTGTAATAGCTGTTGCAGATAGAAACTCTGCAGGTTTGGTGACATATTTAGAGGAAGTCAGGGTACTCTATCTGCGCTCTATTTCAAACGAGTCAAAACATTGTGAAATTTTAAAACCGTCAAATGTTTACCATGGTTGCTCCAGGTTTCCTCAACCACAACAAAAAAAATGACTCTGTTTTTTCTGAACTTCCCCCTCTCTCTGTTGTCCTTCCTCATTCTCTCCTTTTTCACGCCCCCTGCAGCTTGAAAAGGGAGATAAGAAAGTTGGCCCAGGATGAATGTGGTTACGAAGAACCCACGGTGGCCATGGCTTTCGTCTACTTCGAGAAACTGGTTCTTCAAGGCAAACTAAACAAGCAGAACCGCAAACTCTGCGCTGGAGCTTGTGTCCTTCTCGCGGCCAAGATTGGGGGTGATCTCAAAAAACATGAGGTCAAGCATCTTATTGATGTAAGTTCACTCACTGAAACCAGAATTTGTTCCTTTATTAGACCTGTGTCTTTATGCAAGTCTCAGCCTCTTCAGACAAAGTCAACAAACCCCTTATGGCGAGAACTTTTCACTTTCAACGCAACGTTTTGGTTGACTGAGGGCTGAAATGACTGATAATTCAACCTGAAATTTTGCTGAGTTAACTTCTGGGTCTTGAAACACAGATATGAATGTTATCAGGGACACCTCTTGGTTTTAAGTAGACGAGAGGCACCAAAGCAACAGAGGTTAGAGCCCCTCCACTAATGTACACTGAAGAGCAGGATGCACACAGATGTAGTGAGAAGATGGGAACTGCTCAAAAAAATATATTTAAACATTTCTCTGGGCTCAGATATCAGGAAAAAAACTTCATGTACGACATATAGCTCACAAAATTGAAAATTAATCATCTCAAAACACCAAGTAAAATCCAGAAATGTCGATCTTCTAGAAAATTCTACTCCTTTACAGCTGCACCTGTGTATTTGGGTTTGTAGCGGAAAACAGTTTTTGATAACCGAGGCTTAATAATATGAAAATGTGGAAGAAATAAAAGAGTCCTTCAGTCATGATCAGAGAGAAACAAGAGCTCAAATAACCTTTGATGATACCAGAGGCTTGTATTTAGTGTCAGATCTAGTATTTACACATAAACAACAGCTGGTGTTGCCAGTCATCCCACAGAGTCTAGAACCTGTATTCTCTGGTATACACTCCTATCATCAGAGCTGAAAGATCCTGATCATTAAAGGGACAGTTAGTGATTTTTTTTTACCTTTTGTGACTAATTTAAAGAAGTAATTTCAAACAGGATTTGAAATCAGCCTTTTTTGCGTAGTGTTTTAAATCAACCACACACAGTATTGGTGTCACAGAGTCAACAGCACAGGTCAGAATGAAATCAGATTTCCCACGGTGGATCAGGTTACTCATTACCACTAAGTCCAAAAAGAGAGCAGATTTTAGGAGAAGCTTCTAAAAGGGGTCCAGCTCCAAACGCTCTGGCTCTGAAAATCCCCGTAGTGCAGCTGAAAAAGTCTCTCTCTTCCCTGTGGACACATTATAAAACTCTTCCACAGGCTGCTCTGTTCTTTCTTTGAAATATATGCAGATTTTTATGCACAACATCACTTAAGTGCTCCTTTTAAAAAAGCTTTTACACATTAACCTCAGATTTTTTCACTCCTGGCAAAAAAAGAAAATATTTTCCCTCGTCGCATTTAAACATTTAACCTTTCTCTATTTTATCGTTAAAGGTGGGGTAGGCAGGATCTGATAAAGTGTCAGTTTTGGGGGAGAAATCTTGAATGTAAAAACTACCCCTCCCTTTTAAGCGCCCGTTATTCCGCCAGAGTCTCCGGTATTTGCTTCGTTTTCTTACTTGTGTTGGCAGTCATGGCTAGAGGAGGATTCAGACAATTTTCTGTACTTTCTGGTTGGTTTCTACTGTCTGATATTGTAGCACACTAACTTTGTCTGGGCTCCTGAACGACACTAAGGAACAGCGTCCGCCTCACAACCAATCAGGTCGGGGAGGCAGAGAATGGCTTTGTTTACAGTCAGAAAGAGCGGACCACTCAAAAATGTTAAAATGTTGACTACACAGACATAACAAAACACAGCGATATCGTTATATTACCAAATGTCATCAATGATTAATAGCTATTGACTGATATTAAAAGATTTTTTGTTTATACACCACAAAAAAAGATGCATCTGTAACAGATACCTGCCTACCCCACCTTTAAATAACACAGTGATCTAAACTCCTACTTTGTTTATTTGTCCGTCAGAAACTGGAGGAGAGATTCAGAGTGAACCGCAGAGAGCTGATCGCCTTTGAGTTCCCGGTCCTGGTGGCTTTGGAGTTCAACCTGCACCTCCCTGAGCATGAGATCATGCCCCACTACAGACGCCTGCTGCAGGCCTCCTAGCATTAGTAACCCATCAGGAGGACTACCACCAGGTTCTCCTCCTGATCCTCTGCTCCCCTCGGTGTCCACCCTCCCACCTTTCTCTCCACCCCCCTCTGACAGATTAAAGGTACTACAGGCTGAAAACACCCTCCTCCTCCTCCTCTTTCCTCTCAGAGACCTGAAATCAGCCAAAGGGACCCACATATCCAGAACTTTTTTCCATTGTATGGCTTCTACCTTCATCACCACTACACAGACTACTAAAAGAAAGGGTTGTAGCGTCTGCAAACAAGTTTTTTTTTCTAGTTTGCATGTTTCCACGTGTCTTCATCTTTATCATTTTGCCTTCTCTTGTTGATTAAGAGAACTTTGAATCTGATGATGGACTTTTTCAGCTAAAAGAACCAATGATTGTAACTTTTTTTTATTTTTTTTAAATCATCGCTTTTTCATCGATCTCCTCCTTGTAAACTTTGGTTTGATTTGTTGCCTCCTGGCTACTGTAAATTTCAAACAGAAGCCTTTCTAGTGGCTTTTCTTTTCTTTTTTTTTTTTGGCTGGACTTCTATTCCTCAGAGTGGCTCATGTTTCCTGAGGTCATCGTCTTAAAAGTGCACTTTTTGAATATCGCGAAACTACGTGGGGAAGAGGAACATTTTCTAAGACTTTTCTAAGCTTTGGAACTAACCCTGAGAATAAGCTGTGTTCATGAACACCAAACTCAAATCATTTGAATGGACCTTTTGAGTTTTTTTTCCTCTCTCATGGTTTGTTCAGTTTTCTAGCCACAGTTATCTGCATGAATAATAACCATCATTTGTACACGCAGGCACAAAGGTACGTGCAGACAAGAGGGGACTTTCTATTTTCATTGAAGTATTCCATTCATTTTCTACCATTCAAACGCTTGCTATTGGACTAACTGAGACGAGATCTACTTTTTATCAGTGTCGAATTTCCAGTGCTCTATGTTAGAGTGTATTGCTAGCACATTTACAGTGCTAAATGGAGTCAGGAAGGCAGTTTGGACAAAGTGTTTGAGTACAGAAATGCCATGAAGCAGTGACGGGGGATCGGCAGAGGGGTGCTAAAGCAAGAGTCCCCATTTCACTTCATGCTTCACTTTAGCTGACTTGACCTCTAACCTCTTTCTCTCAGTGATTCCCAACATAACGGATCAAGTATTTACATATAGCTGGAATGAGAATTTGTTGATTTGAAATTGAAGACATGTTTAGACCAATATGAAACTTAAATTCAAGAAATTAACCAATGTGACTAATCTGAAAAGTATTATTCTCTTAATTTGGCATGAATCGCTACTTCCTTTTGAGTGTAATACAGCCCGTTTGGAAAAGTGACTGATTACAAAAAGAAGAAATAGTATTTGTAACTCATCTTTGCACACGATTGTAATGTGAAAAGCAAAAATAATGTTGATAAGAAGTGGAAAAAAAAAACAAACCCTGAGCTTTTGTTCTGTTTGAAGCCCAAAGATTTTGAACTCAGATGCACATGAAGCACTCGGCGTGGAAAGACTCAGTGGCGACACTAACGACCTGTGTATGTCTGTAAATAAATCGCTTTGCTTGTTCAATCAAGAAAAAAGACTCTTGATTTTTTTTTTCTTACTGTACTTGAATGCACCAAAAAGATAACCGCTTCTTGGACTGGTCATGTCACTTCAATCCCAAGAACAAGGTGATGTCCCACTTGAACTTATTCATCTCTAGCTACAGTGCAGACATTAGCTGTGGGCTAGTTAGGAGCAGACTGGGAGCTGGGGAGTGTGTGTCTGTGTTTGTGCTCAGTTTAACCTCTGAATGAACTCAGATCTCTGCAGAAACTCACTCTTTCATCTTCATGCATATACATGAAGCAGGCTGTCCTAGCTTTGGTGGAAGTTCTGACTTATTTCTTTTTAAACAGACAGCGTTAAAGCATCAGTCTGTGTTTCACCGATTTGGAAACACCAGCTGTTTCCAAATCTTAAGCAATATTGGTGAGTAAGTCAACACCAGGCTGGAAAGCTGTGTTTCATCTGTCTCTGATGGAAACTGGTTTGCTGGTGAACAATCGAACAATGGTCACCAGATTCTCATGAAAGTTGTGATTGGTGCATTAGAGTATGTGACACCATCCTTTACCAGAAGAGCCCCGCCCACTGCAAACACCGAGTGTGTCACCCATCCATGTGAGTAATGGTTCAGCAGCCTCTACACTCAACAAACTTTAACATGTCAGTATATTATATAAGCAGTGGAGCAGAAGACATTGAACAGCTGAAGTGATTTTATACAAAAGTACAAAATTCCAAAAGAAAAAAGTTCTGATCCTGCTCAGTTTGATGTTAATTTCAACTCACAAATAGGCTGATAAGGGTGCCAAAGCTGCACTACCAATCATTGAACTTGACGAATATTTTTAGATGAAAATTAAATTATTTTAAAATCAATAATGTCGATGTATAATGTCTGTTTGTTTTTATAAATTGGTTGGGTAATAACCATTATTTATAAATGGTAATTAAATAGTTTATTAATGTTTAATCATCATTTAAAAACAACAAATATACCAATTATAAATGGTAAATAGTTTATTAATGTAAGTTAATAGTTACTTTACCATTAGCAAGCAATGACATTATGATTAATAGTTTTCATTCATTCTTAATGGACTGTTTATTAAAGGTTTATCTAGGGTCTAAATATTGGTTGTAAAACATCTAAATTAAAATGTGTTTCAGTAGCACTTTGTAAATGGTTAATATTTGGTTTTTAAACCATCTATAAACATTACTTTGATGGTTATTATAAAGTTGCAACTGATGTTTGTAATACTTTGTAAATGATTAATTAGTGGTTAATAAACCATCTATAAACATTACTTAGATGGTTACTGTAAAGTTGCAACTGATGTTTGACAATTTGTTTACAATTTATTAATGGTCTATATGCTATTTATAAATGATGATTAAACATTAATAAACTATCTGCTTAGCATTTATAAATGGTCTATTTTCCATTTATAAGTTATGTTATTCCAAAGTCTTATCATTGGTTGTACGACAACAATAGTCAATCCTAACCCCCTAACTACACATTATCCCTTACTTTCCTGAAAAGCTGTTTTTAATACTTTAAAACTATCTGGTTTTTGACTCGTGTGAATGTATCCTCTCAGGCTACTTTTTTAACTTCCTCCAGGCTGAAGAATGAAGTGTTAAAATCTGCAGGAAGAAACTGTGTTTTCTCTCCGGCTCCTCCCTGAGGGGCTGCTCTGTGAACACATATCATGTCAAAGTCAACATACAGACATGTTACATTTGTCATATTTTAACATGGACTGCCCTTCGTTAAAATATGAGCTCCGAGCGTTCTCCATTTTTAGGTGTTTGCACAAGTTCCCATGTGTGCTACATCCACAACAAACCTGATAGTTCACATCTGTTTACAGAAATCCATCATATCACTCACTGATGTGTTACAAGGAACTCAGCTACACAACTACAGGATAAACTATACATCTGGGATGCCTAAAAGTAGTTAATGCAGTTTGTGCTTGTTGTTTTCAGCGTTTCAAAATGATGACTCAGCATTTCTTAAAGGAGCTGTATTTCTTGAGTAAGCGCTGCTCCTCTCAAACACACCTCTCTCTGTCTTTTCAAACGCCTCACTTGTATTATCCAGCTGTCAGAGCTGATCATCGCAGCACAATAAAAGGTGTGACTCCATGAGTCTTGACTGGTGAAAAGGCTCGTACCTGCGGCTCTGATGCAATCTCAGAGGTCAGTTTCTCATGCAGAGCATGAACTCTGCTGCCTGACACATATCCAATGTAAACAAGGCCTGCAGTCACGCCAGTCTCGTGCTGCCATCAAAACAAACAGGCCCCGGGCGAGTGTAGCCACATGGCATACGTGGCTTAGTCCCCTCCATTGACAGCCTAATTCCCCCCTCGCCGTCTCATAAAGGCCTCTATTGACTGGCCTTCCTGAGCCCTGCTCACACATAAGTGACCCTCATTGTGAAAATATGTGTACCATCGATTGGCCTTCACTTTAAAATAACAACATTCGGCTGAAACGGCATTTTGCCCCCTTTCCTGTCATGATACTGTGACTCAGGGTTTTTCTGACATTCACTGTGAGTTGTAAACAAAGACGCGGTCGACGCTGAAGACTGTGAAATTGTAACAACAAATAAAAAAGCAAGGCTACCTGCTCGATTACCACGCTCAACTTTATCTGCAGACACTTCATTAAAAGTCCAGGCATGTTTCAGTCTCTCTGTAAGGGTCTAAACTCCTTCTTCTCCGTATTTTGAGTTTTTCTTTGCTCCATGGTCAGCAGGGGAAAGTACTGCAGGTGGACCTGAAAATCTGATCCTCTTCTCATGTTTGTCAAAGCCACCTAATCTCTTTTGTTCCACCTCAAGAGTCCATCTCAGAGACAACTGAGCCCCCTGTAACAGAAAACCAGTGACGCAAGGCAGGGCATTAAACGCCTCTTACACTTATTTTTTCATGGATGTTCAAAAAACACGCAGATCAACTTTTTAAGGCGGTATGTTGGCGGCCTTGAGGGGAGGTTTATGGACAACTGTAGGCGACTTATGTCTGCAGATGGAATAAGTGTATTTACTCTTTCTGTCTCTGCTAATCCCATCTACTATAACTGCTAACATGGAGTAGTGTGAGTGCGCTCAGCTTTCCTCAGGGTTCCCTTCAAACTTCAGGTTTAAAATCAGACCAGAGAGAGTAAAATCTCTAATACTCCTCACATTTTGCAGGATGATCTTCTGAACTGTTAAAAACACAGGTCTGTCCTGACTTGCAGTAAGAGGGAAATGAGCTTTAAATCGATCCAATTATCCTCTAATGTGAAACCCAGTGAAGGCAAATAGTCGAGCATGTTAATCTGGATTTTAGGGGTGGCCAATCAGATTGAAGAAAGGACCTGTGCCACCCCCGGGCATACTTTTAGTCACACCCCTGGATAGATGGATGTGTTATATACACTACATATTAACAAGACAGGCTAAACTGAGTATCAACATGACTATTATGTCTTTTAATTGTTGTTTTAGGACTATAATGTACCGTTTTAGATTTAAAAATAATGTCATTCACTTTTTTTAGCCTCTTGCCTGTCCGTTTTCTACTTTCTGTTTTATTTTCACTCAGTAAAATCTTTTCAAATGTTCATGAATACTTTACTGACCTCTCTTACGAGTGAATATTTGTCTGTCTAATATTCAATAAAGTACCTAAAAGGTTTTGAGTCTTCAGATAATCCCAGTAACTGATGTCTGTGGTTGAGCTCTGGTTTCTACATCCCTTTGTGGATTAATTTTGCCTCAGTTCACACTGATTGAGACAGACAGCTAATTCATGTTCATGTACTTTCTTTTTGTATCACTGTTTCCTCAGCTGTAAATGCAGCCCCCCTTTACTCTGCAGTGGGTGTGTGCTTTTCTGTCATAATGAAGTATGAGGACAGGTTAGAGTTTGGTGAGAGCCGAGCCTTTGCACGTCTTACATAATAGTTCTCTCACAACCTGTATCCTCTCCCCTGCAGACAGCAGTGCAGACCTGCAGAGGAAATTAATATTTTAATCTCCCTGCCAAAGAACAGTCCCTGCTCTCACAGGGCAGCGGATAAATAAGTCATGAGCTGGAGGTTTGTGTGACAACAGAGCTGGACAGACAGACACAACAACACTTGCTGTGAGGAAGTGCACAGCTCAGGGTTTGGCAGGGGTTCTCAGACGGGATGTGACTGACTGATGGCCTGTGAAGTTTTGGTTGGCTTCCTCAAAACCTGCAGATCTAGATGCTGAACAACCAGATCCACTCAGATACTCTTTAAAAAAAATTCTTGCCCCCTGGAGAAATACAATTTACTGACTGTGTAGAAAGAACGACACGACTGCTTCTCTTCAAGGAACATGAATTAGGTCACTCCCACTACATTACTCAGGAAGCGTGATGCAGACAGAGACGCATGGACGGATTCAGGTGCCACACTGTGGTCAGACTGAACAATAACAGCTACAGTGTGTGTTATTTATGCTTCAGGGGCATTCACTGCAGTCACAGGAAAACACTCGAAAAAAGGCAAACGATTGATGCAGATTTTGAGCGTTAAAATGAAAAACTATTGAAGGAACATTTTTCATTTCAACTAGGGTATTTCATTTTAGATCAGTGCTCAGCATTAGTCAGTGTACACCCCCTATTAAAAGTAATCTATTACTCAATATCTAGATGAGCAGAAGTACGATTTCTGAAGTTTTGACGAAGCTGAGTTTAACGTTTTATTTACCATAAGATGAAAATAACGTAGTGACTAAAATTTAGCTTTGCTCCTAGAACCTTGATTGGGGTGTACTCATTTTTGCATCCTGATTTTAAGTCGAAAAATAAACTTTTTTGTATGCCACTTAAAAAAATCTGGTAACGCTTTCTTTTACGCTACAATTATTACCAGGTAATTAACAGGTAATTACCTCGTAACAACATGAAATTATCTGGTAATTACATGATAACTATTAAGTCAATACTGTCTAGCTACCAGGTACGTAACCTTCCATCATCATACAAATTTGAAGCCGGATTGCTCTGGTAATTCCAGGATTTTCTCTGCTTCCTGGAACCACCACTTGTGCAGTAGCATTGTACGCTTTCGGCGGGTGAGTCGCTGTGATAATGCTCGGCTCAAACAGCATATCACTACAGAATCTTCCCACGCCCATAGGCTGTATCAAGTGTCAATCATAGAAAATAAGAACCCCAAATAGCTTTTGAAAGTGGAGCTGCACAGAAAAAAGAAAAAAAGAAAAACTAGACAGTATTGACTTAGTAGTTATCATGTAATTACCAGATAATTTCATGTTGTTACCAGGTAATTACCTGTTAATTACCTGGTAATAAGTGTACCGTAAAAGAAAGGGTTACCAAAAATCTTGTTTGCAATCAATTAATGGTCTACATTTGGGGGAGTATTTTGTTGTATAGTCTGACGTAGAAAATGTTGATTTTGAAAGGAAACTAAAGGTTTTCTGACAACTCTGAAGGGGTGTACTCATTTATGCGGAGCACTGTATGAGTGAAAGACAATAAACAAGTTCGAACAAAAACATCCAGAAGAAAATAAGATGAGAAACATGTTCAAAAATGGGACAAGAATTTAATGTGTTAAAAGTGTTAAAAACTAAATACCCTCATGCTCGGTTGGAGTCTTTCCCCACAGTCACATTCCTCAGTGTCAGAGATGATTTGTCCATGTCAATGCACAGCACTGTTAGCAAACACATTTCTGCATTATTCATTATTCTATTGTTCCAGTTAGCTGCTGATAAACAAATGTACTTTTTCATGATTTCACTTTCGGCAGAGACGAAAAACTTAACCCTAACTAAAGGAAAACAAAAAAAGAGGAAGGGGAATTAAAAACGAGGACCCGCTCAGGTCAAATATTTCATACCAACTGTGTCAAAAGTCAACAAAGCATGGCAACAAAATGTTAATAATTAAAATAAAAATATGATAACTTAAATGTGTAGGAATGAAAAAGTCAGGACTGTAATGTGATCCAGTTATTTTACAGTTTTCTGTATCAGGATGACAAAGGATTAACTCGACATCGGTCCTGGAGAGCTATCTACAGATAAAGCTTCATCTCTTAATACTACAAAGTAATGTTCAGTAACTGAGGAGTTTTCTTTACACTCCAGTGTAAAACCATTATTAAGATATTTATGATAGGACCCTATAAACCTGGCATCAACATGGATCTTATCTGATAGCGCACATTGAGGTTATTGCTGTGATTAAAGCACCAGAGAGAGAAAAAGAGAGAGAGAGGGACTATCACTCTAGTCATGCAAACACTTCTAAAGGACACTTAGGGTTAATGAAATGAAATGTTGCACCAGATTATGTAGCTACACAGCAATGTTGAAATAAAAGTTCAGGCGAGATGCAGCTTCAAGAGCGACAGTGTGTTAAAATACTTGGACTGCTTAGCTAGCCTGTCTAATGGTTTTGCCTCAGGTATGATACATGTCAATGCCAGTTCATGAGAGCCCATGATATATCATTTTTCTGTCCCCGCTGATTCAGTGTACCCAAAAGTTCTACAAAAGTCTCATTTTCAAAAACCGTCTTTTTTTACACAGAACTTTTCCCAGGTTAATATTCCTTTAAAAAACATGAAAAAAACTGACCAGTTGTACCCTTTAGAGTTTTCCCAAATCAAATTATCTCATAGCATAATAGAGCCGACAGAGTTTGTCTGCCAGCTGATGTGTGACGCCATGTTTCTCATACTTCCACACTCTCAGAAACGCTGTTCAAGTTTCAAAAAATGCAGAAGTTGGGCTTGTCCTGTAGTGTGCAGATGAAGAGGGTGGTAGAGGAGGAGGAGGAGGAGGGAATGTCCAGAGTCCAAAGTCCTTAGAGGAGGATCAGTAAGTACAGTCTGACAAGGCCTCTGGCACTCCTCTACACGAGTATATTCCTGAGTTAGATCCATGCATAGTAGTGGCAGCGTTGATGAGTGTGTCAGTAATCACAGAAACAGCCTGCGCTCACACCCACACACACACACACACACACAGTCCCTCCCAGACTAATAGTTCATTGTTCTTTGTCCAGACCGGCCTGCTAGTAGTTGAGGAGGCGCTCCCTTTCTGTACCAACATAGCGTTTGTTAGCGGCAAACACCTTTGCTTTGTTTACTGAAGGACCTGAGGAGGAAAAAAACACAAAGATTTGACGTTAAATACAAATCTGAAAATCTTTCATTCTGCATGTTTCAAAACTGATTACTGACCGATGTAACTGAGCAGTACTGGGAGGAAGATGAGGCCGTGTGTGGCCCCCAGCAGCACTATGGCTAGGTACATCCGGAAGTAGAAGACCTTGAAGATCTGAGACTTAGAAAGTGCTAGGATCAGGATCCCGCCGAACTTTGTGAGTGTGATTCCACTAAACACCTATGAAGAAGAAACAACATCATTAAATGACATTCAAAGACGAATAAAGTTTGAGTCAACTGAAAAGCATGTGGCCTGGAGCAAATCAAAACAGAAAAGTATCTTCAGTATGCTAGTCATAAAACTTTAGGGCTCTATTTTCGTGCCTCGCCGGTGTCATGGCGCAGGCGTGGTGAAAGTCAAGTGCCCAAGCACATTTTGGTATTCTGGTGTGCGCCAGCTGATTCTGTCGACACCTCCCCTGCCGCGCCACCACGCCCACCTTGGCAGGCCTCGGTGCACCTCAGTCTACCAAAATACCAAACTGGCTGTATGCAGGGCTCCGCCAGACAAAAATACCACTGCGTAGGGTCTGCCACCCTCCGCCGTGTCGCCGGCGTGCACGAAAATAAAGCCCTCAGTGTTACTAGCTTTGTGTTTGTGTGGGTTGGCCTTGAATGGTGTCTGTTGATGTTATTAGACTGATTTCTCCAACTTTGATTTTGAGAATGATCACAGCACAGATACGTGTATCTGTGCACTTCAGGAAAAAACCTAAAATATTCCTGTTTCCTGGATGCATCTATAAACTTCTACTGATAAGTTTCCTCTTGATACGAGGTAAAGGTAGACTTACAGAGCTGCCCATATGAGCCAAGGCCTCCTCTGCCCTCTCCACCCTGTTCTTCTTCACACTGATGGAAAAAGCTCGAACAATGTGACTGCAGAACTCCACCGAGATACCACAACTCTGCAACAGAAGAAAAAACACTCATATTAGTTCAGATTTTTGCTCCTGTATATTTTCGGAGAGTTGTTAACAGTTGAGAGAGAAAGTTTCCCTGGGAGTTGTGACATTGAGGTTGTGAAACTTTTAGACAAATTGAAATTGCAAAACTAAGTCCTGAAGAGTTGGCAGCAAAAAAGGGTCACAAGACCAGCCGAGGTACGTAAACATGGACTAAGTTTAAAGGTACAACTAGGATTAAAACATAGAAACGCACAACCTGTCCCATATAATCTCACTGATAAGACCTTTTTCTTCTTCTGCTGGAAGTGCCCACATCAAAATACATTAATTCCTTTTTACTTACTATGTTTTGTATAAATAAAGAACATCCCCATTTTACTCCAAATAATGTCTCCTTATCTACAAGATCACGTTTTATTATATGATGCATGTTCCATGTTGCCTCTCACCATGACCAGGTTCACTAGCGAGACCGCGTTCAGGCTGATATTCCACAGCCACATGACGCCAAACATGTTGACCAGGATCATAGCGATGGTGATGGTGACCATCAAGGCCGACCACAGCTCAAATCCCAGCAACACCGTCGTCACCACAAAAATGGATCCCAGCGAGACGCAGAGGTTGAGAGCTGTGTCGTACGCGATGGTGAGGTACTGCTCGTAAAAGACGTAGAAGACGCTGCAAAAGAGGAAAATCCATTTTAGGGAATGTTGGTTTTTGAAATTTGAACATCTTGGATGCAGTTTATACTTTGAAATAGACAGAGTGTAATGTGTTTAATCTGTGCTGATATATGAATACTAAGTGTTTCTGTAAATATCTGCTCTCTTTTTTCAGCCAGGACCTCTAAATCCACTTTTTGCAGGTTACAAGGTACATCTAGATCATTTCAGAGCTCAGGACTGTTAAGCTTTTTATTATGTTTTCTTTACTGAACGCTTATCTCTGACCCACTTCTCTCACCCTCAGTACCCTTGAACATTAAGTCCAAAACAAGCAAAACTTAACCTCCAAGTATTTCACCTTAGAAAACTTCTGACTGGGAACTATACGTACATAATTACTTCTACAAAGACAACAGTGACGGTGGTTTATACAGCTTACTATTCAGGATAAAGAGCATTACATGTACTGCAGTACTGACCTGTAGGCAAACACTTTGTGGTCCATGGACTGGCTGATGTTGTGAGCCACGGTTCGGGCCATTTTCAGGGCATGTATAAAGTCAGAGGATTCATTCAGGATGGTGTGATAAGTCATGAAGTAAGTCGCCCCGACCCCTTTGTTGTCAGGATAGAGGTCCACCGCTGTTGCGTAGGCTGCGTGACCGCTAGAGGAGGATTGTGAAAGAGAAAGAGAGAGAAAAAGGGGAAATTACCAGCCATAACAAAAGTGGCACTGAGTCACGGGGAATAAGTCGAAGAGAAAGTAATCTAATGTCATGTCGGTTTGGTGTCATGTGTTTTGAATAAAAAGGAAAGAAACGTTTCAGCAGGACTGTAAAATTACCCTTTTCCACACTTGATGTTAGGATTGTCTGACAGAAACATGGGCAGAAAGTGCATGAAGTCCTCTCCTTCTGGCCTCTGCTTCCCGCTGGGAGTCATGGGCCGACAGTGAACACAGGAGGGGTCCACAACTGGAAGATAGTATTAGGAATATAATTATCTATTAACACCAACAGGAAGGGAAAAAAAAACATACTTTTGTAAAAGAAGCAATAAAATAAAAGCAAACATGGAAAAGAATCAATTTTGATAGTCTGAATGTAAAAACTCAAAAACACAATTTATTTATATTTATATAGGTGTTGAATAATGTCAAAGATGGGTTAATTTCTTCTGTAACTACAGTGCCCAGTGTAAGTCAGTACACGTCCTAACTAGATGAGCAAAAGTACAGTTTCCAAAGTTTTGACAAAGCTGAGTTTAACATAACATTTTATTTACCAAAAGATGAAAAACTATAATACCTTTTTGTATGCAACTTAAAAAATCTTGTTTGCAATCAATGGCCTTCAATTGGGGGGAGTATTTTGTTGTATATTCTGACATAGAAAATGTTGATTTTGAAAGGAAACTCGAGTTTTTCTGACAACTCTGAAGGGGTGTACTCATTTATGCTGAGCACTGTATAAATATTCCAGAAAAAATCCCACTGAGCTCAATTTCTCAACGCTTTTGCGGCTTTGTGTCCTGATACACTATCAGTTTCACTTCGTGTTGTGTATGAAAAACATAGGGTGTAATGTTGTAACCATGTCAAACAGCAGCTTGTGAAATAATAACTATAAGGGAGTGTTGACTTTTGATAAAATAAAAGAAAAAGGTACCAGAAGCGTTGCAGAAGGCTCCAGTGGTGTTGTAGTAGCGACAGCAGGTTGACTGAGGTTTCACCCAGTCGAAGTAGTCGTCGAGCCAGGAGGACGGAGTGAAAGCAATGGTTGAGCTGAGGGGAGAGGAGAAGGAGAAACTGAATAGATCACGTAATGAGAGGTCAGAGCAGATTGAAGTCCTGCTGCCTGATTTCAACTTGAAAATGTCATTCGTTTGTTTGTTTTTGGTACTGAGCGAGATCGTAAACGATACCCAGAGATAAACGATGAAGATTTTCATGTGCTGATGAATTGATGAAGGATCTTTATGGAAAGGGAATTTATAACCTATAATTGGTATTGTCTTTGATATACTGTTTTTGTCTTTTCATGTTTTTTTGTTTTTTTTTTCTTTCATCTTCTTTGTTTGTTCAATATTTTTTAAGGTTGTTGTTGTTTTTGTCTGTTTTTTTTTTTTTTTTTTTTTTTTTTTTAAACTTTTCCACAAAAACAAAAGGCTAGTGTTTCCAAAGACTACTTGTAAAATGAATTGTTCTAATGGCTGTTGAATTATTACTGTAAAAGTGGATGTGAGGAAATAAAAAAAAGAAAATGTCATTCATCTGAAATGAAATCTCTTTAGTCAGAATTGTTCAACTTAAACCACCGTTAATCTAGTTTCTACTCAGACTTACTAGTTGCTGATGAGCGAGGCGGAGTAGACCTGCTGGACCAGAGAGTCGTTGTTACAGCCCACTCCTCCACACACAACGTTTTGACCTTCTGGGCTACTGTAGTTTAAACCATCCTCCACTACAAAGTAGACTGGAGCTCCGGTATGGAGGTACACGCTCAGATTCCTGAAGTAGTCCAGCACGTAGGAGTCCTGAACGGAGAAACGGATCATTAGAAAAGCATGATGTAACAATGGGATATTGTTGACATTCGAATAAACACGGTCTGTGATCGTTATGTAATGGTGTAGCTGGATGGATGTCTTATTTTGATGATTCAAATCCTGTGGAAAACAGGCACAAAGCTACGAGTTTGATAGAAACTGAACAAAAGGCTCACATCAGGCATGGAGAGCTTCTGGTCCAGTCCGATTTCTACTTTATTCACCACAGCAATACTGAAGGAGAGCATGCCCACAAACACTGCCACCTAAAAGACAAATGAAAGAAGAAAAACCATCAATAAAGTCAACAACCAGTTTATTTCTTCTTAACAAATCAAAACCAACTCGATGCATCAACAGGACCAGAAACGTTACCAGGAATGGAACTCTCTATGAACAGATGGGCTTGGCTGCCAGAGCGTGTCTGAGATACTCACTATGATTGGTCGCACCCACTCTGTGAGAACGAATGGAGCATAGATTTTCTTGAAAAACCAGAAGAGGAAGCTGTCTGTTTTTGTTTCCTGACCTTCTGGCAGCTTCACACAGCAGAGGATGTCGAGCCGATTTGCCTTCAGAAGAAACACAGATAACACACACCGCATTAGCTCAGGTTTACTATCTGAAGGAAGGCTCCTGAAGTTAAAAGGAAAAGCTGATAACAAACAGTCACTGCACTTTATAACCGCGATGCTTTGCAGATATATCGGATAAATTAGTTTTCACAAAAACCTCACATTTCGTCTAAACCACTGTTTCTCTCCGTCTCACCTCCTGTCTTTTGGCGTCCAAGCCGAGCAAGCTGACGAAGCAACTGATCTGCAGCAGGAAATCGATAAATACAGCCAAGCCAGCAAAGAGAGAGAATGTCCTCACAGCAGGCATGTTGGACAGCGCTCCTGCAGAGAGAAACGTTGAGAATTTTATTTGCGTACAGATTTTTTTGTAGCGACACAAAAACATGAAATATCACGATGTAGAGTCAGTGTCTGTTTTCAGGGAATTTACCCAGGAAGAAGGCCACTGTCTCAGAGAAGGAGGAGAGGAACATGCTTGGGGCGACATCTCCAAGAATACGGCCAATCTGCTGGTGGAGTTCCTCCTGTGCCAAACGCTCATCCCTCTGTGAGGACAAAAAAAGTCAGATAAATATACGACACATCTGTTTGGAAATCTCTTTTCAAAGAAAAGCTCAAATTTATATGAGCAATAAGGTGTTTACATACCACCTTGTTGAATCTAGGTTACCTGATACGTCTGCACGATGATGAAGATGTTGTCCACTCCCACAGCCAGCACCAGGAAAGGAATGACCTCGATCACAATGAGGGTGAGGGGGATACCGACGTAGCTGAAGATCCCCAGTGAGGCAGACACGGAGCTGAGGACGATGAGGATACCCGCTATACCTAGAGAGATTTTAGAGTCCACCTATGCGGACCAAAAATAGATTAAGGATCAGACATGGTCTCATCCTCGCTTGAGTGGCAGAAAGTTGTCAAACCTGTCGTGTGACTTTTCCTGACCCATTTTTTCCAGCTCTTACGCACAACAGAGGAGATTTCTTGCATAATTCTTAAACTGTTTCAGATCTGGATCACGATAACTGACACGCTGAACTAAAATTACGCAAGACGTGTTGTATTGTAAAGAATCTGATGCTTGGGTTCTCACCATTATTCTCCTGAAGCTGTGGATGTGACCCAAAGCCAAGGAGATGTAGATGAACATGATGGCGTAGCTGATCACGATGGTGCTGACGTCGCTGGCGCTCTCTCTGTCCAGCTCGTCCTCGATGCTTCTCTCCGCGCTGAAAGCTATGGTCAGGTTGGGGTTGCTGAAGTTCTTCATGAAGCTGATGAACCTGCAAGACAAAAAAAAAATATGAGTACCAGCAAAGTCAGCATGAGCAGCAGATCTTTTAAAAAAGGACTCAAAACCTTTCTCTTTCGGAAAGCCTACCTGGACTAATTTTATCTGATTTTATCTGCTGACTGTTTTTTTTATGTTGTATGTTATTTATTGTTGCTTGGTTTTTACTATTACTGTTGTCTTGTGCACTTTGAGATTTGCTTTTAAATGTAAAGTGCGTAATAAATAAAATCTATTATTATTATCTTTGACAAATGTTTAAAAGTAGACTGTTGACTCACTCTGACTCCCACGCCAGAGCTTTGCCAATCTTCACGGAGTCGTTCAGGTAGTTGTTGAGAGGGAAGGTGATCACGAGAGCGGTGGCGTTGTTGTAGTTGGTCTCTGGGATGCAGAAAACAAAAGATGAGTTTGTTATAAAAATGAAATGGCATGGTTTCATTTCAGAGGCAGTTCTTGTAAAAATCAGAAGATAATAAGCTCTTTATTTAATTCTATTATCAGACTACTAAAAGTGATCATTTGTGCAAACGATGAAAGAAGTTAATTGGCAAATATTAAAACTCGACTGATGCCAGAAATAGCTGGTTCAAAACTGCACAATGTGAGCTGTTGCTAAAGACAGTTCTGGATAAACATTCTCACATTCAGCAGAACGATGCATAAAAGTTAACTGACCGAGAGAGCAAAGTTTATTTAGTTCCTCGTGTTGTAAAAAGAGGTCACAAAAAAGTCACAAAAAGAAGTCAAAAAATGCTCCGTTTTCAACCCCACTCACCATCATAACCACCGAGGGCTAGCCAAGGGAAGACAGGGCCGCCGAATGTGCCGAGACAGGGGTCGTGGAGGTGGGTGGTGTCATTGAGGGAAGCTGGCGCGCTGAGGAAGGATGAAAAACAACAGTTAAAGGACAATAGAAATGTCCTGGAATTAACCCAATCCTCCGTGCATCATCTGATCTTATTTTAAATCATACACAGAACGAGTGCATGACAGCCAATGAGGAAGTATGGCTTTGTTATTTTGGGATGACCTCTGTTAACTGCAGATAGCAGCACCTGATGAACGTTTGTTCTTGTGACCTGTGAGGATTCGAGCGCAGATGTTTCCCCGACCAAGAACCAAAATCAGATTTCTGCAGAGAGCTAAAAACTGTTTGTGTTGTTTTAATCTTTTCATCTGCATGATGTGATTTCACCCTATTTTAGTCCTTGAGTTACTATTCTATGTTTTATTACCTCTTTTTTTATTTTCTTTCTTTTTATTGTTTGATTTTAAGACTGTTTTACTGAATTAACTTTTAACCCTTTATTACCTTTATTATATTTTATTATGGTTTTATCACTTTAGTCCAGTGTTTCCTCATTTTTTAACTCAAGATAGCATTTCCTCAGTCATCTGTAGAAAGTTGAAGAGTCCTCACCTGGTCTTTTGTGTGTGTATTTGTGTGTGTAAGTGCTGTATGAGTTGAATGGGGTTTGGTATTTGTATTTGTACTTAATTTATTTGATTGTTTTTAATATCAATATGCTTGAATGGACAGCACTTTATGCTACATTCTATGTATGAAAAGTTATAAATAAAGTTTGATTGATTGATTGATTGTCTTTTATCATATCTATTTTTCACACTTATTTGGACCTCTGTGTCTAACACAAGGAAACAAAATGAAATTTAGTTTGCCCGATTGAGTGGCAGCGCGTTGGTTCAACACAAGAGAGTGTAAAGAGGAAAAGACACACAGAAAAAAAATTACCTGACACAGTAGAGGAAGTGGCTGTGGAAGTCAGCCCAAACATAGAAATCGTCTCCTACGCTGCGGTCCAGCATGGCATGGCTGTTTTGGAAGTAGTTGAGAACACTCAGGATGGTACAGTTGTTGTTGTAAGGGGCCAGTGGAGCCAAGCAGAGATCTTTCAAGGTGACATTTTCGCCCTCATATGTGGCCACTAGGGCTTCTATGTCGAGCTGCAAATCCAGCACCTGGTTGGTTATAGTTGGGAGGAAAAACAAGAACTGGTAAACCAGAGTTTCACAGATGCAGCTGCTTTACACGTGCAGAGTTTCAATGCGACCCGGCCACAGACGTATAATCATACAAAACACAAACGGGGCTCTAATCTGAAAACACAGGAAATAATCCCACCTGATGCAGGATTTCTTTGTCCAGAATGGCTCCAAATGGGACATTTGATCCTATGGGGTACGGGGAGTACATGAAGGTGTCATTAAGTGGCGTGGTGATAATGAGCTGAACGGTTCTGAAGAAGGGTCCAAAGTGGCTGTCGAAGTAGTCCTTCTCTTGGCGGGCCTGGCTAGTGGGAGATGACCACAGCTCCACTGGGTCTGTGGTGATTTTCATGTAGACCAGACCCCCAGAGGCGGCCACTACAAGAATCAGGCTCCCCAGTATGACCAGAGAGGGATACCGCACACAGAAGGAACCCCAAGAGCTGAAGATGGTTCGCAGGATGTTCTCGAAGCGTTCGCCAAGAGTTTCACAGCAGGAGGCGTTCACTATAAACACAAAAAAAATCAGAGTTAGACACAGTTATATTCATTCTCTAAAACAAGCAGTTTGGCTGCATCAACATACCTTGGTTGGGGTCATCACCGTTAAGAGATAACGGATTATTGCTGTCAAGTATGGGGCCGTACTCAGACATGATGGTCCTTTTCCTGTACGCAACAACACAAGCCAAGTTTTTTATAAACACCAAAGCAGTAAACAACAATAAAGTGAAGTTTCAGAAACTAGTATGAGTTTCTGAATAAAAGATTAGTCACTCCTTTACCTGTAACACCAGGCTCCTACTACAGTCCCTATAAAGATGAGCAGAAAGGCCATGTAAGAGATCCACATGATGACAGTCATGGCATCTATGCCGAGGATTGTCCAGGGAGGAGGCAGAGGGGGAGGCACAGGTTTGGGGCCACAGGCTTTGGAGCAGTCCTGACAGGAGCAGGAGCCTGAGCCGTCCTCCAGGCCCTCTGTGCAGTCGTATGTCTTGTTGTTCATGGGATCGTAACCAGACACTGGTGCATCTAGGGTGAAGATACAACATAACATCACGTAAAGATCAATTGGCATCCCAGCTGTAGGGGTGTGATCTAATACACAAAATCAAAACATTGGTTTACCTGAGAATATTGGGATGATTGGAAATGGAGTCTGTCCATTATTGATATCAAACATATACTGGATCCAGTTTGTAGCATTGCAGTCTACTGCTTCCCTCCCACATAGAATAGATAACGCCTTAACGTTGCTGGATGGTGCCTGGACATCCCTACAGGCATTATACATGGCTGAAAAGGAAAACAACACAGCTCAATCGATGATCCATGTCATAAAACTGCAAGTTCACTTTTTTCATTTGACAAAAAAAAGGAACGTTCAAAGTGTTGTGTGCCAACCACAGATTTGCACAAGTGGAGTCTTGCTTTATTTTTACGAAGGGAACTGCAGCAGATGTAACTCACCACAAAGGTAATGCGGGTACAGCTGCATTTTTACACACAAGTTTTAACCAGGCAGTGAACTCACCATTCGCAAATGTCTTTCCAATATAGTACTGGACTTCAGCCACATTGGTACCGTTAATCTTGGTAGCGTTCATGAACTGACTCTGATGGGGGCTGCATGTCAGCTCACAGAAGAGGTTCATCAGATTGAAGAAACATGCGGGACACCTGAACACAGAAGGGAGGAACATAAAAGAAGAGAAGTGGATTATTGTAGATGTATTATAGAGTAATAAAGTGTGAAGGTACGTGTAGAAAACAAGGCAATGATGAATACATTGTGGTAAATAAAGATCTATAAAGATAAGAAACATGCCTATGATGGGGAATCATAGTCGCCTGGTCAGTGAGTCAGTTTGCGTTTCATCCATATTTAGATCATGCAAATTTAACGCTCGCATGTCACAGAAGATTACAACTGACAGAAACTCTTTTGTTTGTGTTGTTTGACTAATAAACCAGGTCATGTGCTTTATTAGTTAATGCTATAACCGAGGACATACCGAGACAAGAACTGAAGGGGCAGCTGGAGACTCCCTTTGAGCGTGCGCAACTGGTCGGTGTCACAGCAGAGGCTCTTGTTTCCATAGTCGTATCCCGGACAAAGTTCCTGCATGCAAACACAAAATGCATGACGTCACTGTGAGTCACGATTAAAAAAAAAACCCACACCATTAAAAAGCAGAAATCTGAGTATGCAAATGGTAGTATGAACACAACCAAGACATTCAGAAGACTTGGTTCGTACCGTGAGGAGTTCAAAGCCGTCAGGTTCCAGCGGGCGGGATGGACCGGTGTAGTTGCAGTTGTACTTTTTCCCGGGCACCTTTGACTCTCCACATTCCCCGTACCACACACAGTGCTGCGCCTCATCCTGGCGGGGAGGCAACAAAAACACATGCTGATTACTTTTTGTGCACTGCAGTGTGTTCATACAGTGAATCCCTTTGGATTTATTGTTTCAGGATGCTCTGCTGCCTGTCGGGTTTCTCTTTTGAAACTGATAGAAGCTCCCTTCTATTTATCTTTTACGGTCAAGGGCAAGATTAAGTAAACATATCAACAACTGATAAAACCAAACACACAGAGTACCTCCAGGCCGCAGTGAGCTTTTATATAAGGTTTTGTCAGCTCTAACGCACCTATTCTGATCGAACATCAAAAGTAACCTGCTCTCACTGCGGGTCTATATATTTGGCACTGAAGAGTCTCACATCCTGTCGTCCTCACAGCTCGTGGTCTGAAGACTAAAAAGGTCTGAAAATAAAAATCTCACTTCTTCTTTACAAGTTTGCATGTAAAGAGTAAGCATTGTAGCAGAGGCAGAGAGACACATCAAGCATGCTCCTCCGTGTTTTCTTCACCCGAGATCTAACTAAAAAAAGGCCAGGAAAAGAAGAACTGTGGTATCTATGGTAACATAACATAACATAACATTTGCTCACATTTATTACTGCTACAATGACGTCGAGTTTGAGCGGATGACACATTTATTTGAAAAGTTATATTCAACAGAAAACATGAAATCCAACACATTGGGAAACCACTTTAGAGCGTCAGCAGTCCATGTTTTCCATCATCCGTCTATTCAGCACCAAAGCTCTCACGTGGTCGTAGTTGAGAGGAGTGCTTGGGGAAGTTAATTCACTTAGTCTACAAACTGTTTTATGAGAGAACCCAGTGTTAAACTCTGCCCTACTTGTGCTTTGTGCTACCGAGTTCAAGGGCAGCATTCGTATGTCATTATCCCCCTCGCTCTGACTTTTACGCTGCAGCAGCAGCAGACCGAGGTCAACTGTCCAAAGTTAACTTACAAGCCTCAGAACTTGTTGTTAAGAGGATTTTCGTTTTATTAGAGAGAGAAAAGAAGGTTTGCGAAAATCACAAAGCTGATGTGTGACCCCCAGACCCACAAAAGAAGCTGGCGTGTTTGAAAGGTTCTCTAAAATCCCCTTAACGTGCTTTGTAAAGTCAACGTTTGACTTATCCTACATCCTTGTTGTTTTTAACCAGGATGCTACAATCTTATCTTGCAAGAACAATAATCAACCAGAGACAGATCTTGCTGTTTCGCTCAGTTTGAAGTTGTTCTATGGAAAGCATAGCAGTGGACTGACCTCATTAACATGTGAAAAGAGGTTCAAACAATGAAGCCATAGGATCAGAGGGAAAAACTGCTAATGATGGAAACAGAGAGTAATTATTTATGTCTGATTAACTACATTTTATATCTTAATTTTATATCATAACTTAGGCTGTGTCCGAAATGAATCCCTCAATCCCTGACCCCTAACCCCCATATGGGGTTTTACTATATAGCTGACTATGTAGTGAGCTCAGTCACCGGAGGTTTCGGACACTACATGGCAAGACACAGTGCATGACGGGATGCCCACCACCAGTGAGTGATCATCGGATGGTCACTACATTTTGCAATGCTTTATGGGAAATTTTGAGTCGCCCATTAAGGCATTGGAATTGATCACTTAGGTTTCGGACACCCCTCAAAATGGTGCTAACCCCCATGTAGTCACTTATATAGGGGTTAGGAATCAATTTCGGACACAGTCTTTGTTTAAGTATTTTAGCATTTATCCCTTTCTAGTTTTAATGACAGAATCATCTTTTATTGAGCTGTTTTGGTGCTCTTATTTTAGTAACTTTCATTGTTGTTTTTATTTAATTTTATTTAATATTTCTTAAATTTCATTTTATGTCCTTTATTTTTAGATTTTAAACCTCCAGTGTTTCCTTACCTTGAATTTTAAAACGGCATTCCCTCAGTGCGCACAAATGAATCAAGCCCTTTTTCAGTTCATGCATTTTAACACATGTTTCTACCCCCATATGGGTTAGGATAGATAAAGGTTTTTCTTTGTTTCTTTTATTTCTCTGTTATTTAAAGCACTTTTACTACATCTTTTTTTTGTATGAAAAGTGCTATAAAAATAAAGACTGATTGATTGATTGAATTAAACTCTCACTAATGACGGTACATCTTGTACACTGACCAGCCATAACGTCATGAACACCTGGACCATGATCTACCTAACCCTTTCTGGAATTTCTTCAAGTCCACCTCAGAGGTCCTTTCATATTATACGAGGCATTCTAAGGAGTTTCACCTTCCTTTTTGTCGGACATCCCTGAACTAATCCACACTAAAATACAGAGGCCCATCTTTGTGGAACCAACTACCTCACACTCTACAGTCAGCATCCTCATTATCACCATTCAAAAGGCAGTTAAAGAGGTCATTATTGTGATGGTTTTGACAAACTGATCTTGGATTCATTGGATTCGTGTCATGTAATTTATTTCCTTGTTACTGTTAAATTTTATTGCTGTTTCTGCATGTTTATTGATTTATTAACTATTATTATTTTTTGATAGTTGCACTGCTGCCTAGTTATTTGTAGCTATATCAGGAGGAGGTACTTTGACAAGCTTTTCTGGCTTCTAACCTCCCCAGGAAATGTCATGTGCAAATGAATGAACTAAACTAAAATACACCCAATACAGCAGCTCCACCACAAATTCCTCTTTCATGGAGCTGCTATAAGGTTTTTCCAACATTTAACAAAAATATAAGGAACACCTTTTAACATGACACCTCCCATTACAAATTCATCAATATCTGTCTGATCATAGCAACATAAATCTCAAATGTAGAAGCCTCTTAAAAGCAGATATGTTGTGTTAGTTTGCATTGTATTGTCCAGGTGTCCCTAATGTTTAGGCTTCTCTGTGTGACCAAGTTCATCCTAAGTTTGTCTCCTTTTTTTATATGATGATCAGCATACTTGAGGTTTACCACACGGCTTTTTGTTCCTTATTCCCGTGTAAGTACTTGTTTTTAACTCATGCATATCTGTTTGAAAGGTATACAACAGCAGTATAGAGTAACTACAAACTAAAGGAGAGGACATCATGTAGACATTAACTGCGCAGTTCAGTTGGAAATAGCAGCATTTTTGGTGCACTTTATCTCCTTAAAAATATTTATCCAGGCTTTATTTTCTTTATTTGGTAAGAAATAAAGCCTTTCCTGATGTGTCATAGCGAAACCCCTGGCTCCAGGATACAACCTGTACCATCAGTATCAGTATCTGGGAGGAATGTCAAAGCTAACATCTGATCCAGTTTCGATGGTAATTCAGCACAGACACTGTCCAACCAGACCGTTTATATGAGCTACGGCTATATTGGAACTAGTACTAATCCAATTAGTGACTAATGTTATTTTTATCCAGGTTAGAAAGAGTTTAAACCCTGAATAGCTGAAGAGAACTGCGTGTTATTTTCGTTAGCCGCCTCGGATAAACATCACAGCAGCAACAGCCCGAGCTGAGTCATGTTTTAGTCACGAGAACGACACAAAAAAAACACTCACCCATCGGAAATGTCCCTCTGCGAGAAGAATAAAGAGGAGAAGTACGCAGGGAAAGCTTTTTCTCGGTAAAGGTCCCATCCCGCTTACTGAACACATCTAAGCGAAGTGACAGCAGCTCACGTAAACTTTCGCATATCTTGTTGATGGTTTCTTCTTCGTCGGTTTATTTATGTGGGGCGGGGACCAACGGACGTCTCAGTGCTGCCACCAAATGAAGCATAGGGTGCACTACAAATGATTCCCCGTAGGGTTTCTTTCTTTCTTTTTCTTTTTCTTTCTTTCTGTCTTTCTTTTTTTTCAAATATGTTTCTTGATTTCATTAACAAATTCCCGGGGAAGAATGACTTTCTAATTTTCAAGTTTTAGATTGCTAAAGTAATTTGTGCAAGTTTTGTGTGTGTGTGTGTGTGTGTTTTTATTTCCTCATCATTAAACATTTAGACCAGGGCCTGCCCAAGCCTTTTTGGTGCCCAAGGCGAAATTACTCTATGCCCCCCCAGGACATGTCCGAGTGAAAGAGGACGTCTGTTCACCAGACATCAGTGTGTTAAGCTAATGCCTACTTAGTTTTACGCTAGCTAGCTAAAACATGTTCTTTACACAAAATGATATCTTATAAAAATATGTTGACACTACGTTATCTTTACATTTGGTCTTCTTTCCTCCTCATCTTTTCTCCTTTCCTGAAACTATGCGCCCAAGAGCTTAGCTGTCCCTTTCATGATGAAAAAACTGTAAATAAAATCACCCATCCTATCCTGACTCCTCGCTCATGTGTCACTTGCCAAGTGACAAATGTAGTTACTTTATCTTGTAATTTTATAAGTTATTTTCAAGACAGAAAAGAAAAGGGGGGCGTCAGTGGGCGTCATAAATTATTATATGATTTTATCTTCATTTTTCAATCGTTAGAAAAGTTGTGCTGTTGTTCTTCGATTGAAGTCCATGACACCAGCACTCAGTTGAAAACTTGAATTTTCAAGACTGACCTTAGCATTATGATTTTTTGCCCTCTTTTTGATATATTAATAAGCACTTTCACTCAATAATCTTTGGCACAATTTAACCAAAAAACCTCTGTTTTTTTCTTACATATTTAGTGGGAAAATTATCATGGAGAGATACTACAAGATTTATACTAAAATAAGGTTGTAGAGATGTGTTTTATAAAACGAGAAGTAATGATTAGAGGGTATTAATCATTGCTGTGAACTCATGTCTGATGCCTCACCTCCTCTGAGTCTTTGGCACTGATTTGATCCTCTATACAAAGATCAGGGAAATGGTTGAGCAGATTTGATCAAAGCACACAGAAACAATCCTCAAGAGGAAGATAAGATGAGTGTTAAACTGCAATACTTCCTGTGGTGAGATTTGATTAACCATCATCACAGATTTTCTTTTCCATTGAGGATTACTCAAAATCTAAAATGAAGTTTTTTAAGGATCCACATGCTTAGACATTTCACAGAGACACCCATAATATACTGTAAATGCTTATGTACAATTCTGACACTTCTAAACTTTGACGTTAAGCACATTTTAAACATAAAAACGGAGGGCTCACACAAAAGACACAAATCTTTACAACAGAAAAATGAAACATGCTCTCCTAAAGAAGAATAAGCACTTTAACTGGGATATCATAAAGTGGGCAAACATCAGCCATTAAGGCAAGTTAATGACGTCTACAGCTCCTCATTGATCTAATGAAGTAAGAAAGTATTGTTTTTTTTACATCACATATCATACGATCAAGGTTTTGTCTCTTAACGCTCAATCAAGGGACTTTTATCTTATCAGCTGAGGTTTTACAACACGACTGTCAAAGACTGCTGCTCACACTGTCAGACTGAAACCGCAAAGCCTTTTAAATATTTCAATCACAATCACTTTTAGTGAAACAGCAAATCACAGAGGGGGAGGCTGCTCTTGTTCGGCTGATTATCTGCTCGAGGCGCTTCATCAAACTGTTATTTGAAGTGCTGCAGGCGTCAAGGTAAACAGACCTGAGTGGATGAATGAATCCCTGAGCGCTCTGAGTGGGAAAAAAACAAACAAACAAACAGAAAGGTATTTCCATAGAAAACAAGATTTATTCGTGTTCACGTCTTCTGAGATAATCACAATTCAGGAATAAGTGCATATCCAAGTATGATGAGACAAAAAGTGTGTACTGAGTATAAATTATAGGTGGTTATTTTGCAGTATATCACAGCACGGTGACTGTTCTTTTTACATGTACCTGTGTAAAATCTGAAAAAGTAGGTTTACAGGCTGCTACAATAGTATATCCCTTTAAAACTAGGAATAATGTTTGCAAAGTTCATCCTCTTGCAAGGCTACAAGACTTTAAAGGTAAGAAGATGAAGATTCACCCTGTGGGGAACAACAGTGGACACTTTGCTTAAGAGGAAAATCCAGACAGGAAAAGTCAGAGTGATAATGCAGACAGGTATGAGCAGAAACATCAGAAACAGTCCTTATTTCGGACTAGACATAGAGACATTCAAATAAAACTCATATTTACAGGGAGATACTTCTAATCTACACATTTCAAACAAGTTACTCACATGACCTAAGACAGTTCATCCAGCATATTCAAACTTACACAAAAACAGTGGAAAAAAAGGGACACGTGGATTTAAATGAAGAGGGAGGTCTTGGTTGTAACTGCTCAACAGTTTATCCTGATGAACCGCGTTTCTGCCGTGTCAATGTGTTGATTATAAAAAGGTCTGAGACAGGGAATCATCATTAAAAATGCATCCCGGGCACACAGCTATTGTGCTACAGTGCAACAAAGCTACAGGAATGTGAACACATTTGCAACATACTACTGTATATCATTATATTATCTACATAATTAGAGTTGTATAACACATATAAACTTGTGTTACAGTTTTCTCTTTAGTATACATAGAACTGTCTTAGTACATAAAGGTAACATATTTAAACCTTTTCATTCAACAGTATTCCCCTTTAAACTAACTTTACATTCTATACACTGCAACATGTTGCTTCCTCATTGACTCATCCTCAAAGATGAGTGTCGTCAGGCCTCTCGGGACCCAAACAGTCAGCACTATGCTCTTTAAAGCTCCCTTTAATCATCCTGACTTCATCACAGCGAACGCAGAAAGCACCACTGTGTGTTTATTTCATTGATAAACTGTGTTATCAATAACTCGTGATGGTTTCAGCTTGTATGTACCTTGGGTTTTGGTTTTTGGGTTGAGCTGCCAGCTGCTGCTGTTTTAGGAACCGAGACTTTCACTTTTTTACATGTATGGTACAGTCAGTAGAGTCAGGAACTATTCGGCTTTCATGGAGAAAAAAGTCGTTTGGTAGTGAAAAATACATCTTTGGAATGACAGGAGGGTTTATGTGACGAGTTTGACAGCATGCAAACAACACATCAAGCTGCACAAACCATCACATCTCTGAAAGGAAGGATAAAACATATTTGATAGTTCATGGTACCACTTAGCTACGCTTTCCCCGGCTGCGACATAAATGCCCTTTCTAAATGAAGTCTCTTATTTCTGATCCTCTCAGTCCTCAGTCTGGACCCAGGTACTCTACGTTCTCCGCTGCAGGGATGTGTCCATTAGTGTGTGTTTTGAACGTGGGGGTGAAGTCCTGTTGGTAATCGGGGTTGTCTATGCTGTTCTGTGGCTGATATTTCTGGATGCTGTGCACCGTGCCGTTAGAGGTGAGAGGGAGGATGGCGGGGGATGGGAGCTCGTTGAGGTACTCGGGTCCGTTTTTATAGCAGTTCAGGTACTCTGACTCTGTGTCATCTGAGGATATGGTGGGGAGGATGGTGCGAGGGGGACCGGGGTGCTGGTAGACGGGATTCATCACATCTGAGACGCCGTTCTGGTTCATGTAATCTGTAGAATAGACAATAAATTAGACACAGTGCTTTAAGTTTCCTATTAAGTGTTGATGGTTTCTTCTTTGTCAGATGTTTCTTATGTCACTGTGCTGTTGAATATTTTATTATATCTAATTTTCTCATATGATTTCTCATCACTTCATTTGTTTTTTTCTTCAAAAAGGGTGATAAGGAGACATCTAGTACTCTAAAATATATTTCTGGTGTCATATTAATTATCTCAGGGTTTTGTTATCATTTCTATGACTACAGCTTAAAAACTTCAAAAGTTTGTTGATAAATTGGTGTTAATAAGCGGAGGCATTAGGTCCAAAAATGGAGAGAAGAAGGTCTGTCAAAAAACAAACAAAACAAAACAAAACAAAAAAAAAAACTATTTATGCATCATAAAAAATGCAGAAACTAGCATTTATGGAGCTTCCTCTTTACAAGCATATAAATCTGAGGAAGGCTTGACCTTATAGCGTTGTTTTGGTCAGCCTTTTAAAAGTCTGTCCCAAGTTCAAACTTTATACCACAGATAAGCAATGGCAGGAAGTGGATCTAAACTCAGAGTACAGATTTACACTTGACTCTGTGAGTGAGAGAGCATTTAGAAATTCAGTTTCAGTTTTAGAAATCAAAAAAATCACACTGGAAAGGGAGCAAATCAAACAGTAAACAGTGATATTCAGCTGAGGCGGCAGTGTTATTCCCGTCCACTAGATGCTCCCCTACTTCAGTGAATCAAATAGAAGGACAGTGGGCGAGCTGAACGGAGACTTATGTGATTGACATTGAACACCAAAGTGGTGGCCGCTGAGGGGAAAGTTGAAGAAAACTTGCCTGGAGCTGGCTGGAAGGCATCGTCTAAATTTTTGTCTGTGGGGTCAGGAATGTATCGAAGAACGATGCTGCCATCTCTGCTGGGGAACGCGTTCTGCAGCCAAAGATAAAAAAGTTATTTAAGAAATTATTCCAAACAAAGAGTGCAGTCAAAGGGTACATTTTCTCTTACCGTTAAGCCGTTTCTGCTGTGACACCTTCCAAAGCTGCTGTTGAGGCTCTGCACAAAAGATAAAATACATCTGAGTTAGTTTACAATAGCGGCATCAAACACAGAAAGGAAAGAGGGATGAAAATATGATTTTAGAGGCATTTTCAGTGATTGTGATTTGTACTAAAGCATCTCAGGGGACAGTAAGTTCCCTATTTGTTATGGTAACCATGGAAGCGTAGCTGTCATCTCAGTACAAGCTGATAAGGATCGAAATAACTGTCCACCGAGCAGATTCATATTCATTCACACAATGTGACAGGCTTTGTTGTGTCTGTCACTTTCTCCAGTAGAGAGGGCTGTGAGCGGGGTAAAAACCATGGAAACCGAGTGAATCAAAAGGAGAGAGTGACAGCTGTGGCGATGCAATTACTTTCAACAAGAAAAGGAAATTAAATAGGCTGAAAGAGCAGCCATCTGTGAAAAATGTCTCGACCCACAGTGGGCCATGCCCCAGCGGTGAAATTACAAAAGCAGGCTTATGCTGAGCTTTTACTGGACAAAGATTTTCGAGAGTTCGCCTGGTTGCCTGCAAAGGTAATCAAAGTTTAAAGCTCATATGAGCTAAGCAGGCTGTCAGTGTCCCACAATGATTCCAGGTAAGAAGAGCCAGACCTACGCATGGCCTCCACTGAACCTGGACTGGAGGAGCTCTGCTCATTCAGCGCTCATCTATCAAAGGGCACCAGGGAGGAAACGTGGGAGAGGGGATGATGACGAGGACGAGTGGGTAGAGGTCAGGAAGAGGAGAAGTGGTCCCGGTGGTGAAACAGAAAGAGGGCAGGCGGGTTTAGCAGGGTTCAGATCAGGTACGACTCCTCACTGTGTGAACACCTGGACTCGGTTTAGCAGTCAGAGCTCCGCTGCTTCAAGTCTGAGTTAATTGATTTCAACAAGGCAAAAAATGAGTCCATGATTGTTTCCTCCCTGACTCATGGCTTAATGACTTGTGCAGAAATCCTGTTCCTCAAAACTCACTTAATAGCACTATTAAATTCTAACAGTTGGGAAGGTGTTCACTGCTTTTACATTTGGCGCAATTGTTTAATCAACTAATCCCTCATCATTTCTGGGAAAGTTCACAGTCCAAAGCAGCTGTCTCCTCTTTTCCAATCAGCTCGAGCGAGTCTGTAAAACCTCTTTGTGTCCTTTGGCGTGTATGATTCACTTTTTTTCAGTTCAATCTATCAAATCTATCATGGTTGAGAGTGGCATTCAAAGTAAAACCTGACATGATAAAGGAAGTAAATATGGTGGACAAGGTCAAAAACTGAGACGGTGTGAAGGTACTTTATTACATTTTATCTCCAGCTAAACACTTGGTTCTGATTGGTGGAGCTCCCTGTATCTGAAGAATCAGCCTCTGCGATAACACCATCCAACTGATCCTTCTGTTAAATGATCGCTCACTGTCAGGAAAGTCGGTGCAATTAGAGATAAACGCTGTAAATGAGCAATCGAGCAGATTAGCTTGTTTGTTTACAAGAGTTGCTGAAAGTATTGTCGTAAAACTGCGCCATCTTGTGGAAGTCCTACATCGATACAGGCAGGAGTCAGTCTTCTCTAAATGTGACTCTGAGGCCAGGTGGGTTCATGTGTCACTAAATAAGATGTACCCCCATTTTTGAATCATTTCCTCTGCTTTGGATGAAACTGCACTGTACCACATGTCACAAGGGGATAGAGATGGATCTGGACTTGCACACTCGACCCAGAATCTTACTGTGGAGTGAAGCAGCGGGGTGTGCGAGGTGCTCGGGCTGCTAAAGAAGCCGTGTTGAGGCACCAGGTACTCGTCTGCGTCCACGGCGTCCTCCATGTCCTCCCCGCTGATCAGGCTGCGGTATAGTTTAGGGTCTGAAGGACTCGGCAGGTGCATGCGGTCGTCCCCCTGGAGTGGAAATAGAATTTACATAGTCAGCGTCACGTGTGCAAAGAGGTTACTGCAATTCATCACAAAGACGAGTGCTGCAGGAAAAGACCATGAGCCTGGAAATGAGTTAGCATTTCTGCGCTCCCACTTCCCCCCACAGAGAGTCACAGGGGTTTTTGAACGGGTTTTATGTTAGATGACTGAAAAAGAGTCAGTAAAGAACACAAGCGAGGAAGATTTTCCACATTAGCTGCTAAAGTATACAGTAAAATACCCTATATGTGTGTTTTAGTGGCTTGTGATGTCTTTTAAAAAGCCGCAGGGTTTCTTCAAGATCAACACAGACTACTTGGGAACAAAATGGTAAAGTTTGAGCTTGAGTCCTGTGGCTGTGGAGCTGACTTTTCATGGCCAAGAATGAACTTTTTATTCCTGGAGGTTGCATCAAATTAATGCTGCTAATTAGCAGATAGACTCTTGCTGGAAACTTGAGTATGACTCATTTCTGCTGGTTGCAGTCCTTATTTTATATAATCCTTCTGATGGAATGCAAAAAGGCACTTTGGATGCCCTCAGAATCATGTCACTACTGCAGATCTATTTAAGTTTGATCCTTTTTTTTAAATTTTATTTTACCTGAATGACAAGATATCGAGAAGGATCCCGAGCCATCTTTGTAAACTCGGCTATCAGCTCCCGGAAACGAGGACGACTATCCGCATCAATCATCCAACCTGTAGAGAAAAATCATCATATAAAAGCAAAAGAGTAAGAAGAAAATCTGCATCATTCGTGAGGAAGTGTTTAGTATTTAGCTGATGTAGCTCGAAAACGAACAACAAATCAAAACGAAAACAACATCTTAATGCACTTCAGAAGATGTGCTCTGCTTACATTTCACCATGATCATGTACACATCTATGGTACAGATCGGTGGCTGAGGAAGTCGCTCCCCCTTTTCAAGGACCCCTGCTATCTCACTGGCCGGGATCCCATCGTACGGCTTGGTCCCAAATGTCATCAGCTCCCAAACTGTTACTCCTACAGACAAACAAGCACAGTTGGCCCAATGAGCTGTCGTTCATTTTGTTTTTCGCTCCCAAAAAGAAGAGAGAGGAAAAAAAAAAAAAACGAGAGTGACAGGATGTAAGCTCGACAAATATCACGCAGTATCAAAATAACTATGTTGACAAATTGGCTGTGGCTGCGGGAGTGGGAGGTAGCAGGATGAGTATCTGTGCTGGAGGAGCTGAAGAGGAGAAAAAGGAGGAGAGGAAGAAGGATATCACTTCTGCCAGGGTCTACTGATGCTTTCGCCATATTGAGCGGAAGCCATGATCAAACCCTCGGGAGATTTGGACGCTGGCCCACACAAGAAAGACGTGCTGTGTTTGGCTCCCGCGTGTGTGTGTGTTTAGGCATCTGTACAAATGTACTCTTCGATTCATGTGGGTGTCGGTAACAATCTCTTTTGACGTGATATTGCCCATCTGAGACTGCTGGTGTGTAGGTGTGTGCTACCAGTGTCCTAAAATCACAGATGCTTGCAAGATGTTCCCCTCTCTCATGTCGTGCTGTAAAATGTTGTCAAGCCTTATAAGATCCAAAAACAACATCTTATCTGAGTGTTCAAAACTCCGTTCTCCCGTTTCCGCCCTCTTGATGTTAGAACACTTTATCAAGCAATGAATAAATATTACTCCAGTGAGGCTGTCACCAAAGCCCCCAGAGTATTGAAGCCCAGCTGCTTTACAGATTCACAGTTACACAAGCAGGCCTCATGTGTTCACGACACAAGACAAGCACAAAACTTACCATAACTCCAAACGTCGCTCTGGTGTGTGTACGTCCTGTTCAGGATGGACTCTAGAGCCATCCATTTGATCGGAACCTGAGGAAGAAAAAGGACAAATGAAACGCTGTACTTTATATGTTTGCATCGATAATATGGTCCTGTTTACAGCTGTTTGAAACTGAACTTTTAATAATAAACTAATTTTACAAACTACTGCATTGTAACATTCCCTCCTAGTTATTTCCTTTTAACTTCAATTTTGGCTCATTTATTTCTTTTCCCTTACAGTTTTACACCTTGTTTTTATATATTTGTCATATTTTTTCATGATGCTTTTGATACAGTTTCACAGTTTTATTCCTAGAGACATTGCAGCTCTAAACTAGCACCTTAAATTCTCCCCATAAGTTGCTTTACTGACTGTTAACAATGCACAGATGCTTTTACTTTTGCACATTTGCACTTGAATAGTCCAGCGCCTCTTATGATGGATCTGACTTATGTGAAGCACTCTGAACAGCCTTGTTGCTGATATACTGTGTATTTTGCTCTCTCACTCAGGCTCTCCTTCTCCTTCTTTCTTCTCTTTCTCTCTCATCCTCTATTCCCTCATGAAAACGGGTAAAGGAAGGTAAAGTGTACACCCTGATCAGACCTCTCTCCTCCAAACTGCCTTCTCATCCAGGCTCTGTCTTCCCTGTCCTCTTTATAACATCTTTTCACAGACTCCTCTCCATTTTTATCTTTTCTTATCTTTTTTGAGAGTGGGTTTTGCAGGGTGTGAGAGCTAGTACAAAGGAGGGTGGTTGCAGGATTTCAAAGCCAACTGTTGCCACCTATTGAGGTCTCGTGGGCCCGGCTTACAGAAACATCGGTAAAAGGAGGATCTGATTTGATAACTGTGGCTCCGGCTGCTGATCTATTTACATGTTTTTGTTGTGGGGGATATTAGGGGTCATGCAGCAGGTCATGTGATTTATCAGTAAACCATAACCACGCAGATGAGGGTATAACAAGATTTGCATTGCATTACCTTGCCTTGCAAAAACAGACTCTAAACAGACTCTAAAAATGGCGGTTTAATTCAATGTATGTATTCAGTAGACTCTCTACATAAATAGCATTTTTTTAAAAAAACCTTCACTCTCCCTTTCACATGGAGCAAGTAATATAACAATTCTGCCCCCTAGTGGTGAAAAGTCATGATACAAAATTCCACATCTTCTGGCTGAGTTATTCTCATTAATGCAAATTTCTGGCAAAGGTTTACAATTTTGAATAAGGGATGTATTTGGTACCGTTTGCATTTTATATACCATGAGAAGAAGTTTGCTGTCATCACTCAGAGAGTGTCAAACAAATCTCTTACATGATTTATTGGAAAGGTTTCCTGCAAAAGAGATTAAATTGGAAACATACTGAAGGGTATTTATACTCTGTAGCTTGAGGTTTATTCCATATCTTCAAGGCTGCCCAGGAACGTTTCGGAGAGGCAGTACATTTAACAACAACAGACAGACTTCAGGAAATCTCATTATTAGAAGTTTTTTTTTATATACATATTTAAGCTGCAGTCCAACTTCACGCTGATAAATTTCAAAGAGCTGGTCCATTTCCACATCTGCTTTTCCAGTAAATTTAAGAAACAAAGTCTGTCAAACGTATCACTGTACTACATTATCAGGAAGAGTTTCTTTTCAGCTGGAAAAATAAATCAAACAACAGGAAGTTTGAAGACCTTTCAGTGTGATACATCAGCACAGGCCTATAAATATGTTACTATAAGGGCATTCTACTGATGTTTTAAGCATTTACTTATGACTAAGTAAAGCTGCAAGCCTTTCACGGTTGAGACTTTAGAGAGAAAGGTGTGGGTCACCCTGTGGTTTCAAGTAAACACAAGCACCACATAGTTCCCTGTGAGGAAAAAAAAATGACTTCAGAGGCACAAAGAAACTTTGATAAGAAAAGGAACTTATCTGATTTTTCATTTCTCTTAGAAGTCAGGTCCCTGACAGGTTTATTTATACTACAGCCCTTACATAAGATACAATCTAGAGCAAAACTACAAATACAAAAATATTATCTTTCATGAGATGGAGCGAATTTGTTTATCCGCAGGAAGTCATTTGTCTTCTAAGTTTGTATCAGGCTGTAAATGGAAAAATAACCTTATCATCATCAGCATCATCATCACATAAATGATCGCCTCTCACTGACAACTGCTGGCACTGAAGCTTGTTTTTTTTTTTGTGAACATATTCGAGCAGAATCACTGAATATAAAACTAGGACACTAATCTAAGGTGAATGAAAACAGTTACAGACAGACTGCAGACGATTTTAATCTCCAGCTTACCTTTCCTCCATCTGCGTGGTACTCTTTTTCATCTGCGTTGAGGAGTTTGGCCAGACCGAAGTCTGTGATCTTGACATGTTGCGGGGTCTTAACCAGGACGTTTCTTGCTGCTAGGTCACGATGCACCAGGTGGCGCTCCTCCAGGTAGTTCATCCCCTGTAATCAAACAAATAACATAAAGAAGGAGGTCTTTTTCTGAATGGATTTCACTTGAACATTGAAAACAGATTAAAAAGGTTGAGTATTGTCTTTAACAAATTCTCAAATCTGCTTCACTTGCTCTACAGATGGACACTGTATCTATTGTTGGTGTGACAAACATCCCCAGACTCTCCCCACTTGACGTAACTTGATGCTTTTACGAGGTTTTCTTCCTCACCTTGGCGATTTGCACACACCAGTTGAGCAGGTACTGGGAGCCGATGTTGTCCTTGTTCTCTTTGACGTAGTCCAGCAGACAGCCGTACGGCATCAGCTGGGTGACGAGCTGCACCGTGGAGGTCAGGCAGATGCCAAGCAGGCGACACACGTGGGGGTGTTCGACACTGGCCATCACATATGCCTCCTGCAAAATATGAAAATAGTCGTACAAAAAAAAGAGATAAAGATAAGATAACATGTTCCTTTATTAGTCCCAAAGGGGAAAATTCCAAAACCTGTAATTCCACACTTAATCTCATCTGGGAGATATCAGGTGAAAGACAAAAAAATCCTCCCCACAGATTGATTTAAAGTCTGAATGAGCAAAACAGGCTAATCCATCCAGGCTCTACTGATACTGAGAGAAATGCCTCTTTTATTCTGGAAACATTCACTTTGAGTTATACAACATGTCGAGATATCAAGCTTTTTGCGATAAGTATTTTAGCAACAGTCGGTCTGGGCCAATCACATATTTCATGTGGCTCAGCTTGAAGTGGAAACTATAAGCTGTCCTTACAAGAAAGTTACTTCAAGAGAAACCGCGGGGGATAATCCACACTCGCCACAAACAATAGGCCTCCGAGGAGCGATCACGTGCAAACGGCACATCAAACGGAGCTTTATGATTTGGGTTTCATGCCACAAATGCATTAATTTAGTACCAAATATTTTCCACATGCCTATTATGGCATTATCATGTTTCGGGGAATAAGCACCTGACTGTTAGGAGCTCTGTAATTCAGACGCTCTGATGACAAAGAGGCTTCAAAGCACATGTAAAAGCCGGCCTCTGCTCTGATGTCATAAAGTTCAGCAGACGTTCATGTAGACCGCAGTTTTCAAGTACAGTGACTGTGCGCCCAGACCGCTAAAATCACAGGATGCCTATTCAGACGTTCACACGGTGCATTTTAACTGGCTGCTTTTTTCGGAGCAGCTACAGGACTGCATTCCTGTCCAGAACACCTCAGCCTTGGATTACACACCAACACCCAGACAGAGCTCTCCAATGAGTTAATCCCATTTTCTCCAGTCTGGGAAGAGGGTCACCATTTAGGAACATGACACATTCTTCATTACAGGGAAAAAGTAGCAGTCATTGGTTCATTTATAGTAACATGTGCAAGAAATTTAAAGCTACATTAAAGTTGAAGTGACAAATAGGAAACACTCACTGTTGAGCAACACACTCTGGCTCTTCCATTGAAGTCAAAATATTGGGATAATTACTAAAATATGTGCGTAGAGAACTGAGTGTCTATTTTCTCTGAGATTTCCCACAAGCGACACACACTTAAGAGAAGTAGTTTGGGGAATAAGATGTCAGAAGAGATGCTTTTCATGGATATGACTCAGTGTTACAGTCAGTTTACAGTCTGGAGATGTACCACAGAAATGAGAAAAAAAAAAACCTACATCCAAAATTTCTTTGTTTGCTTTCGGTGATGTGGCCTCTCTCAAAACCTTGATGGCAACGGGGATCTTCACATCCTCACCCTCTGGTACCCACAGGCCCTGCACAGAAACAAGAGTGTTATTTTAACATGCTGTAATTACATTTGACATCATGTGACCGCATGTGTTTACATAGAAATGTTAGTATGTGCAGAATAAGTACGATTGCCGGCATGAGCTGTGTGTTCTGTACAAATGAAACCAGACCCATAAACCTGCTGTTTCCTGTACTTGTGAGGACTTGGATATCCCCTAAAGTTTTGGAAAATAAAGGTGCATTTACAAAAGTTTTCTATAGCAGAGCCTCTCAAACTTTGCCAGTGAGCACAATAACAAAAGCAGCAACTGACTGTTTTTATCTCAATTATTTACAATGACTTTCTGATGCTGCAGCTTTTAATAGTTTCATAATATTAGCCTATATCTTTAACACAATTTAAATGACGCTTTTCATGCAGGAGCTTTACTGCAAATTAAGTATTTTTAATAATACTCAATTTGACTTTATTATAGATGTCAATACTTTTCTATCTGGGCCTTTATTTACACATTTTCTGGTCCAAATGACACAAAGTCCATACAAGGAGCTCCTGCAGTAGACTGCCTCAGCTGACTGCATGACTTCAACTTAATTCTTTTAGGCAACTATTCCCAAACGAAGTGAGTCAACTTATAAACCTTGTTATTGCCAGAGACAGATGCTTGTTATTTTAAATTTTGACAATGTGATGGAAAGGATCCCAAAGGAGATAATCTCAGATTTCAGCACTGGCTTTCCATCAGTGGTTCACCTTTGCAAACATTTCAGGGCAGGATCTCAACCTAAATGGGATTTCTGTTTCTGGTTACACAATAGAGATGTTACTCTTTAACAAAAAGGTCTATCTCTGGAGACACTTCAAACAACAATCCAAACATACCAAGGGGAAAATCAATCACTTTAAGTAGAGCTTCTTTAATCAGGTGGAGCTGCTTTTACGAATGACCTCGCAGCCACTGCAGCCCGTTTTATTGCTGTTGGCAAAAGTGATGTACCGGAGCATTTTCAAAACTTTTTGTGCATTTGGCTCATGTAGAAACAAAATATGTAAAAGAAGTCCAAGGTTTGAAATACCAGAATTACCCTTTAACTTCCACAACTAATTGGCTGAGCCCAGTGTTGACTCCAACTTCAACTTTGACCAAAACCGAGTCCAACCCTCAAACAGACCTTTAAAAAATGTGCTTATCCTCCAACACCGTCCAAACACTCTCAAGGTCTAAAAGTCACAGTGGTCCTCACATAGATAGAAGTTGTAGACTACACACACACACACACACGTTTATTTTTGCTCTATGGAAGAACATTGTGGTAACCTACATTCTTTGTCTGGGGATTTACTCTAACCTTAACCTAAAAAAAACTACAGAGATTCAGCTTTGTGGAGAGCGGCCCATCACCAAAGATATGTCCCCACATGCTACAATGTAAACATGTGTACTCAAAATGACATTAAATCAAGTATAAGCACACACACACACACTCTTTGCTCTTAAAGTGAGATTGTACTTGGCTCTGCATGATCTGGCAAGTTAAAAATGTGTCTCTTAATTGAAAAATTGACAACAGATGTGAATGAGGGAAACACCGGAGGGTGTTGGTTACATAAACTTGGCATATTTAGCATCCCTGAACTCCAGCTCCAATAAAGCCAGACGGAGAAGAATGACTTTGACAACAAGGTATTTTCAGACACAAACCTTAAGCGCGGTAATACCTTGTATACTGTACCAAAAGCTCCTGATCCCAGCACTTTGATTTTCTTAAACTCAGGTTCCTTCAGGATCCGCAGCAGAGCCTGGTTTGGTGCCTCTCCGCTTGGAGTCAGAGGTTCAACCAGCTGGAAAAGAAGGCATGAACACTCAACATAAAGTCTGATACAGCAAAGTTTTCTTTAAAAACAACCACTTTTAACATCTTGATTTCCCTGCGAGAAGGATGACTCGGCCTCTTCAACTCACCTCTCTCTCTTGAAGAAGTCTGCGCATGGTTCTCTTTCTCTTAATGTGTCGTCTGCGTAGCAACACGAAGACAGACAGGGCGGCGATAAGAACAGCCAGCAGTCCGCCAACCACACCGGCTGCAATCATGGAAAGACCGGAAGTGCTGAAAGACAGATGGGAGCTGATTTAAGAGTGCAGATAAGAAACAGAGCTCACATACTAACTCAATAAACGAGGAGAGATGAAATTAGGATGCTGAATTGACACTGTGTATACTAGTGTCAGAAAACATTTACTCACCTCCTTCCCTTGCAGCCTTCAGGACCAGGCCCGATGCACCTGTAATCAAATCCACGCAAGACAAAGTTAGTAATTATTTCTATGTAAGAAAAAAATTTCACAGACACCTTGCAATTAATGTCCTTAAATTCAAACAATCCCTGATGTCACTTTAATATTTTTTAAAAAACGCCAAAAAGTTTGATTTCCATTGTTTCTGTCAAACTTCTTGATAGTGCAGTGACGCCTTTAAGATCTTGATGGTGATAAAATGGAAAAAAAATCAAGAAATCTACAAAATCATGGTGCGCTTTCAGAGAAATAGGAGAACAATTGACGTCAAATATATTCCAGATTTCCTCTAACTTTTTGGAGCAATATGAATGTGACATTACTTGTATTTTTCCTTTAATCTTAGTCCACAAAATCCCTCCTCAAAGCTCTGATTTCATCATTAATCTCGGGAAACATTGCCTCATCTTGAAAGCTGACCTTTTCCTCCCCGGCCCATGCCAACATAACCACAACTGACCCTTCTGGCCTGGATTAAGTTACTGCAACAACATTACAACAGGCAAATGTCTGCAAAATAGAGAAACATAGTGCCAGTTCTCAAGTCGGCGGAACAATGCCGTTACCCTTGGGTGCAGTTTTGGTGGCACAGCTGGCACACTTTCATCTCATCTGCGTATTTCCACACCAGTGTGTCATCTTCTCCTGGCACGCCTTGTGGACAGCGAGACACACAGAACAGTCCATCCTGGAAGTTGGCACACTTTGTACAGTTTCCAGAGCCCTGCAAACGAAAAAAAAAAGAAAACAACCTCTGATGTTTACAGCTCTCTTGAGAGGAGTAGTAAATATTATGGTAACGGCACTGTCTCATAGTAATAATTTGTTAGAGCAAGCTGAATTCATCTTCCCCATAAAGATGCAAATGTTAGGTAATAAAAACTCACACAGAGATGTCGGTAACTCTACTTCACGTCAACACAACTCGATGCTTATGTAATCTAGTGCTGCAATCCAATACTTTCTTTCAACCTTTCAATAATGATAGTCGTCTTCATTCCCCAGTTTCTTTCTACAGCCTCTACAAAGGTGCTAGAACTTTTCCTTTGCAGTCAAGATTGGATAATGCGCCTTCTCACACCCACACTTCTTAGTCCAAACAAAACAGGTTTTTTGGCTTTACTGCAATTATTGTTTGAGGGAGAAATTAGTAGCACCAACGCTTCTGCGACAGAATTCATGCTTCATAATTTGTTAGTTTGTCTTTGATTCTGATCGTCAGACTAAATCATTTACTGTCAACATCGACAGAAGGTTGGGATTATGAGCGAGATGTAAATGGGAACAGGATGTAAAGCTCTGATGTGACTGATGCGCCATATTTAAACGGAGCAGCATAAACACATCAAATGTTGAAAATGGGATTTTATAATTACTTTTGGATAACTATAAGCCCAATTTGAATCTGATGCTGGCAACACATTTCAAAAGGGCTGGAAAAGACTAAAAAAGAGTGAAATGCTGAAAGAAAACACCTGTTGAGATATCTCAAAATGTCTTAAAAATCATACTTTTTTATATACAAATACTTCAATTATCCAAAGTTTCCATTATATCTTTATTCTTTATATATATTGTACATTTGATCATTCTTTTTTTCTTTTCTATGATGATGTTACTGAATTTTTAATTTCTTGAGGGAACCTTCCTAAAAGGATAAATTTCTATCAATATATTATACTCTGTGTTTATTAACATCACAACTGTTGTGTAACTTTGATTCTATATTGATAAATAATGTTACGAAAGAGGATTAGGGCTACATGGAGAGAAAAAAAAACATGACAGAAAGGAGATTAAAGTCAAAATTTAGAGATAAAAAAACGAAATTATGTCCATTAAGTTGATATTTAAAAAAATTAAATTTTGAGATTAAAGTCGAAATTTCAAGATTAAGGTCGACATGGATAAAGTTGAAATTTTGACTTTTTTAAATTTCAACTTTAATCTCAGAATTTTGCCTTTAATCTTGAAATGGAAATTAAAAAATATCTCCCTCCTGTAATTATTTTTTTCTCGTCTTGTGGCCCTGATCCTTTTTCGTATAATGCCCCCCAGTAGTCATGTTTATATTAATATTACAGATGTTTCTCACATACAGATGCACTACAGGTTGCAGTCCCATTCATGCGTTGACACTCGGGGTGACACTCCATGCAGGTTTTATTCATGACAGCCTCCCGGGGCTCTCTGCAAAAAAAAAAAAAACAACACCAAAGCTCAGAGACTCTTGCTGCTGATGCGCCACATTTCAAACCGTTACATGTAAAGTGAAATTCTTCAACCTTTTTTTTTGAGGCCAGGAGTTAAATTGTAAGCATGTCTGGATTCAATGTTTGACAAAAGTTCTGCAAAGATAAACTGATGTGCCAGTTCAGCTGAAATGTTTTGTCTTGTATCTAGTGGAGTTTGGCACCGACTCCCAAGCGCTGTCCAACTTGCAAAATCTTGAGATTTTTATTTGCAGTGTTTTGATGCAACACCTTGTTGAGAAACATAGGGTCTTGACAATAAGGAGCGGTCCTGGATGAAGTGGCTGTTAGCCTGCAAATTCATCTTTCTTGAACAAAACAAAGGCATAAAAATGACGGCCTCCATCCACAAGCTCTCAAAAGTGGAGAGTACTTGGTTGGAAAATGTGGTTGTGTCTGAAAGTGGAGACATTCTGAGTGGATATATGTGTAACTGAGAAAGATTTCGTGTTGAGATTTTGGTCGGTGATGTATAGCTCCTGTTTTTTAGAGGTCTGTATTTGTCAAGAAAACTATTTACTACTTCAAAAAACTGCAATAACAAAGAAATGATATGACTTTGGGCCTCCAAATCTCAGCGACTAGATGGACAAAGTTGAAGAAAGGATGACAGAAAACACCACTTCATGATATATGTGCATTATTTTAAGCTAAAGTACTCCCACATTATACATTTTCTTGCCAGTATTTGTCTCGATCTTTGTCTTTGTGTTTAATATGAACTACGTTGACAAAAAGAAGGAAGAAAAGAAAAATAACAGCCTCAAATTTCATACAAGTATTAGTCTCAGTGTTAGTTCTGCCCTCAAATATCAAGGATTTTAATTAGTCTTAAAAGAGTTTTTATAGTAAATCCCCAAACTGATTTAACGCCAGTGTAGAAATGTTAAGGGTATAAAACCGTTTTGAAGGAGTTAATTCTACAACACACACGTCTGATACTCAGTTTGTTTGTTTGAATTAGAGAGGAATAGAGCATTTCAGAGATTAAAAAGGCATAAAAACACTAACTCCTCCCTCACCCCTCCAGGATGTTGCAGGAGTCAACACAGCTCCCTTCACGGCTGAAGTCACGGCAAGCGAAACACATGTCCGGGCCGGGACCCCAGCAGCCGTTCTCCGTACACTTCCTGTCGCAAGTGTTGTTCCTTTGCTCTGAAAACAAACAAACAATCTTCACAAGAGATCTTTCCCTCATAATTATCCAGTTTAGGAAATTAGTGGTCATCAATCAAATCTGTCTTGTGAATTTCATGAGCAGAAGCGTTAAATCAATGAATGAGTGACTGAGTTTGGTTTGGGAAAGAATTTTTTTTATATGTACCACATGAATCAAGATCAGAGTTTTCCTCAATGGTAGCAGTTTGGCTGTCCGATTTAAAGAGCCTCTTCCAGTGGCTCTTCTCTGTGTAACACAAGTTCTGGTTCTTCATGATGACCACGTCTCCATCGCTGATTTCTTTTAGGGAGCGAAGGCCAAGGCTCTGGATACTGAGGTGAGTCATCACCATACTGCGGCTCCCACTAGAAAAAAAAGGAAAACAGTGAACAAACAAACAAAAGGCAGGTTTTATGAGGCTTTGAATATTACCCAATGCCCGAAAAACAAATTGGTTTCTTCTGATCCAGCTGTTGTGAATCTGCAGGGGTCTTTACGAGGAACATACCGTTTAGTTCTTCCCCGAATGATCTCCAGATTCTCAAAGGGACTCAGTGAGGTCATGTTCTCCGGCCAATTCTGAATCCACAAATATCCTGAAGCAACAAGCGGAAAGTTAATTGTGAAATTTTGCATTCACTGCGTCACGCATTTCCTAAGTTTAGCACAGCCTTACCAGTAATTTCTTTAACCGTCTTAAAGACATCAAGCTGGGAGGGGATCATCTTCGGTGTTTTGGTGTAAGTATCCCTACAGATGGCCGGGGACACATGTTAACAATCATCATAAAGGTGCAGCTGACACAGATTATATATAATAGCATAACAGCTGAAATGATGCTGACTTACCCGTGAATGGATGTGTGAATGATGGCAATGTTTCCGTTGATTTTAGTACAGTTTTTAAAGGAATCAATGTTGGTGGCGTTGATGGACAGGATGCGGGTCATGTTCCCTGTCCCAAGTCCATTACACACTGAAAATCATAAAAAAAAAAAACAGTAATTCAGATTAGTACTGAAGCTTTGGGAACTTCCTGTTATCTCTTTTATTATCAAGCTGTGCAAATAATTAAAAAAACTATGACAGGAAGACTCCTGCCTCCAGACCCTTTACTTACAATAGTGCAAAGCAGTTAAAGTCATGACCTTTATCAGCTTTACATATCGTACCACATAAAACTGAGCTCACTGAAGTAGGCCAAACCAGTTTTTTACAGTCTTTCATGCTATGAAACAGATACCTTGATAACAACGGTTTTGTGTCTAAACTATGCTCCCATAAGCATAGCATAAATCCTGGAAACAGTGTGAAGCTACCAGCCTAGGTCTGATGCACCTCGTAACTAAGTGAAATTTAGAGAAGCAGAATTTCCAGCAGCTTTGCAGTGTACTTGGAAAACGTACACATGAGTCATAAATGCGTCCCCGGGTTGCACAGTGATGGTTTAACCTCCTACCTTTCGGACACGGCCCTTCACACTTGGCGCACTTCCTGATTCCTCCCTCGTCCACCTCGTATGTGTTACCACTGCACGTCCGCACACACGCTCCATGATCAGTCACAACATAGTTATCTGCAGTGATTGCAAAATACAAGCTGTAACTGTGCAATCATGTAAAGTGTAACATCTACAGGTTGAATTTTATTGAGTATTAGTCCTTTAATGCGTGACACCACAAATTATGGCCAGAATATTCAGGTTTTTTTTGGAGCTGAAATGTTTATTTCACTTCCTACTGAAAGCCAAAAAAAATCAAAATGTCCTTAAAATTTAACAATTTTTTTTATTTATCTTGTTTGATACATTAGATGTTTTTGGAAACTGATAAACTACAAGGACATTTTTATCATTTATCGGACTGTATTCAGGTGTTTTTTTTTAGTAATTTGTTGATCATACAGATTTGAAAGAAGTATATAAAAGTATGTATCAAATATGATAAAAAAGGCATGAAAGGGTTAAGGGCGAAAAAAGGAACCAACAAAAAATTGAATAATTCTGAATTAATATTTAAGATATGAGCAGTGGAGCTATACAGTAGAGTATATTAAAAAACTGTAAGGAATACAGTCTGAGTTACTCCGGGACAGAGCTGCGTGAGTTAAACTGAGAGAGAGCAGTGTTGCATTAACACGCCCTGAAACTCAATCATTTTCTTTCCGTGTTTATACAGTTTATAATTAAACGGAGGCTAACTGTAACCACTGAATGTCTAACAGCTCTGAAGGACAACCAGGCCACTTTGTTCAGCTTATCACAAAGTGAAAAAGCTCATAATCATGCATGGTGTGTTTCATATGGGCCATTGAAGCAACCTACTTTTCTTTTATTTGTCTTGGCTGTCAAGATAAGAGTTACAGGGAAGGCATTTATGTAAAGTGATTAATGTCTCAGTGTCGAGAAGGTTTGGGAACTTTTTCTGGCTAAAAATAAAAAATAAAAGGTTTTGTTTGTTTATGGCTTTTCTTACGTGGACAGCTCTTGACACAGGTGGCCCCGAAGTTGTACTTCCCGTGTGGATTGGGTACCAGCTGGTGCAGGTTGGGGTCATAGCGCATGAGGCCCGGGCAGGAGTCCTTACACACCCCGTCATCTTGGAAATCCCGACAGGCCTGCAGCACAAACAACAGTCATCCAGCAGTCTGGGACCATAACACAGCCTCACAGTAATGATAACACTGCATTCCTCTATCAGAGCCTTAGCTTAATCCTCAGAGCTGCACAGAGAGAGAGAGCGAGAGCAGACGCTGATACTCCAGGCAGTGCCAGATGAAAGATTTAATCTGCAGTTATATGTCTCGTTGGTACTGAAACCAATAACAGCTACAAGTTCTGATCATAAAAGCAGATGCTGCTGAATGAGGGCTTTGTTTTATTGGAGGCTTCAAATCCAGATTTAATGCAGTCGCATAAAACATTCAGAGTGTTTTCTTTTGTTTAAGCTTCTCCTCCATTACTCTTGTCCTACATATGAAGGTATCTTTCTCTCACCAGACAGTCTGTTGGCCTCGGTCCCGTGCAGCCTGCAGCACAGTGCTCATTACAGCAGTCGCTGGGTGAAGGTCCTTTGCATCTTTTAGAGCACTGCTGCGCACAATTCAGCTTAGTTACTGCAATATGGAGCAGGACAACGTCAGTGAGATAACCTCTGGCGAGTTTTTTTTCCTTTGCTTTATTAAAACCGTGGATAGATTTTTAAATCATGGTGCAAACAATGAAGCATATTTGCATCTGATTATCACCTTGCTGCTATAGTATGTAGTAAAAATGTTGATAACAGACCACATTATGCAAAACAGAGCGCTTACGGCTTATATTTAATGATACCACCAGCAAAGTGGACACTACAGAAAATGTTAATTCTTTTGGCATCTAACAGGACTCAAACTATATCCTTGTGCTGCTGCAAAATGTCAATTTTCATCTGGGGTTTAAATAAAGTCCTTTATTTTGAAAGAAGTAAAGTAGAACTCTTTACAGGGATGTTCTGGTGTGAAATTAATTTAGGGTCAAACACGCCGTAACACCTAGTTAGACACCCCCTCAAAGAATAAATGTTACTGACCGCTTGCTTCTCTAGTTATACCAACTTTAGTAACGACCACAGGATAGCAATACACAACGGTCTGAGGAGCCATCAACAAACCTCAACCAAAACGCCGCTCTATAGTCACAAATAATGCTCAGAACAGCACCTACCTTCATCAACAGTACATATAGGGTCTCAGCCATAGTACTAGCCACCAAACATCTTTTTAATTTTGCCTAATTTCTTTAGCAAAGAGACTAAACACAACTCACCAACTCTCTTTCAGCAGCCACTTGTTTGTAGCGAAACCTCGGGCCAGTCCATTACGGACTACAGCGGGGTGACGCAGCTCAAGGAAGAACATTTATGATAATTTCTTTATCATTTGCATTTCCATGAAGAAATGATCATAAATGTTCCTCCTTGAGCTGTGCAACCCCGCTGCAGTCCGTAATGGACTGGCCTGGCTACTGTTGATGAAGTTAGGTGCTGTTCTGAGCATTATTTGTGGCTATAGAGTGGCTTTTTGTTGAGGTTTGTTAATGGCTCCTCAGACAGCTGTGTATTGCTATCCTGTGGTCGTTACTAAAGTTGGTTTAACTAGAGAAACAAGCGGTCATTCATCTCTAGGGGGGGTGTGTAACTCAGTGTTACGGTGTGTTTGACCCTACATTAATTTTATGCCGGAATATCCCTTTAAGTGTTGCCTCCACATACAGTAGGTTAATTGTCAAATCTTAAAAATGATGAAAAAGCCTAAAAGGTCATCTTACAGGTCTGACAGTTTTGAGGACCAGGTGCCCAGCATGACCCGTTGAAGCAGCTTGAATCACATCTTTGACCTGTTGAAGCAGAATAAAAGAAATTTAAAGGGTCAAATGTTGATTTTAAAACACTGCAATTCTTTGAAGATGTATAAATCGATGTTTTACTCACAGCGGGGGTTGTTGCTGGCCATCGGCAGCTCCATAACAGGTTTGCTCTCTGCATTGACGATGTCGTACCACTGTATTGTCTCGACATTACACAGGCGGCCAGGCCCAAACTTTACACCACCTTTTATAATTTCTGAAAATAAGAACCACACAAACAATTTTACCACACATTCACACTTTTACAGCTCTTGAACAACTCTGCAATAAGTCCTCAAAAAAACATAGATATGGACTGACCTGTGAGGCTGGTTAGGAGGAGCTCACTGGTGCCCTGACCTGAAGCTTTGTCTTGATTGGCTAACACGGAAAGAGCAAACTCTCCCTCGTAGAGTGAATGTCCTCGAATGATGCGCAAGTTCTCCAGAGAAATCCTGGAAGCCGTGTTGAGGGCAATCAGGACGTAGCCGCCAACTTCTTCAATCGACTGTGGAAAAATATGAGAAGGTTGTTGTTGTTGTTGGAAACTGGAGCTAATTTGCAACGTCAGGATTTTTCCAAACAAGAACTACAATGAAAGTGAATAAAATATGAAGCTTCAAGGATGCTGTTTACTGCTTTTATACACAATCAATCATGTTTGTCACGTACCAGAACTTATATTTAGCCTTTTAAACACAAAACCATGAGATTTGGGTCCCATAAGATATTAGTGTTTTCATATAATCAGCTCAATAGACCCAATTTTGTTATAGTAAGTTAAATTAATAGATGTTGTGGTCAGCTGTTAAAATAAATCTTTGATACATACTTAAACACATTACGCATAATTCGTGTACAGATACTACATATCTATCGAACCCGGAGAAAAAAAAGGACATTAATATAAACCTGCTGAACTGCTTCCTCAAGTGTTTGACAACAACTGAAGATAAGGTTGGTGCACACATAAGCATTTTTATCAACTCAGAGCTCGTCTCGATCTGAATGAAGCTGCTGGACTCCATTAAGTCAGATTTCACAGACAATCTTAGAGAAAGACAAAAATAGACATGGAAAAAGTGTAGAGGTAATTATGGCCTCCCCCTCCCCACCCCACAAGTGGAAATTAAATCCCCCAAACTCCCTCACGATATCTGCTGACTGTATTTTCTTCTACTTTTGAGTGTGCGAGCTTCCATGTGAGTTTGTGTGTGTGTGTGTGTGTGTGGTCCCTCTTCACATCTGCTCCAGCGTTCGCAGCCGTGTCTTTACAGCTGGGGTTCAAGCAAAAGCTCCAACCGGAGCGTCATAAACACACTGAATCATCCGTCACTATGGACTCACTCCCCACTGATTTTAATTATCTGCACTGAAGCGATAAGAGCAGCGACAACGAGCCTTTAAAGATCCAGGATAGATTGTCTGACAGACCGGCTTTAGACCACCAAAGAGACAACTTTAAATAAACTGATGATAGGGAACCCTCTCGTCTGCTTTGTGCATCATCATTTATGTGCAATCCTCACCCTGAGGAAGGACAGGTCACGATGCTCCTCCATGTAGGTGATCTCCAGGTTTTCCAGCACCACGGTGCAGTTGCTGTAGGTCTTCACCATGTTCAGATAGTGGTCGTCTTTTGAGCCCAGGAGGTTTAATCGGTTGGTGATGCCTTGACATACTGCAAGGAAAAGAAGAGTGTTAGAGCGTTTAAGAGCACTTGTATCATCATTTATCTGAGGCCCATGCTGCTGTCATCACAAACATTCTCCGCTTATGTAACACGTTGGCTCCTTTTACAACGTTCTGTGCCTGTGTCTCTGTTTGTGAATCTTGGTCTGCGCAGTCATAACTTGGCTGTCTGTAATTTGAAAAAAAAAAAGGGATCTGGGTTGCATCTAGAGTCAGAATCAGATCTCACCAACGAAGCGAATTCTGGCTCATCAGTCAAAGTGAACTGGCAGAGGCCTCAATCTTTCCACTGCAATGAAGACGAGTTTAAAAAAAAACACTGCAACCAGCATCTCCGGGCCCATTGTGTCATTTCAGAGAAAAGATTCACAGTGTGTCATATATTCCATGAGATTTGTGGGTGTGAGTCTTTGGGGGAACTTTATATCTCTAAATCTCATGATTAATACATGATTCAATAACTCTAGCCTTGTTAAAACACGTGTGTTTTTAGGGCAGGTTCTTGACATGACTTCATAAAATCTCCGGGCTTAAATCGAACGCTGATCCAGGCGGTTTTCAGTTTGATACAACACAGACATTGCTAGGGAGATTCACTGGAACACAATTGTGGGTTGATAAGAAGTTATGCAATTAAAGTTCTGGATAAGGAGAGCGGAATTACTGATAAGCACAGAGGCTTTCTCATAGTGGTAGTTTTTACAGGAGGAGTTTTTGGGAAAGCGTGTTATCATTCCCCCAGCTGGTTGGACAGGTTCTGGCTGGCACAGAAGAGAGTCAGCTGTGTCTAACACCATCGACATCACTCTCATACACGCACACACGCAGACGCTCTGCATGCACTCATAATGAGCAGATAATGATTTTCTCTTTAAGGCTCTCATTTGCGGTTGACTTGCGCAATCAGGTCAGAAAAACAACAATATTCTTCCTCCTTTTTCAGAAACGATGGTGTCGGTGTAACGTCCTGTGGGTCACATTCCTCGACATGTCGGCTCTTGACTCGAAGAAAGCCAAAACACAAACACTGAGACACACCTCACGACACCAAACGTGACAATAACTGTAATTTCACTCCAGCATGTCTGATTTACCAAATTTTGCAAATATTACTCAGTCAAACTGGTTTCAGAGGCCGTTATTTTACGCTTCACCTCATCCTTTGTGCATTTCCTCGTTATTGTTGGCTAGACTTCACACAAATCAACAGCACTGAAGCGTCGTATCAGTGAGAATTAGTCACAAACATCTGTCTCCTACTTCTTCTTTCACCTCCTTCTCATCAGTTCGCCCCCTGAGGGACCCTCCCAACATCAGCCATGCAGTCCTGCACCCCCCCAAGTCCAGGAAGCAACAAAAGGCAGACTAGCAACACCAAGCTGATTGTTTTAATTAAAGCTGTAATTAGCTGCTCATGAATTAATAAGGCTTGGAAACACAACTATAAGGATGCCATCACTTGGAAGATGTGAATATCAATCAGCCTGAAGTGGACTGTTTGCTCATGAAAACACTGACTATGACTAATTGACTCGTTGGTTATCATATATGTACAGTATGTATAAATCCCAGGTGCTGTTTCCTGCCTGTATGTTTTGTTTCGTTTAAGTTTATGATGAGCAGTAAAGTCTCCATTCAGCAGGTGACGAAAGGTTTAACAAACTGCCCCCGCAAGAGGCTCAATCTTTTGTTGTGCACCAGGAAGAGAATAAAAACGTTGATTGCTCAAGCTAACAGTAAACATTGCAGTTGTGATTTCAAAACTCCGTTTGCAGGTGGTAGGTGACCTGATATCTAGGACCATAAACTGACTTCCTCATCAGGCTGCATTACAGGGGGGAGAGAAACAAGGTCAGATTGAAACTGTGGGATGATTGCCTCATACCTGGACTTACATATTCCTCCTATTATGAGTGAATGGCTGTCATATTCAGTTTAAAGCGTCATATAAAGGTTGCACAATTAAAAATTACCTTTCTGCCAGTGCAGACAGACAATAAAGACTGGGAAGACTGGGAACTTTTTTATTCCACAGTGTCTGATCCTATTTTGACTCATCAAACACACCACCAAAACACTGATTTCTGTCTGCAATCTGCCAAAATTTATGGGTGGAGCCTTCAGTGACGTAACTGATACTGTGACAAAGAACGCTAATTACAGATTGCTTCATTTCCTCCAGCTGTATTGTCGTCACATAATGTTCAGGAGGTAACTCAAGGAGCAAGGCGTGGCAGTTCTGGTTCATATCTCACTCAAGACTCTACTCTGCTGCATGTGTGTGGGGTAGGTGTGTGTGTGTGTGTGTTAGAAAGTGTAAAACTTAAAAGAGTTTCCTGGATTGCTCTGTAGCGTCCGGCACCCATCTGGAGCTCAACTTGATCAACCTGATCATTAGTCATCTAAGCTTTCCGGTCTTATGTGGCTCTCACGGTGTTTACTTGGGGACTAGTGTTGGAAATCAGGGGTGTTTGGTGGATATTTGTTTCTGCAGGCTATGAGATCGGTTAGACTGCAATAATATTTACTGTAAATGATACAATACAGTATTTGTACCTTATTTTCTGGGCTCTAACTCAACACACACACACGCAAATACCACACTCTAGCTAAGTATTCACAAGTTAGTGTTGCAGAGAAGGCGGGTGAATCAGTGTTTTAGCTTCACTGAGACCTATTATGTGATACGTCTGCCTCTACTTGATACATACGGTGGCCGAGAACCGCCACTGCTGCAAATAAATTTTTTTTAAAAAAGACGTTACAATGGAAGTTACGATGCAAAAAAAAAAAAAAAGAAATAAAGAAACCGAAGCCCACTGCAAATGAAAAAAGAAATGGTGCAGATAAACAAAGCCATAACAAAAGTTAACGACACACACACAAGAAAAAAAGTGGCGATGCAAATAAAAAATAAAAAAAAATTTAAAAAGGGACTTCCTGCGAAAATAAAAAGATGCAAATAAAAAAAAAGCCACAACGGAAGTGAGCTTCCAGGGACCAATACTGATGATGCACCAGTGTTTTACGATCTAGCCACAGAAGACGACGGCGAGAAGACAAACAAAGAAGTGAGTAGAAATGTTATTGTTTGATTTCACTACGTGTGCTTTTCGATGTGTCATTTGGTTAGGCCATTTTGCGCCTGAATCGATATGAAGTTGAACTTGAGAATGCTGGTGTAGCGTTAGCTTTGGCTAACATGGGAAACCCACAACGCCCCAAAAGACCCACGAGAGTAGAGTCAAGTTCGGTAGCGTTACGGTTCAGTTGCTTTACTCATAGAAATAAGTATGCAGACCCCTCACTTTTTTTTATCATTAGTTCCCAGCAGCTCACCCTCCGTTGTGGCTTTTTTTATTTGCATTCTGTTATTTTTGTAGTGACTCTTTTTTTTTTTCTTTTTTTGCATCGCCACTTTTTTTGTGTGTAATGAACTTCTGTTGTAGCTTTAAAAAAAAAAATCTGTTTCTTCAGCGGGCTTCAGTTTCTTTTTTTCCCCATCGGTGACTTCCATTGTGGCTTCTACTTTTTTACATTCTTATTATTTGCAGCAGTGGCAGTTCTCGTCCACCGTAGATACATAATCCACCATAAAAAAAATAAAAAAAACAGAAAAGTACAGTTGGACACTTTGATTTTTAAGATTTCGGAGGAAAATGATGATTAGAAAACTTTGGAGGAGCTGGTTCACCAGTTTTGCTTCGATCATGCTAGCTGTTGTTGGTTGTTTCCAATTTTCTTGCAAAGCTAACTGGATGCTCGCTTCTCCCAATCATGAGAGTTGTACCGATCTTTCTTTTCTTTCTTGCTATTTTGTACTTATTTATTTATACTCATTTATTTCTGAGACCTGTGCACTTAATTTTATTCTTACCCTTTTTGTACAGGGATTTTAGTCTTTCTCGTCTTTTTTAATCTTTAGTCTTGTGCTCTTAGTACATTACTTTTATACTTTTAAGTTGTATTATTGTCGGGCATAGTTGTCTTAACCTTAAACTTTTCATGTCCCGTCTTCTGATTATGAAAGTCGAACTCCTTCTAACACTCAGGTCACTTTATTCATGTGCAATACTTGCGCGTTGATGTTTGAAGCTTGAATGTTCGTGTATGTACTAATGCTCTGTATGCAATTTGTCCTAGCCGATGGACACCGCACCCCTGGACAAATTTCCTACATGAAGGACAATAGTTCAGTTTTCTGTCCAAATGCCAATATATTTGCCAAAACTGTTTAAAAGCTCTCCAAAGGCAGACATGATTGAGGACAAGCTAATTTGCTTTTGCTACTTCTCTTTCCTTTAATATGTACTGGCACCAAACTGTAAAATTCAAACTTTCTATTTATTCACAGAAACCGAAGAGCTACCAGTGAAGCTTGGGTAAGAGAAACCAAAGTCATGGAAGACAAAATTTACAGTAAACAATAGAGGGACATTAACCAAACACGGTAAGATCAAACGAAACAGTCTTAATCCCAAAAGCAACCAAAGGAAAGTCGAAGGAAAATTACATTTTGAGGTCTCATTTAAATGTTTGAAGGAAACTTTGGAAGTTTCTGTCCGTGAGAGGAAATCCATTCGACTCAATTTTCCTTGGACTTGTCAAGAAAAATATCCCTTATTCATCTAATGGTTTCCTATGGCACACTGAGTCACGCAATACCTTTAAACCATCAAGCTTTATACCTTTCTACAGACGACAGACATGATCCTGCTGTGTTGTCTTCCTCTAATTCACTACCTGCAATTCAATTAGGCTGTGTCCAGAGTCTGGAAATCAAATTATCTGAAAAGTTACACATAATTAATGGGAAGTAACCCTACTAAGTGACATGACCTGTTTGTTTCTCTCTCTAAGTCCGCAGCATTACGGGAGAGTATCTTATGTAACTCAATAAGGACTGTTCCTCTGCTGATAACAAATCAATGCCAAGATTAATTGCCCTATTTAGAGGTAAATTATGGTGACCCTCCAATGTCTCTGCAGATGTATGGGAGGAACATGTTGATAAGAGGAGGAAAAAAAAGCACACGTTCTGCTTTTATTGGCCCCGCTTTAAGCTCGGGGCTCACCAGGGGTTACCGTAACTCAAATTTCCAGACCTCCAAATTCTAAGGAGGCATAAATCTCTCAAAGCTATCCCCTATCAGGAAAGGAAAGCCACTTCCTTGATTTTTAATGTGCACATACTTCCTCTCAGGCTGGCTCGGATTCAGGAGGAGATGAAGGATCAAATGTCAAATGAAGCTCAAATAGAAATGTGTCCATTCTCTGTTGGTGTACCATCGCTGTACAAACACACTTTGTAGTTTGACACAGAATTTCATGATATCCTGCCGTCTGCAGAGGGGAAGTGCTGTCTTCCTCTGCGTGGGAGATGCATCAATCCCTTGGAGAAAACATCTTGGGGCCTCAGAGAAGAAAAAGAAGGGGCCAATAAGGACGAGAGGATACCCCCCACTTTCCCTCCCTGTCCCCAGTGAATGCAATAACACAAGTCCCTTTGACATCTCAGGAAGTTGATCTTTGCATAGGGTTAGTTCCAGACGGCTACCCTGTGATGCTGAACCAGATGGTAGCTGATTGTGGACTCGTGTGGAGGAGTAGGAAGAGGAGGACAAATGTAATGTATTGGAGACAGAGGTCTGATGCAAAGGAAGTGTGGGGAAAAAAAGGAAAGTTAGGAGTGGTTTGTGGTTAAGTTAACCGAGATATAGAAGTGGGACACAGCAGCCGGCTGTGGGGTCAAAAAGTGAAAAGGGGGTGTAAAGCTTCACACTTGATGTATGAACATAGCTGACCTTTTCAGGGAGGCTGACAAAGGGGACGAACCATGTGAAAGGCCAGCTGTAGAGCGCAAGCAAATGAAGCATCTCAGCGAATACGTCACACATCCTCTAAACAGTTCAGCCCTGAGACTTAACTCACCGGCTCTGCCTCAGTCAGTGAAGTTTAGTCTGTTAAAAGCTCAGCAAAGTGACCAAATAAAGACCAAACAGGCTGATGTTTACTCTCCGCTCCTGAAGAGCACTCTCTACCAGTCAGTGAGACACTCCAGATACCTGTGGCCGGGCCGTGTTCGTGTTTACTCTGCACCTCAGTGTGAGGAAACTGTGGATTTAGGTTCTGCACAAACACAGGGATACAGCATGTATACTCACACTGCTGCATACTGTGGTCAGCATTTTAAGACCTGTAGGCATATAAATCAGCTCAACACAGCTGCTCATCCAAATAAAATAACGATATTTACAAAGTTCAGCAGAAATATTCAGCATCTCAAACATCAGAGTCAACACTTTTGGTAGGAAAAAAAAAACTGTGGAAAAGTAGGTCCAAAGGAAATTAAATGTCTGTGGATCATCATTATGACAAAGATAATACTTCTGGAAAAATAAGACGAGTTTCCTGTTAAAAGGCAGCAGTAGTAGAAGTGTTTTCTATGTGGGTGTTTCTTCTATTTGAGTGTTCACTCTCTAACAACACATCAAATTTAGAAATCAATAATTGATCAAGTTAAAGAAACAGTTTGCACAAGTTTGCTTTTCAAAATGTGAGGAATAATACACAGAAATTCAATAACATTCATGGCATTCTCATTAATCCACTTAAAATACGTTGATAAATATCTCAAGTGTTATTACCAAGCTGTGCTGGACATTTGGTTTTGATTGGTCAAAATCCCCAAACAACAGTATTCTCAACTGGGATCAAACTGATCACACTTATATCAAATTAAATGATATGTTTAAAGGACCTCAGCCTGTTGACACTGGTGAAAACTTAAGTTCCTGTTGGCTCACTGAATTCACAGGCTCAGCAAAATTTTTATATATTATAATGTCAGGCTGGGTGATAAACCGAAAATTTACAGATACCAAATTTTACGACAATAACCAACATCATTTTGCCCGTATGTTCGGTGTCAAAAACTAAATAAATAAAAGTTGGTGTAGTTGGTGGATGTGTGTAGGTAGTCTATGGTTTCATGTCCCTTTAAGACGCTGTCCTAGATCAGAGACGTAACTCCACCCCATCCAGTCCGTAACAAAGAGGGAAAGACAGGTGAAGAGATGGGGGACGGTTTGAAAGTTGTAGCGGCTGGAGTTATAGTTAATGTGGGAGGGGTGGAGCAGCTTGTGGAGTAGTTATCGTCCATTTATCGTAATCGAGGTGTACTGCTCAATGTATCGGGATATTGATTTGAGGCCATATCGCCCAGCCCTATTATAACTTATAATGTGCACCAGCAGCAGAGCTGATGAGTGAATCTCTTTTTTGTTGAGTACTAATATGTCATTTATCTCTTGAGGTGTCAACTGCTAAAGCCCAGAAAAGAAGGAGAGAGACTGAGGACAGAAGTATTGACGTATATTCTTGCAGAGACTAGACAACATAAACTGCATTACTTCACATAGAGCTGCATAACAACACAGAAGGTAGCTGAACAATAAGGTTCAAGAGAAACCAAAAGTAAAAGCTAAAACTAGGGTTAAAGTGCATTCAGTGTTTTTATGTCCGGATAAATATGAATTATAAAGATACACAGGTTTATTTTTAACTTGACTGTGTATTAAAATGCTCAGCTTTTAGTTAGTAACTAAGTAGCATATGGATAATGGTTTCTAGCATTTATACACATCAGTACAAACCCTGTTTTTTATTTGCTTTGCAGTAGCAGACTTTCATGACAATCTTCAATTGTATTCATGCCGCTGCTGTGAATAATCAGCACACTCCCCATATATCTCAGTAATCAATGATGCATTCATTATCCAACAGCGATACCCACGACAGACGAGGTAAATAAACCATAAATGATAGAAGCTGCATTGAAAAAGGCATTAATTACTGGGCACCAACTTGATTTATCGGAAGTAGTTAAACACAGCTGCACATCCATTATTCTCCAGCTGTGGCCAATAGAAGAAGAGCCCGACGTGATGGCTCAAATAATCAAGCAATACATATCATTAGTCAGATCATTCTCCTCCCACATGCCCTGTGGAAAGTCCATTACTCTTTCATGAAGGCACCAAACAAGCCCACTATTGCTACCCAAAACTCACACAGGCCTCCGTTTGCTCCTGTCCCATTTGAATTCCAATAATGCAACCCCCATTCTCCTGAAATGTACAGCCCACTTCCTCTATAACGTCCAGACATTCTCCCTATTGAAGGCCATCCGAGCCAAGACAACTCCCCCCACCGCCCGTCTTTTTTTTTCCTCCTTCTCCTTCCCTGTTAAAACCATACTCCTCTTCAATCCCACAGGAAGCACGAGAGGAAGACTGGAGAGGGAGTGGGCGGGAGGCATACTGCTGCTAGCTCAACGCTCAGCCCCCCCCCCAACCCCACCCCACCCACCCACCTCCCTCCACAGACCATCACTGAGCCATGCCTGGAAAAGAGGAGTTGAGGAAGAAGGGAGGCAGAGAGGGAGAAAGAAAAATAACAGCCACAAGCGAAGAAACCCACACATTTCACACATCATTCCAGCAGGAGAAAGCAGCTGTGACTCGGGAATCCCCAGATGGTTTAAAGATTCCCAGCACGGAGCAGCAGGCCCAGGTTAAGGCCCATCAACAGAGGGGACAGATAACACTCGCTCATTGACTCCTCACTTCATCTAAACAAAAGAGATAGACGCTCTCTGAGGCCGCCTTTCAGCTTAAGGGTTTCTTATTTTTAGCCCTATTGCTGACAGGCTCATTCTGTGAAGGTCTTACCACTGTTTCACAGTGTTGCCTGCCAACAACTCGGTTACTGCCTTAGTCATGTCTTTAGCAACTCTGCCCCGCTGGAGTCGTCACAGAGATAGACCCCATAAAAGGAATATTCTCCAAAAGCCCCGGGGTTTGCGTTAGTAAGCTCGACTCTGTTGCTCAGCCGTTACTCACCATTTCAACCTCTGCTTTACACATCAGCGGGCCCTTAAATCCGCCGCTGAGTAGTTTCTTCCTCATGCACGCTGGCAGAGGCCAGGAGTCACGGACAAATGGGGCTCGGGGAATTAGTTTGTACAGCCTCGGAGCTCTCATCAATCTCAACGCTGTGAAAAGGGTATTTTGTTACATGTTGCGTTGTACTCGCCAAAAGCATGACCAATTTAATTAGCTCAAGAAAGCTTGGAAGAATTCAGCTCAATCTTCCTGCTGACACATCCAACTAAAATGTTTGAAATGCAACAGGGCGCTACTGCCAAGTACCCGGGCCCTCAGAGCGCTGGGTTATAATCTTTAGAGTATTTTCAATATAATTCTACTTCTGCTGAAAGAAAGAGTGTGAACAACACCGGCTGACTGAAATTGCTACTTGCTTCTCATCAAACACCTCTCCTAAAAGCCCACGGCTCAGATTTGGTCTATTGTTCGTGTGCAGGGTGTTATCCTGTTCCTGACAGAGAAGAACATCACACATAGTTAACAAAGCTCAGAAACAATGCGATAGCTTGTTTAAGACGATTATGACTGAGAGAGGGGTGGCTGTTTCAAGGCCGCCCCCTCACTGCAGAGACACAGAGGGGCTTTTACACAACCTAAGGCCTGGCTGCTCTGAATCAGTCATCAAAGGCATCAGACTTGGCAGGCCAGACCCTTTTTCCCCCCTATCAGCTACATCGCTCAATATGAGGACCCAGCTCTGTATAGAACAAGCACTCCGAACTCTGTTTACTATAATAAACCGCTCACAATCAGAGTATCATCAGGATGAACAAATTTTCTTACTTTACGATAACTTTACATGGCTCAACATATTGCATTAAATACAATTAGTTCGATGAGAGATGGATGAAACTGGTAGCATCGGTCCTGACTGGCACTGATACTGAGATTGAGTCAGGTGCTCTCAGAAATATTGAACCTACTGGGTGAAAATAATTCTCTTTGACGAAACTGTTTGTTTATAAGACGAACTTGTTAGCTGGACCTGTCACAATACCAAAGTTTTTAACTTTGACACAATACAAGAAAAGAAATCAAACTAAATCTTGAACGAAAAGAACTCCTAGGCACACAAAATTGATTTTTGTTAGGGGTGTCCTGATACAACTTTTTTACTTTCGATACAATACTGATATTGTAGCCTTCAGTATCAGCCGATATACCGATATTGATCTGATTTTGGCACAAACTTGTGCATGACAAGTTTTCTATTTAGCTGCAACGTCTTTTTCGGACTTTGATAAAAAATGGCCGACATCACTCCTACTCCTTGCTACTTTGTTAGTCCCTTTGTACACATTGTTGTTGTGATAACGTGGGCTCTGCATGCTGGATCCAGGCGATGCTAGATAAAGGTGCTGGAGGGGAGTCAGGAATGGACTGCTTGTATCGCAGATTTAAGATGCAGGGTTATATAATCCGATATTTACTTTTTTACTGATAACAAACCGATATCAATAATGGATTGGGACATCCATAATTTTTGTTATCCTTACTATATTTAAATTTCCTACCTGTAGTCATTTTATTCGTATCAGTCGTTACATGTTTCTTTAAATCTCCCTGTAACCACTATTTAACCAGCAGAAAATAACATCTTGTTCCTTAATTTGACCACTTTCTTATCTTTGCCAGCACTCTCTCTCCTTTTACCACATCTCTTTATCAGTTAACTCCAGCTGCCAGCTCTCTTTTTATTTTGTTTGCAGGAGCTTTTGGTTGAAAATGACTGTAGAGCTACGCTTTCATGAGCTTTGATTCTTTTCAATACTATTGAGAGTAAAAAATATTGAAAACTGACATTTTAAAACATTTGGTATGCAAAAAAAACAAAGTATTAAAAATTTTGACTTGCTTTGTGCAGACACGCCAAAAAACATGGAGCGTGAATAACTACTGACCTTCACAGTTAGAAAAATAGTATCTGATGAAGAATATCAGGGTCCAGCTCTGAGTTTTACAAATCTTTTGATGATTCATGTGATGAGACGGTTTTGTCCATGACAGCTTTCAGAGTTAAAATTTCAATCAACGACCTTGACCTCACTGGGAGAGTCTTACAATCACAACTGAACTCTGAAATGCTCCAAAAATACTCAAAATGCTCTTAAAACTAAGAGAAACAAAGAAGACAAGTAGGATTCACTTATGAAGATATTCTGACAGATTCAAAAGCTCCCGTGGGGCTCCAACATGAGGACATCATGGTGTGAATATTTTGCCGGTTACAAACAGCTCAACAGATGTGATGATGTTTCCAGCTCCAAATCCTGGATCCCATTTCGGATGTTTTTCAATACGACGAGCAGGTGCAAAACATTTATAACCAAGGATAAATCTTGGACATTTCCGATCTCTGCATTTCCTGGAAGCCAAAAGACAAGCTCGTAAAAGTATCAAAAATGTTGCCTCACCAACCCATACTATTAAGAAGGAGTCACGGAAAAGTTCCTGCCAGATGCGCATGCATATTTCAGATCCCTCCTGCTGGACTGTCAGAGGAAATGAAGTTCAGTGGATTGTTTACATGTCCTTTGACCTAAAAACCCCAATCAGATTGTGATTATTTCTGATCTCTTTGAAATCTTATGGCTGCCTGATCAGTGAAATAATACTCGGATAAAAACTAAACAAGTAATTTCATATTAAAAAGCCTCAGACAGCCTTAATCAGCTCAGGAAGGGGTTGTTGATATACTGCAGGCCCAGAAGGCTAATCCTTACTGCCTGGCGCTTGTCCAACTATGCACTCCAGGGTATTTCTACCGGGGAACCTATTCTCCACCTCGCTGCAATCAAGCTGGAGTGGTTTGTTATGAAAATGAAAGCAGAGCAGTCGATATTGATCATTTTTCAGTGCTGCTTTTAAGTGTCATGGGGCAGTAATGTGCTGCGGTGCATGGGAATATGTACATTATATGGCCTCCTCTAATGGTTTGCCGGGTGAGTTTGCAATAAGAGGGTCAGGTGCTGCCTTTTATTAGGGGAAACATTGCAAGTGGAGCAAACAGAATTCCTCTCTCTCTCTTTTTTTTTTTACTGGCCTCTGGCTTTAATTATGAAAACATGCAGTAATGAAGATGTTCCGCTCAAAGTCCCACCAGGAAATTAATTCTGAGCTCAACGAAGCATTGGTGTTGTTGAAACATACAGGGCAATTAGAAAGGTAGGTGTTGTGTTTGGAGCGCATTATATTTTAGTGCTTCCAGTGGGAGTTAAACAAATCACAGATCAGCTCTGAAGAAAAAACGCTGCCACTGCTACGATATTATAACCAACACTGTTAGCTCAACTTTTAAACAGCTGGGATAAACGATGTTTGACAATACTGGTACGATCCCTGACAGATGAGATTGGCTTGTAAAACATAGCAACCATGGCCCCTGAAGGGTTGACATCTTCTTTTCTTCCTCTGACTCACGTTGCCATAAAACACAATTCAGACGGAGCTACGTCATAGGATGTCTGTTATTTTTCTGCAAGATTTGTACTTGACACTTCACACAAATAGATGACTTGCATGGTTGTTTTGATGGATGGTTGTTCTTCTTATGATCTGATTTGGCTTAGCTTATAAAGTTTTGATTTAACCCTTTTTGATGGACAGGATTTTCGTAGTACACCAGCATGTTTATTATTAATTAGGTTAGTGTGTGAGTAGCTGATAATGCCTTACAAAGTATTAAATGAGTTTTCTAATGATATAAATACTCTGTGTTATTCTCGCAGTTTACCAGTACAAAGGACAACTGCCTATGAGACACCAAGTTAACTCAAATGTTTATTCAGAAGTTTAAGATTAACTCGTGGCATGCAGCACTTTCAAAATATCAGAAAATTAAACAAGCCTGGAAGTTTTAGTCAGCTCTATTCTGTGCAACATCAAGTCTTATTATGCAGATTTAAAGGTTTCTTCTCATGTGTCTTGAGTCAAAGTCTTATTTTGCATTATGAAAACCACACTTGTTGGTTCCCTGTTATTTCTGAACACTTGTTCATTAAACCAAACTTACATAAACACTCATAAACTGCCCCTGAGTTGCGAGTTGATTAATTAACTTATGAGTAATTGTCTTAACACGCCTCAAACTGTTTTCCTTTAAATTGTCTTGTGTTGTCTTGTCTTGCCACCAGTCAAGGTCATAGCTTTGGTTAACAGCTACAGCCATTTAGCTCTTCTACCCGTCATCTATCATCCAAAGTGGGGATAGTACATGTCACCTTGGGGTACAGTGTGGGTTGTCAGTATTTGATAGAAATAGTAAAGTTATAAGTAGGCTGTGTCTGGTTAAATTGGAAGACTGGAGCAATGTCTAATCGAACTATCATCCATCCATTTTCTACCACTTCTTCCCGTTGTTGCAGGGGGACTGGAGCCTATCCCAGCATCTTCTGGCAAAGGCAGAGGACACCCTGGACAAGTCGCCAGTTCATCTGACATATAGAGATGAACAACCATCCATGCTCACATTCACACCTATGGACAAGTTGAAAGTGGCCAACTAACCTAACCCCACTCCTGCATGTTTTGGGGATGTGGGAGGAAACCAGAGTACCCGGAGTAAACCCACGCAGACTCAGGGAGAACATGCAAACTCCACACAGAAACGCCCTGACCCGGATTTGAACCCAGGACCTTCTTGCTGTGAGAAGACAGTGCTAATCACTACACCACTGTGCCGCCCCTAATCAAACTATCATTTTTGTAAAAATTACCAGGAAATTAGTCGCTTCATATCAAGACAATCAAGTTCCCCTCATGATTTTGAGACTCCTTAGGTTTTCATGGACAATTCAAGACAATTTAAAAGGAAAACAATTTGAGGCGTATTAAGAAAATTACTCATAAGTTAATTAATCAACTCATAACTCAGGGGCAGTTTATGAGACTTTATTTAAGTTTGGTTTAATGAACAAGAGCTCAGAAACGACAGGGAACCAACAAGTGTGGTTTGCCATCATTATATTTGTAAATTATTTCATGATACATAACATAATAAAGGTCTAAAAAGCACATGCAAGCTTTCACACACTCTTTCCTAACATGAGGAAGAAGGTAAATATAACTCTGAGCAGCCAGCGTGTTAGCATTGTTGATGAGATTAACATTTATCTCAAAAGAAGTGCTGTGCCAAAGTACAGCCTCTCAGAGTTGCAAGCACTGCTGCAGACTCTTAATCCTGAAATCATTCCGAAAGTTTTTCTTTCTCTGCTAATATTTGTATGTCGGATTAGACGCCCTGATCCAGCATAAAACTCCAAAACAGCTCAATGGATTCTTTTAACCTCGCAGGCTTCATAACTTTTCGCCAACAGGGGTGCCTTTCTCCTCGCTGTTGACACAGGGTTGTAAAGTCATGTCTACATGGCAAGTTAAGGTCAGGGAAGACAGATAAGCCTGTGTCAAAGAAGACAACAAAGTCCTCAATAAAGACGCCTTTGTCCAGAGACTTTGGGTTTCTCCAGGAAGGGGGTATTCATTCAAGTTTGGTCTACACATGAGCCATAGGGGCTACATGAGAATAAACTCATCTCATGGACTTTCATTTTCTTTGTGTATGTTGTCAGTCATGCATGTTCTTTCATTTTCTTATTTGGATCCCTGCCACCCACCCACTGCGTCTATTGGCTAATTTTCAGCCCTATTAACATTTTCTGTAGCAGACACTCCTGTTAGGGAGCCTATTGAGGCTTACCACAAAAGGCGCACTGTAAGTGGAGAGTTCAAGCTTTGCACTGTGCAACTTGTCAATACCAGAGCCATTCACTAATGTGACAGGAGGTCTAGACTAGAAGAAACCTGGAGGCAGTACAGGTATCAGTTAACAAGAGACGGTGCATGTCTTTAGGTGTTTACATTTCCTTGTGAGAATGACTTTTCTGTAAAGCATGTTTTCAATTATCCTATAGACTAACAATACATCTCAAAATCAGCAAATTAGCAGGCTTTTTTCTCCTCTTAGTGCTGCTGAAAGCAACATAAAGGCTCAAACTTTACCGATGGTGTTTGTCTTCTCTCTGCAAAGAATACAGCACATGATTGATCCTCTGCCACACCCTTTCAGCGCAACAGGTAATGCTTTAATAACATTGGCAAAGAAGAAATACTTTTTCATGGGTAGTGGAGCAATGACAACTGTAAGACAAGCCTGATCAGGAAACCCTGGAGAGACATTAATCATTACATATCCTAGAGATGAACCTGACATAGTTTTTGATTTTAACAAATTAAACCGCGCTTGAGTGGCAGTGAAGTCAAGTCGAGCAAATTGACCTTGCATTGATGACATGTTTTCCAATTTTTCTTGGTGTGCATATTAACATATCATGTTTGAGGCTGGACCAGAGCCAATGAAAGCTGATAGGAAATAGTCCAATCCTTCAAATTAAAGAGCTTTAACAGCCTTCAAAGTGGATGTAAAGCAGGAAGCCTGCAAAATGAAAACAAATGAGCTGTTCTGGATCTCCCGTTTCCATTGGTTTAGACTTACACAGGAACTGATTCACAAATACTTGATAAATTAGCCAAATAGCGCCACAAGTTCCAAACCAAACATTGAAGGTTACAAGTAAAAATGCACCATGAAGTTCACCAGGCCATGAGACTAAACAGGGAGAGGCTGGCTCCAAGGGAAGTTTCAGAGATCAGCCGCCACCGTTCAACCAATGCTTTCTTCTGAAACGGGGATTTGTTTACAAAGCTATTGTTCCCTCCCTGTAGGGGTGTCCTCGTCTATGTGAGCACCGTCTGTGTCTGAAACCTCCTCAGAGTGCCGTTTCCCTTTAGGTCAGCGGAGAAAATGCCACACCTACACTTGTTCTTTGGGATAATGCTGAAAGACTCTTATCTCCAATTTAGATGCACAAGTGGAGCAACAGCACTCAGAAAGAACAGCTCAGAGTCTTATTGATAGTGATTACGTGAGGGCATGAATACCAAAGTCTAAGATCTCACCCCATCCTTCAGATGTTTGTTTGTGTATCCTCAACTTTCCTGTTTTTCTACCCCCGCCAGGATCCTTCCTTTAATCTATGCATCACCCCGTCCATCTCACTGACATTTCTTACATTTGCATTTTGACATGAAGAGCCATAGAGACAAGCACTGAATACAAATACAACAACTTGTAAATCCGGCTGAGAGAAAAGGCCTCAGAATATGCCTGTCCACTTTCCAAAGTTGGCATGACTGATGATTTTCACTCAAAGTGAAAGCCACAAGTTTGGATTCATGTTTGTGCCCACTTTCCATCTTAACCTTCAGCTACAAGAGCAGAGTTATGGCTGCAGCAGTTTCCAGACAGCCAGGAAATATTAAAAATGTTTTTTTCAGACACATTAAAAACAGGAAATTCTGTCACATTAACCGGTCAGAAATATGTCGGTTACTACAACTAGATTTAATGTCAAGGGCGTCCGATATACCAGCTAACTAACGGACATTATTTCTCTTTTTACCACTTAAACTGAAGCAAAACTAGGCCATAGGATTGTCGCCCTGATGAGGTGACCTGTTGTGTGAGGATTCGTGTTAAAATGCCACTTAAGTAGGACATTCAGATGAAATGAGGTCATGAGTTTCATTAAGAATGTGTAATTTACCCAATATTTTTACACAAAATTTGTATGCTTCAAGGTCTTCTGTGCTAATACTGACAAAATTACAGGTTAAAAAAGAACTCTGTGGACACAAACAAAGTACTGTAACACACATATGGTCACAAATCCAAAGAATTAGGGCGTCTTCATTGAGGAATACAAGGTCATGTTTTTAGTATTTTACTTACTATCACTCATCGAATGGGGAGGTATAGCGTACATCCTCACTTTAGACCAAACAGGCTTTTTTCCTTGGATCTGTCTTCTTTCTAACCTCTCTCTTCAAACTCTTTTCTGTGTTTTCCTCTCTCTGTCATTAAGAGTAGGAGTATAGGGGTGGAGGTAGAGCGTACAGTCTTACCTGGTGTGGTTGAGTCTAAGCTTCAACAGGCTTCTAGTCGAGGTGCTGTCTTCCCTGTCCTCTTTCTCACACCTCTCTACAGACTTTTTTCTCTGTTTTCTTTCCCCTATTTAACGGCGAGGGTTCGGTTGGGGGTGAGAGCTAACATAGCAAGTGGTAAGAGGATGCAAGAGCTCAGGTTTAACCTTCCTGCAGCTTGGTGGGCCGAACTAACTAAACACAGGGGGAAAGAGGAGCTTGGGTTGTGGAGTAAAAAAGGGGCCATGTTAGCATATCCTTTTCTTAGAGCTTGGGTACTTTGTGTTTATCTGAATTAGTATCAAATTGCAGATTCATTTGATCCTCAAAAAACAGATTATCACGGTCAAGTAATTTGTTCTTTGAATGGGATTAAAACATGACTCCTAAAAGGTGAAATTATAAAAATAAACGACCCTTCTTCAACACTACCTCAGTTGGAAATCTCTCATCAGGTAAGTAAACACAGACAGTCTGAATAACTCAGCTGAAGCGGTGGCCTCTTTTCCTCTTAACTCGACACTGCACCTGATGAGATGGGAAGATAGCGGAAGGCCTTTTTTTTTCCGGCCTGAATTCTTGAGTCTCTTTCCACTGGAGACTCCATGCACGTCCAGGGAATTGTGGAAAGGTCATGAATGCAGCGGATCACTTTGTCACCATGTACAAACAAAGGACGCAAATCAGTTCAATGAGTAACCACATTCACTCACTTATTCCGTGCTGGGCTCTCAGCGCATGTATACAAACTACACAATAGATTTGAGTCGCTGCAGCTACGACACAACAAAGGCCAGTTTGCTTCGAAAGAAAGGCCTGAAGATGAGTTTTTGATCATAAAATCAGAGATGAAGCAGGCGGCATTTCTAAACAAATTAAATATTTATCCCAGACATGAAAGCAGTACACAAAATCTTAATTCTTTGTGGTTTGTTTAGTCTGAACAGCTGTGAAACCAGACATGTAATTAATGGTTGCAGACTGCAGCCTCAATAATAGATTTACTATGTTCAGATTCATCTTAAAGTACGACGAACAACAAAAAGCGGCTTCTTTCCTGTGTTCCCTTTCGATGACATACATGTCTAGCCTCGGGTGCGTCTGCTGCACACCACAGATCTCACCCGCTCTACAAAAGTATCAGCGCTGCAGGATGATAACCTGCCCTCTACAGAGGCGCTATTGTCCCAGAGTGAAACCAGAATCCTGTACCTCGCCAGAAGCTCTGTTAAAAGCTCCAACGCTCAGACATGGTGCAGTTTATCAAAGCTGCAGAGGAGGAAGGCGAGGAAATATCCCCCCAGCTCCCACGGCTCAATCCAACTAGCTAAACTTCCAACAATGGCTGCAGCAGATGGAAGTCTGGGAAGGTCGTCAGAGAAGCAGCTAGACACAGCAAAAACAGTAGTACGACGAGGACCACTCAGGACTCCAACTAGAGATTCTAGTATTTCACATGATCATAACCCGTATTTCACTATCATCATCCATCCGATCCAAAAGAAGAGGCTTTGATGACAAGAAAGGGTCTTGTTTCTGGAAAAAATACACGGCTGATGAGGGAAACTGGCTTGTTAAATGTCCACACACAGAGCAGAGGGAAAAGCACTTACTCAGGATGCGAAAATGCACCGCAGGAGCAAAATTTGTCATGATTCAGCTCCACTTTTGCAGGTGTGCGAGCAGATTTAAATCAAGAAAAGATGGAGCTGGACTTCACCAATACGCATGACCTTCTAATCTCCTTCTGTGGAAAACTAGAATAACCTATTAACTTGGAAAAAGCATATGGATATAAGCCGGTTATCCCTTACAGAAAGAAATCCGGGGAGTCCTGAATAAAGGATTAGGGATTTAGCCATCAACATGCCCCTGAGATTACAGTCTGATCTCACAGGTTAACTCACGGCCCAGTTAAGGGGGCTCTCAGACAGATTCACCTCATAACTGCCGCAGCCAGGAGAAAAGCTCGGAAATATTTACACATGCAATAAAAAAGTGTGATCATCATCATCTCCATAGTACGACCCCAGTTCAAATGACTCAAAAACCATTTACCATTTTATCATGGGAAATAAATCACCTCAGTTATTACTCGTGGTTAAGTGCCTGGAGTAGCCGTGGGCATTATTTACAACCTCTCCTCACATGATGACAGTTAATAAACTGAGCGTGCCAGCGCGTGGGGGGACGAGCTCCTTTTCTATTATTCAGCAGGCCCCGTCTGACTCCCACAGAAACCATCACAAACTGCCGGCTGTCAGGAGCGGCGGACTGACAGGTGGGCGTCCTCTGGGAAAAGCTGCTCGCTGCCAGGCCTGTTATCAAATCTCAGATTCGTTTCCAAAAGGACTTAATGGCTTCCCCATAACAAGACTACTGCAGCTAGAGGCAGGGCTAAATGTGGGAGAGAATCTGTTTATTTTCAAAGTAGGATTTCGTTTAGTGTGTGTAGTACGGACAAAAACATGTTTCATTTATCTGTTATGAAGACAACTTAACTGTCAAGTGCATCCTTCCCCAGGTAGCTTCCTCCTTACCTGTCAAGTAGAGATGCACCCAAAGTGGCGATATTAACGTTTGAAACAACAGTTTGGTTGATAGCTGAGTCTGATACAGATGTTCTGTCAGTTTCTATGGGACATGTGTTATGAGATTTGATGTATCTAAATTGTTGTTAGGAAACCCTTCTATTGAAATGTCATTGGAACATGTCTAACAAGGTTCAGGTTCAGTTTAGAGCGGTCAACCCTGATCGTCTTGGGGTTTCTTCAGCCAGCTGTACCTGGGTGCTTCACACAGGCTCTGGAACAACTTGACAGTTTTCTGACATCTCTGAGCACACAGTCTGCAGAGATAACAGAGGCACACTTTCTACTTAAAATACTTAGAGATTCCTAAAAGCTAATCCTTGTTTGATGTCAGAAAGAAGGTAAAAAAAGACGGATTACCAATTCATACTTAGGAACTGTCCAATTTTCAAGCTTTGATGATCACTGATAGTATAATCCAGCCTTAGCTCACTACTTAAGTGAATATAAGCCTCATCTTTAATAACTTTGTGTGTTTCCAGCTGTTTTTTCCAAGGTGAAAATGTTGGGAAAAGCTACTCTGTAGAATGAGACGTCATTAGCTCGGCAGCAGTTTCAGAGGTAGAGCGATCGGCCAATAACCGGAAGGTTGGTGGTTCGATTCTGTTGTGTCCTTGGGTGAGACACTTAACCCACCTTTCTCCTAGTGTGTGTGTGAATGTGAGTGTTGTGTGGTGGTGGTCGGAGAGGCCGTATGCGCAAATTGGCAGCCATGTTTCTGTCAGTCTGCCCCAGGGTAGCTGTGACTACTAAGGTAGTTGAACACCACCAGGATAGGGATGGGAATGGGGAACCGGATCTTGTTGAGAATTGGTTCCAAATGGTTCAATCCATCGACATCGTTTACATTTCATCTTAACGATTCCCTTAATGATTCCTTTCTTCCGGTCGTCAGCTGCTGCTGCTCCGTCTCAGCAACATCATGGAAGGTACATATGTCCTGTGTTAACATCAAGCAAAATGCATGGCAGACTTGGACTAACTGAGTTAGAAGTGTGTCAAAAACACTCGACCTGACCCAAAAAACCCTTGAAATTTTGTGTGCGACACTGCCTAGTAATGTCCTCTTTTTGGGGATCCAAAATATGGTCACCCTAATTTGACTTAATACCGACTGAAGTAAACGCTGTACTAATAGTTTGTTGTTGGATTATTTTTAGACTACTGTTATCAGAGACTCAATACAATTTTGAGTTAACGGTGGAAACCAAAGTCTACTTTTTTTTTTAAATCAAAGAAAGGCATTGATAAGGGAATCGTTAAAGAATTGAATCGATAAGCAGAATCAATAATGGCATCGATATCGACAAAATCTTATCAATTCCCATCCCTACACCAGGATGTGACTGTGTGAGCAAATGAATAATGTATCCAATGTAAAGCGCTTTGAGGTCACTGACAAAAAGTGCAGTAAGAACCTGCTGCATTATTATTAGTGTTCAATGTTCAAAAGAGAGAGAAGCTGGAGCTAAAACGCACATTGTGCAAGTGACAATCTGCAAAACACATGCATGTAAAGAGAAACAGAATGCTTCGGTATCTGCGTGTGAAAGTTAGTCGAGATATTTGATGAGAGAAATGTAAGATGTGACTTTGTCCGCAGAGAAAGCCTTCTGTATACAGACTTAGCAGTGCGTTTGGCAGAGGAGAATAATGCCTGTGGTTTCAGAGAGGACAGAGTTTCTAACATTAACCTAAACTTAAATTAAGTCGAGGAATTCAGGACCAGCTTCCACACAGCCTGGAAATTACACACAGGAAAACACACAGTGGATACTTTCATGTGACCCGTAACCCCACAAACTGACATAACATGCCTCTATACAGTAAAGAAACATGCGGCTCAGTTATTTCCTTTCACTTCAGGCTGTTCTTTTTTTTTCTGTAAAGGCAAATACAGTAAAGACACCACCCTGCAAACTCTTTTAATCCCTCTTACCACAGCCTCATACTCACTGTTTCAACATGTGAAGAAATCCAAGGCTTGACAGGTCTGCTGTACGTAGTTACGGTTGCTAAGCTACGATTGGACGATCGCTGTTTGTGGGAGGAGTCAAAGGAACTGTCAATTACAAGTGATGAATGGAAAAGAGTTGAATGTGTAAAAGCGCATTTCAGTCTACTAAGCGCTCTTTAGCCTGGTGGTTTATTTGATGAGGTGAGGATCATAAATGCGACATGTTCAGCTCATTGGTAGTGACAGAGAGAGGGTCGATTTTTGTATTTATTAAATATTAGTACAAAAACCTCAGATCCTTTAGCAGTAAACCATGTAAATCTGAACATTTAAACTCATCGACCAACTTTCTTGCCTCTTCTTGGAGTAAATCGCTGACCAGTTGTGCTCACCTGCTTCTTAGCGACATAAACACTTTCAGGTCTAAAGAAATCTACCGATACAAATCAAAGTGTCGTCAATCACTTAAAACCATATGTCCTGGCTTGGTGATTTTAAAATACGGCAAAGGATTAGGTGTTCCTTTGTAGGTTGAGGAAATTATCCTCCTCCTTAAGTCTTATTAAACCCCTTCAAAACCCTTGGATTACTTCAGAAATGCGTTGTCAGCAGGCTGAGATCAAGACTGTTTTCTGTCTGTTTTGATACTACAGAAATGCTTATTTTGAGTGGACTTACTTTTAATACTTCAGTTTTTGACAACGGGATCGCTTCTTTTGTTTTACACAGGTGCACTTGGATATGACACACAATAGACGGTTCAGTCAGTCATTGACCTATTTGTCTGCAAAGAGGCATCACCACCAGAATCAGAGTAAAATCTGTATGATGTCTGTTTTGAAGATATTTTCAGAACCAAGATCATCTAGATCAGACCTGGGCATTTTACGGCCCGAGGGCCACATCCAGCCCTTTGGATGTCCCTGCGCGGCCCTTCCTGAGGTCCATAAATCAAATCATCAACATGCTCTACAAGTGTGTTGCTTTTATTTTGAAAACTTTGCCATTGTTTTATTTCCGTTTGGACGCACGTGCGTACATCCTAGATCTACATTCGTGAACAGAGACAAGTTTAAACATCAGCAGAATATTCGTAGACGCCTTACAGTTGCCAAGTCTGCTTAGATAAAAGACTTTAAGCTTGTTTCTCTGGTGAAACTCGTGAGTCGCGGGTGCATTTGTTTTTAACTAGTAGTTGCTTATTTGGGCTTGCTTTTCTGTATGTGTGAAGTTGAAGTTATTGTTGGTTCGGCCCTCCAACACAGTTCAGGTTTCTCATGTTGCACCATGTACAAATAATTGCCCACCCCTGATCTTGATTAACAGCCAAAGAAAAATACTTCAACGTTATTTGAATTTTCAACATTTAAGTTTCTGCCATGATGACAGTCAGCCACCTAGCAAACAGCCCTCTACCAGCAGACACAGTTAATCCTTTCGGTCCTTTTTAACTGGGTTTGTAAAGACATCCTCTCACGCTGTTACACCGGAATAACTTTGAGTTCAACAATGCAGCTAAAAAAACACCCCTTAGGCTGCAATCCCTCCCACCTCCCAAACAACAATACCGTTGTCCATCACTGCGGTTCACTCTGCGCTTCCTCATTTGCCACTTTTGTAGACATTACCCAACCATAATACCAAAGGAATAGGCTTACTTAGTTTTAATTGACAGACTGAGAGGCCAGGTCACTGTAAGTATGTAGAGACCCCTCTGGGGGAAAATGGGTTTTAACCTCTCTCTCAGGAAGGCCATAAGGGAAGTTATTTCAAGTGGGTTCTTCTATATAATCTACGCTCAAAGACAAGGTATTGCAGAAAGTCAAAGTGAAGTTATGAGGATTTATTCTGAGTTAATAGATAAGCCATCTGCTAACTCGTTGGCAAAAATCCCAGGAACACAATACAACACCCTCCAGCTAATCTTTCCTTAATCAACAACAAAAACTTTTGTGTTAATCAAGACATAAAACAACACGTATAAAAAAACTGTTATTTAGCAGTTTCATTTTGAAGATTTAATGCCATAAGAATTTAATTCGTCTCTTAAGTGTGTCCTGTTTCACTCTTATTGGACTTTGTGTGCTAAAAAACACAATGTGCCACAAACAAACATCTGTCCTCGCCTCTGGCCAACAACAAAAAAGAGCATCAACAACAAATAAGACTCTCACACCATATGGCAGCCTTGCTTTTCCTTTGAATTAAAGCTGAATCAGTTGCAAAGTATGAACAGCACACAGACCAAATTGAAGTGTGTAGCATAGCTATCATTTCAGCTGCTCCTTTCTAATCTTCTCTGGTCTTAATACAATTCTATAATCCTTATTTACTGTGGGAGACTTGCTGCAGCGTGAAATGTGAGCCGTCTGGTTTGTTTAGAAGCCAAAAAATATTTAGGGACTCTGTCTTTTTTGAATCGCAAACACTTTTGATTTGTTATGGTTGCCTACAAACCCGGCACTGTTTTTTTTTTTTTTTACTTTTTGGAGCAGACAGGAAAGATGCAACTTGCACACATGTGCTGCTGGCACTGTGCTCACTGCGCTTATCTGCTTGTGAGGAGGAGCAAATCGTGCAATGAGATGGACACTGATGATTCATGAGAATAGGAAGTTAAAGTCATTAGGGAGCAAAGTGATACTTCTGGTCACTTTCTCTCCCCGACATCTGGCCTGACTGAGTCACTCAAACTACACATGAAGTGCTCTTATATTGAATCCAACTGCAGGGGAAACAGGATCTTTCCTGTGCTTATTTTTCAGTCAAATGCATGTCGAATATGCCTTGGCCTCTCCTGAGATGTTCATTCAAAGACTGACATTTAAGGAAAAGACAAAACACTTGAAGAAAAGCTTTGAATTTGAGTCAAAATACTGCTGTGTGATTAAAATGTTAGACTTGTGTGGCCTTTACCTCAGGGCCAGAAGGGAAAGACTAACACAAGCAGAGCAGGAACCACAGAGAAAGCTTCTCTTGCTTATTTAGGACAAGTGAGACAAGTTTGGGCTACTTTTAAATCTGATCAAATTATCTTGTGGGTTGCATTCTGGGAAATGCAGTTTTTTTCTTAATTGTCTTAAAAGAAGATGCCCACTGAGCATTTTTTGGTCTAAAAGAGGTCTAATAGATGTATAAATTTAGCCTAGACTAATGGTAAAAAATCAGGCAGCCACAGGTCTAAAAATGAACAATTTTTAGACGCCTAAATATAGACCAAATTTAGACCAAGTCTAAATCTGGGCTTTATCTATACTACACTGTATATTGCTCAACAGCTATCATAATTATTTTGGTTAAGTACTTGGAGATCACTTATGAAACTCACAGTTGTTTTTTTTAAACAAACAGTTATCGAATAATGGGTTAAAGTGCAACGTCTAAATTCCCTTTAAAAATATACAGAATCTAGATGGTTGAAATAAGGTCTTAAAAAAAGAACTATACATCCAATAGCCGTCTATTGCTCAGAGGGTGCTTATGCAACAACAAAAATACAAAAATTGAAAGTGACAGCATTGTCCTCATTTCGATTTATGTCAACTAAAAGGTCAAATAAAAAATAGAAGTGGGACAAAATGCATTATTTTCCTGACTTCTTCAATTTCAATCTCAGTATTTGAAATTAAATTGTGTAAACATGTCCCTTCCAACTTGATTCAGGATGTCACTACTTTGTTGCACCTAATGATGGACTTAATGACATTAGGTTGAGTGCATGGTTCATCTAACCTAGTGGTTTTCAACTGGTGGGTCCCGACCCAAAAGTGTGTCAAGGACACTTTCTGGATGGGTCACGAACAGCTGGTCAAAAAAGTAAATATTAAATGCGATATTTATGAGATATTCGATATTTTTTGGACATGCAACTTAAGTAGTTGTCGTCCTCATGTTGTCCCCTTCATGTGCTTTGAAATGCACTTTCTCAATAAAACGTGGATTTATGTTAAAGATTAGAGTCTTTGAAAGTTTTTTTTTTATATAAAATTAAATTTGCTTGGTTTGAATTCTATAAAAGTGGGTCATGACTTAAGGACCATGGGAAAATGTGGGTCCCAGAGTGAGACAAGTTGAGAACCACTGATCTAACCAGTCTCAACTATCTTGCAATTGATCAACTATGGAAAATTGCCAAATGGGGACATGATTGTTTGATGGGAATGATTCAGGTATCATCTGAAGTTACCCTATAATTCCCACTCCTCATATGCAGCACATGAGGCATTATTTATTCAATATTCAAAATGAAAAGAAAAAATCAAAGAGCATTACAAAGTCAACCATGCCAGTTAAACAGCTGGGTTACGTACGCAGCTTCATCATCAATGTGGTGAAAATTCACGTGGGCAAAAGTTCACTCATAGCCTACACACGCAATTTTACCAAGTCAATTCAACCACAACTTTTTTGTGGCACAAACGTGACTGTTTTCATTGTCAGTGACGATCCAACACTGACACGGGATACTGAACTCTAGTGGAGCCTTTCTGCACTTTTTACTGGGTCACAAGCAACTTTTCCTCTCACACCGGATCAAGTTTCTCTGTGGGTTCTCTGTGATTTCTCTGAGATTTATGTAAATGTTGGACCAGCGAAGAGAGAAGTGAGCGAAAGCTGAAGAGCTCAAACTGAGTCACACGGGCTCCACGTTGTAAAAAATCTCCCTGTTTGACATACCTTTCTTTTCCGCCAGAACACAGCAGCCCAGGCACAGCACAGAGGTGAGACTGATCCACTTCACTAAACGGGCTGCCATCGTGGTTTTCAAGCTCCGCGTGAGAAGGTGTCATTCCATGCCAACAGCGCGCGATATTCCGCTTTCACCCAAAACAGAAATCTTTCAGGTTTTTCTCTTTGTCGATCACTGAAAAGACTTTTCTCCTCTCTCTGGGAAACTTTGACAGCTCCTCCTCCTCGCAGATATTTCCAGCAGTCCGGAGCTCGTGCAGCGCGGGGACAAACTACTGGCTGCTCTGACGTCAGTAGGCGGAGGACAGATGCGCCTCGCGAGCTACTCAGGTAATCAGCACAAAAGATGACTTTAGCGAGAAAACTACACCGTCCTGTGTTTGTGTGGGCTGTAGCGTGGCGAGGTACAAACTGTTTCTATTTCGAGAGACTGAATCATAGAAAAATAAACATGTTTACGAAACGGAGGTGAATTAGAGTTGGGGAAACGTCCTACCTAAAAAGAGGCAGACGAGCGTTAAGTTAAAGGGATATTCTGGTATGAAATTAATTAGGGTCAAACACACCGTAACACTGAGTTATACACTCTCTCGAGAGATGAAAGTTGCCGACCACTTACTTCTGTAGTTTTACCAACTGTAGTGACTTCTCCATCTTTTCCCTCTTACAATATTGATTACGGACTGCTGCGGAGTGACGCAGCTAAAGGAAAAGCATTCGATCCGCCGCCGCCATCGGAGGAGAAGCGCTCGCGAGTTTACTGACATTTCTCGCGAGACGTATTTGCCCGGGAATCATAGAATACGATCCGCCGATCGGTATAAACAGCGGTGTATATAAACACCCACATTTCACAACCCTTGCCTCTCCCATTATCAAGTTAAGGACAGTTTAATGTATTGACTTAACTTTATTTTGTGAATTAACAGGATATTTCACTCTTTAACCACATAAACCTTCCGCTGCTGCTCGTGCTGCACTACCCTGAATTCATGCGCCGTGCTCTGGCGTCCGGCAAAAATAGAAGCCTTGTGTATCTGATCCGGTCGCAGCGGAGCCGAACGCCAGACGGATTCTGTGGAATCACTCACATTGATTATAATGCTTGCGGATTTGATCCGCCGGCCATGCCGAAGCGGAGTGGAGCCGTTCCGGACCCTGTGGGTTTTGGTGATTATAACTTAAAGGAAATGATCATAAATGTTCTTCCTTGAGCTGCGTCACCCCGCAACAGTCGGTAATAGACTGGCCTGAGGTCTCAAACAAGCGGCTGCTGAAAGAGAAGAGGTGAGTTGTGTTTAGTCTCTTTGCTAAAGAAATCAGGCAAAGTTAAAAAGATGTTTGGTGGCTGGTGCTGTGGCTGGGACCCTATATGTACTGTTGATTAAGTTTGGTCCTGTTCTGAGCATTGTTTGTGGTATTTTGGTTAAGCACGTGACTCTGTATTGCTATCTGTGGTCATTACTAAAATTGGTATAACTAGAGAAGGAAGCGGTTGGCAACATTCACCTCTCGAGGGGGTGTCTAACTCGGTTTATGGTGTGTTTGACCTAAATTAATTTTATGCCAGAATATCCCTTTTAAAGGTCTCTGAGGCCACTTTAAATTCATTTAACAACATCAACATTGTCAGAGGGAAAAGATGGAGAAGGGTAGTTACCCCATCTAGTCACACTTTATCCTACTTTTGGACACAAAGACAGACAGAAAAAAGCTTTTTAAATGTTCTAGTTTTTTAATTTATGTTCATATTTTTGAGTAACCCTACAAGCCTACCCTCTTTGATTTGATTGCAAGTTTATACTCACTGATTTTACTATGTGTCAACCCCCATGTTATGTCACAAGATTAACCTGTGACAACTGTAGGAGAGGCCAGGAGAAACAGATCTAAAATCAGACACAAAAAAATTAATGAATGAGTTGTAACGGTAGGCTCTTTTAGATTATATCTCTGTGTTGTTGTATCTTTGTTGATAATGAATACTATCTGATATTTTGAGATATTTAACGTAAAAATCAAAAGATTAAAATTTGCATAAAACAGAGTGATGATTCATCCCGTCCATCAGACAGATTTTCAGAGATTTCTTTAGTTCAACCTTTGACGGCAAAGCTAAACGGTTCTGGCATCCTTAAATCAGCCTCTCTATACATCTTTAATTGTTGATGTGCATGTATGACGGACAGGCAGTGTCATACAGGGGATGAAATGACAAAACGTCTAGACTCTTGACAGAGTGACTGTGTGATCAGACTTGAGTGTAATTGGATGTCAAGCAGCTTTAATGTGTTTGTTGTTGTACACAGATCAGACTCTATGGGGACAGGAGTGATAGAAATCATTTTTCACATGGGTGTTTATTTCATTATTGCGGCCTAATGGCTCAGCAAATCGTCTCTGGTCGTACAGTTGGAGGAAGAGGTTATTGTGTTGGGTGAAATTATGACCGTTTTCCTCGAGCAGAAATTACCTGTAATGTGAGGCTAACGTTTCTGTTTTTAAGTGTGCTTTAGATTTAGTGCCACTGTCAGTTTCACCGGTTCCAGTGCTGTCTTCAGGAAAAAGGAAAAATTCAAGTAATCCATGACAAAAAGAGCGCAGATAAGTGGGAAACTTTTTCCCTTTGCAAGGTTCCCAACTTTAAAGTCTCTTAAGAGGATAAAGCTGGGTCAAATATTGAAGTTTACATTTTTGTGAAAATCAAATTTAAGCTTCACTCCAGGGCCATAGTTTTGAATCTGGCTAAGGGGTGGATCTAAAGTGTTTTGAAACCAAGGTTTGCCACATACTCAGGCACAATGGAGGCTCATCAAAGGGAAAAAAGAGAAAGAAAAGGCCTTGGCCTCTCACCAGCACCGGTCAATGTCACAATAATGAAATGTAAGAAAGAAAACAGTCCAAGTTTCATGTCGCCATCCACTGCTGTCTTCAGGCTTTGTGTGTACGGAGCTTAGGACCACAGCTGTCTGTCAGCCGAGCAGAAACACAAAACAAACACCGAATAATGGCAAGACTTCTGGGGATTCAAGAGAGAAACAGAGGAAAAAAGAGGAGAAGAAAGTATGTGAAAGAGTGAGGAGAGAGATGACAGCTACAAGATGGCAATGTCAACACAGTGCATGTCCCACCTTGCTGAATCTCACATTTCCATTACCTGTATATATAAAGTATGTATCAGTATGCAGTAGAGAAACATCTTAGATTATGTGTTAATCAGTGCAGCACATATTTGTGTTGTATTTATGCTCTGTCAGGTACGGTTACAAGCAAACAACCAAAGACCTCTATGGGAGTTTACACACAGAGTCCCATTAAGTGGTCCAGTGAGGCAGAAAGGTCATGTGACTTTGCCATGAGGGGAGATGAGTCGGTATCCTGGAGGTCTGAAGTCTGATCTGCATGACAGGGCCCAGATGGACCAGCAACATCTCAGTGCATATAAGGAGAGAAAAATAACATGCAAAGAAAATACCAACTCCACCCCACCCCCCTCACTCCAACTATCATAACATGAGCATTTGGAGTGTCTTGTAGGAGGAGGAGAGAGGAGCACAACATATGGGATCATGTAAGATTCACTGTCACTCAACGATGCAACATCTGCTGCGTCCACACTGATATCATCACTGCAGGTTTGGACGATGAATATGAGATCTGTAATAGATAGAACAGACTCTACATCGACAGTAGTTGGGAAGATTTTATCTCAAATTTGTGTGATTATTTTTGAAACAGGAGTGCTGGTTTAGCTCAGCAGTACAGAGGCTGAAAAACAAATCAAACTGGACCTTTGTTGCATGTTATCCCCCATTCTCTGTTCTTCACTATCATTAAAAGCTTTTAAAAAAAATTTAATAATAGTCCTTTAAAAATCTATTTTGGGAAAAATTGTGTCAAAAGTTGAGTTTACTCGGAGAAAAAGAAAAAATAATAATTTCAGCTCAGCCCATAGCATATACAGTCAGATCAGAACTGGCAGAGGATTCAATGGGCTTCACAGCAAAACTGGAACGACTAAGGAGAAAAAGCTGTGAAAATTATCAATAATGCAGAGTGAGGAAGTCAGTAAAAAGTGATAACAAAAATCATACAACATACAAATTTAAATGCACCAAACTACAACAAACTGTCTGTATTGTCCTCATAATTTTAGATAAAAGGAAACCAAAAAAAAAAATGTACCTGTTAGGTGAACTTTGGTTATGTTTGAACTTTTGTCCTTCACGATGATCAGTTAAAACCAGTTTTTTAAAGTCTTTACCAAATTTATTTTGAAAAGTAAAAAGCAAAGTATTCCACAGATGAGCCAGAAAAAACAGGAGAATGTGATGATTACAACCTCCTTTTAAACTGCAGGTTATTATGAGTGATACAGTTTCTAAGATAAATCAAAACAAAATGAGAAAACATCATTTTGTTAATTTACTTGGCCTTGTTGTGAATGTCTGCTCTATTTTAAGCTCTTGTCATGATTGCCATTTCTCTGACATGTAAGGTAAGAATGTGGACTTGAACTGGATTTGAGTGAATCCATAAAGCTTTAATAATAGCTCCCTAAATCCTGTTTTCAGCGGTATGGTTGAACAGCCTCGGGCGCTTAGTACAAACTGTCAAGCACCAATTAATTAGGTTTAATTAGAGAAGCCAGTGAGATTACCTTGTATCCCGCCATCTGCCCCCCTGAAGGAAAATCTCCTTGAGCTAAACTTAGACCGTAAAGGCAAATATTTGACTGTATGAATGGGTTTGTTGTATTGTAGTAGAGAGTAAACACACACTTACAGGCTGTGTTTTCTCCTCCTATGAAGAGAGATAAAACACGTGCATGTCCTATCTCACTGTGTTTTACTGTTTCCTGGTAAGGCCCCCCTGGTGTTTGGATCTGAGCCATGTTCACTTGCTGGAGCATGTTGTTGCCATGGCAGCCCATTGGGTTACACAGTAAACACCTCAGAGTAAATGAATGAACCTGTTTTAATCCAATAGGAATCCCTTTCTCAACTGCTCAGCCAGTCACATCCTGTTTCACAACACGGTACACCTCGTTCAGAGTTATGAGTGATGTGAGTAATTCCCAGAAGATTTAATATGTGCAGGTTTAAAGCTGAAATGTTTCCTCCACTGCGTGTGCACCAATACGCTGAGGTGTGTGTCAGGCTCGTAATAGCACTAAATGTTGGGTTTGCAGGCACTTAGTGGCAAAATCGCCAAAAGGAGCCAAACAGAAAGTAATAAAACTGAATAATGTTAACAGTAAATAGTGCGTCAGACAATAATGGCGGGAAAGAGCCATTAAAATAACAAGAAAGCCCCACATACAGAATACTCATACCGGTACTTAACATTTATGGTATAAATATAGACTGCAAAAGAAAAAATATTTGTAAACTAGCAGTTGAGGTACCTTATTCGCTTTTCTTTCTAAGTTTTTATTCACATGTAAATAAACCTTAAATTTTGTGTTCCTAAATCTGGCAAAATCTGGTCATTAAAGTAATCCTGACGTCATCCAAGACACCATATTCAGAGCACGACTGACTGACCATAATGTGTAGGTACTGTAATTTTAAACAAAATGTCAAACAAAGTCCTCATCCTGCAGAAATGTATTCTGTGTAAAGGTAAATATGGCAGAATATAAGGGCATTATAGTACCAGCCAAAATAACATCTCTTGCCGGTTTAATTCTGAATAGTGTTGGATGACAGACTGCGCTGATGACCTGATGATATGTGTCATTACTATTTGTTTTGTTGGTGAAGGCTAAAGTCACTACAAAGGATCCATTTCCTTTTTTTCTTTCTCAATTTTTGTTCTCGGAAAGTAATTTGAACTTTTCTCTTGTAACTGAATTTCACTTATTGTTTTAGGCACTGAATGTCCGCTCTTTTCTGGAAAATTAATTTTGACTTCTACTCAAAATGTTGATTGTATCCTTGACATTTTAATATATTTCATAATGAAAACTCTCCTCTGAGTTTCATCTCTAGCCTGAATCCTCTCCAGTAAGTCGAAAAGAGATGGCTTCAGGTGTGAGGAATTGAGGGTCTAGAGGAAGACGCCTGCTGATTGACGTTGTAGACCTCATTTTTTTGTAGGTACAAAGCACATGCACAGAACTTGGCTTGGTACTAGACCTTAGATTAAGGGTCTAGTCTTAAGCTATGGTCAATTTTGCAACTTTAATTAAGTCAGTTCAGACCTATACTTAAGTAACATTTACAATAAAATTAAAAACTTTTAGCGTGTATTAGAAAACTGGACAATAAAAGGTCTCCAATGAAACATACAGTATGTTATGTTTTTAAAGCAGGTTCGAGGCTGCCCTATGTATTTGTCAGAGGGTATTTTCAATCTAAATGGGTTTAAAATTGCTGTCATATTGGCCTTGCACAAATCTTCAGTCTACTGCATAATATTCCCTGTGAGAACCTTTGCAATGCTTATGGCCCTTGGAAATCAATTCATATTGCAATCAAACATCAGTCAGTCTCTAGCTATATATTGATACAGTATACAACACATTTATGAAAATTACTCTCATACAAAACTCAAAGGTATTTTCAGAGCTCACACAGCCTCTATATGTGTTTTCGAGTATTTCTGAGGAGAATTTTATGGATTCTTCAGAAATTCTTCTGCAAAGTATTCGGTACCTAGTCATTCAGAAAAATGTGTTTTTCAGACCCAAAAACTTATGATCCCCTCAGACACGCTCTCTAAAATTCTTCCATCAAGTTCAGACCTTATCGAGGTGAGATTTCTACTCTTTGATGAAGCTCTTTAGGTTTGATGGAGCTGTGATTACCAGAGTGCACTGAAGTGGTGTGGTGCTAACAGCGGCACCAGAGGGGTGAGAGTCTGCATTCACAAAGCTGGTCACACTACGGTTCTCTCTGGGTAACGGTTGGCCTAATTTATCCAATCCATTCAAATCAGTGGTGAGAAAGTGGTTCAAACTACAGGAATCTCTGAGTCACTCACAAGAGGGAATAAAAGAGATGAAAAGACTGACCGTCAGAAGACTGGCTACAGAGGCAGGCCACATTTGTATTGGACTGTGATCACCAAAAACCTGCCAAGCCACACATGTGTCAGCCTGGCAGGAGGACAGTCGTCCTACTTCCCTGTTATAAAAGTGACTGATGGGATTATATCATGAATAAAATCACTGAAGGTCTCAATAACCCCTGCAGGTTGCAACAATTTCCTGTAAAAGTCACTCCTTCTTAAAGAAAATAGTTAAGATGGTTTGCTTTGTTCGTTTTTAAACCCTCATTTAGTCATTTAAAATCATTGCAGGATAAAACTGGGATATGAGCATGTGGTGTAATCGAACTGGCTGTTAGTCAAGTAGTTTTTAAGGATCGATGTTGAAATATATTTCATTTCAAGTGGCTTAATTATGAACCAGTGAGTAAGTGATTTGACCCTCGACCTCCTCCGGTCTGTGGCGTATTGCTTAAAACAGGATTGCAGAAGAGGGAGAACTAACATTTTCCCAACAGTTTTCAATCCAGATAATAAAACAAGTAGGACATCAACTTAGTGAAATCCAGTCCTATTTACCGAACACCCTACAATACACTTAACTGTCTATTTTATTGTTAGTTTTTAATTCTGTGTTATCTGTGTTTAACACTTAAGTCCAGGACAAATTTCATCGAGGGGGCATATCAAATTGTATCATATATCGTATGGTATCATATGGTATCGTAAGGTATTGTATCATATCGTATTGTATCATATCATATCATATCATATCGTATAGTTTCATATCATATCGTATATCGTATCATATAGTATGATATCGTATCGTATCGTATTGTGTCATATCGTATTGTATCATATATCGTATAGTTTCATATCATATCGTATCGTATGGTGTCATATCGTATCATATATTGTATGTTATCATATCATATTGTATGGTATATCAGATCGTATCATATCATATCATATGGTATCATGTCATATTGTATGGTATCATATCGTATCATATATCATATTGTATCATATCGTAATGTATGGTATCATATCGTATTGTATGGTATCATATCGTATCATATCATATATCATATATCATATCGTGTCATATCGTATCGTATCATATATCATATCACATCTTATATTATATTGTACGGTACAGTATGAGGCTGGTCCTGCCCAAGGTTTCTGCCTGTTAAAAGGAAATTTTTCCTTGCCACTGTTACTCATTTTAGTTGAGATGGGCCAAAATCCATCTTAGGTTGGTTCTTGATCATCAAACAATGAGCGTGGTCTAGACCTGCTCTTGTTCCTTGAAAAGCGTCTTGAGATGACGACTGTTGTGAATTGGCACTATATAAATAAAATTTGATTTGATTGATTGAGTATGGTATGTTATGATACAATAAGGTATCATATTGTGTCATATCTTAACGTATCTTGTATAAGTTATGTTATGGCATACTACGATAGGATTGTATTTATTGTATTTTATATCACATTGTATCGTACCAAATGAACCATATCATATTCTATATCATATTTTATCATCTTGAATTGTCTCGTGTCTCATCCTGATCAGCTGTCATGAAATGGCCTGACTCTGCTCTTGATTGCACAAGAAGAGGTTGTAGGAAAATAGCTTTCCATTGCCAATTCCAGCTATGAGGATGGTAGAGACACTGAGATGCCAAACAGTCCACAGCAATGATGAGGAACAAAACAATACTGTGTGGTGGACAAACTGCATTAATACTACATTAATTCCCATAATGACAGATATCCACTCCTTTCTTTGAGACATTCTACTTGTCACATTAATTCAAATCAGATCAATTTTTCAGCTCATTTGTGGCTGCTGGGGTGGATTGAGGTTCCGGTGTGTTCTGTGTCCTCAGAGAGTTTTAAAGCAAACAGCTGGCGGCTACATTTCTTCAATGAAACACCGCCATCTAGTGGTCTGTAGGCGTGAGGCACCTTGTTGTAGCGTCTCTTGGCTGAAAAGCAAGAGCTATAAATGTCTTGAGGGACAGTTAGGTCATGTTTTCTGGGTCTTCGGGGTAGGGATCAACACAGGAGGTAAACTGGAGCATGCACATCTTAAAATATGTGTGGAAATAAGAGATTATGGGGGATTTTGCTCATTTTTTTATTTAACTTGCTGTTTTATTAAAGATGGGAAAACAGTTTGGATCATTTATAGCCTAATGTGCATTCACAATATAAGGGATTTTTCCATTAAAGATAAAATACACTTAATTTTCATTAATATATCAGGATGAATATGTTGCATATAGGTGACAATAAACTGGAAACAGGCCTTTGTTTACTATTAAGAATTGAATATCACACCATCTGGCTGCACATGTGCGCCTCTCATTGCGCAGTTCTTCGACCCTTGCCTCTCTAAAGTGAAACGTACAGCCAGTTCTGAGGCATGGTTTTTCATCTCTCATGCACTCTGTAGGGCAGCTCTTGTGATGCTGCCAAGCAGCGCTGCGCCGTGTGAGAAATCAAAGCGCAGGCGTGGAGTCGGGAGGGAGCCTATCTTGCGCAGACTGGGTACTGTACATGGCCATTGATGCTGCTGGATGGATGTAGCCCCCTGATGTAAATAAGAATGGAGAGGGCAGCGGGTCTAACATGTCGCGTTTTCTCTGCTTGACATCGGTACATTTTATGCCACCATCAGGATTTTCGCAAACGCGTGGCCCTGTTTTTCCTCGTTTTCATCTGAATCCTGCTTTGACAGCTCGCCTGATGATTTCCATTTGACACAAGAGCCAAAGCAGACGGGCGGCTTCTTCTAATAAACACTTGGGAAAAACAGGTCATTATGACCTTAGTATCCTCCAGGAACAGAAAACCATCGGATTGCTTTCACGCGGCAGCTGTCTGCTTGCATCTTTTGCTTTGGATTTCGTGTGCCGTGTCCGGAGAGGAGGATCATCATCAGTTCAGCGTTGAGGTAAGACAAATGGCCTTCCCTACCTCCCTGGTTATCATATGTGACCGAGCGCTCTCCTCTACATTATCTACCTCAGCGTTAAAAAACATACACAAGCGACATATCGACTCCCCACGCTATCCGTGGGCTCGATTACCATAACGCATAACAACATGGATGCATTGTAAGCCTATCAGGACAGCTCACGCACTTCAAAACGAAAATATTCCTGGGACGATGCTCTTTTTATTGCACTGCGGGTCCATGAGCTGATCCAGCCCACTGATCCCAAATGTGCAACCTAGATTTGATTGGGCTATTTTAGCAAAGATGCCCCACAGCGTGATGTTTCCACAGTTAGATTCAGTTTAATGACAGGCCAGCATCAATTCAGACACGCTCTGGCAGCATCATGGGGCTGGAGGAGATTATAAACATTTAAAGGCACAAGTTGCATAATAGGATTTGTTGTTTTTTTGTACCTTATTAATTGATGTCATATTCATCCTCACCTCTGGCTTCCCTCCCACCACTCTGAAGAAATTAAATGCTGAGACTCACAGTCTCTCTCCTTCTCTGCCTCCCTCTATCTTTCTCTCTCTCACACACAGACATCATTATTCAATTTTTATGGCTCACTGGAATGTGCCTGATATCTCTCTGAGATCTGTGCCTTTGAACAAACACAACACACACAGAAAACACACCCACAGGAGAGAGAGAGAGAGGATAAAAAAAGGGATAAACAAGGCGTTTAGCTCAGCAGAAAGAGGGATACAGGCAGAAAGGGGGAGGGATGGACTGTAGAGACAGCTAGTCAGATTAGCTAGCTGGAGCTTTTCTTATAGGCTGAGCGGTGATGGGTGGGCAGCGGGTTGGCGTGCAGTCAGCTGTGGATAGCGTGGGCACCTCGTGGCCTTCGGCATCAGGGTTGAGTCTGCCTGGCAGTGACCCTTACATGATGCTCGGTCTCACCTCTGTGCTCTGTATAAAGCTGACCTCTCGCTTTGTAGGACAAGAGGAGGCAGGGCCACAGTCCTGCACATGTACACAGACCGGCAGCCGCAAGACACGACAACTGACTAAGGTCACTAAAGGGGATTCAGATGCAGAGAGGTGCACTGCTGTGAGAGCCTCTGAGGAAAAAACACACAGGCGAATTTTAACCTTAACCCCTGCTGGAACAATTTATGCAAATTATAGACTATTAACATGTAAATTCCACTTCATTTAAGCTTGTAAACATGAGATTACACATCAGTGCACATAATCCAGTTCATTTTGGTGCAAAACATTGATTGATCGCAACGATTAGTCACTTAACTGCCTCTTATGAGATGCAGAATAATGGATACACCGCCACATTGATTTTTCTGATTGGAGCGGCGAAAGCGAGGCATCTCAACAAGCAGTTCACTGTCCTGTTTAACAGCCGCTGTTGTGATGCCCTTGAATAATTCTGAAAAAGCAAAATGCAATGTGGAGTTTCTTTGCGTACTCCTAGAGCAAAATATGAAAGCTGAAAATGAGGGTTGCATGAAGAAATCAATCAAACAGAAAATAAAGGAGAGCCAGATTGATGGTTGAAGCCAGAACAAAGTTTTTAAGTTTGTATAGACACAGTTTCTCACATCTGATTTGTCATCTGCACATGAACAAGCAAAGAAAATGCAAAACACAAATTGTAGTTGGAGAAAACTGAGGAGGTTTGAAACAGCAATTTACACAATTTTATTAAATGTGTACTATTTTCGAGTAATTTTGAGCTATCACAGATTATATAATTTCTTTTTTCTGTTTGCTCAAAGAGAAAAGACCGTAAGGACTTAAAAGCCACCCACTTTGAATGCATCACACGCTCTGATCATATGTGTGAAGTGTAATGAGTGACTCACTCAAGAAACTTGCAAAATGCCCATGTATAACATCCTTTCTCTTTGCACGTCATCTCCATCCCCATGTCACATTTTCTTCACACTTTCCAAGAAAGGCAGGAGTCCAAAAACAGATCTTAAAATAGCCACGGTATGAAGGCCACCATCTCTCTCCTTCTGTCCCCTGCAGGGATGGCTACAGAGGTATGGCTACCTTCCCCGCACAGAACCGGGAATGTCTGTCCTGCGCTCGGCCCAAACCATGCACTCAGCCATCGCCGCCATGCAGCGAGTCTATGGCCTCAATGTCACAGGGACACTGGATGAAAAAACCAAGGAGTGAGTACGCACACAAACACACGAAAACGCAAGCTGTGTCCGCGCACAGCTGTTAATGAACACACTAATGCAAATTCTGTGCTCATTCATTTAAAATGCAGCAGGAATGGTTATCAATATTTCAATGAATTAGCACAAGACAGAAATAGAGATGCTCTTTTCACCCCCACCGTCACCTCGTCTGACACAACCTCAGGCGCAGGTTTTAACTACTTCTCCTTCTTCTCATTTTGCATGATGATGCAGTGATATCACGCTGAGGTGAGGATAAATGTTTTGCCTACGTATTATGTGTTTTTTTCTGTTCTTGTGTTAATCAGATGTGGTATGAATGAGAACCACTTGGATTTCTTTTGCGCCCCTTCACTGGGGGTTTTGATCACACACCTGTATTAGTGGCTGTAGTTTGGAGTAGTTTAGTTCTATTTTGCACAGTTTTTCTGCTCTGATTACCTGTCACCTGTCAGGAAGAGAACCACTGAGTTCACTTCGGTGCTTCATGTTGTCTTGTGATGGTGTTTGCCTGTGAACGTTTATATAGAAAACATGATTCACCTGATTTTTTTCCGCTCTACTCTTCTCTTTTCTTTTGTTTTCATCTTGAAGTTGGATGCAAAAGCCTCGCTGTGGAGTCCCGGACAAATTTAAAAGTGTTTCGAGGTCGCGGAAGCGGAGATACGCGCTGACAGGCCAGAAGTGGCAGCGTGCACACATCACCTACAGGTGAGAAATAGTGGAGGCAGTTGTCATAGCGACCATTGACTTCTTTTTTTCCCCCCCAGTTCTCACTGTGATGCTCAAATGTGCCATTGTTAATTTTCACAGCTCTTCTCTGTCTCTCATCTCCTCCGCCATCACATGCTTTGTATTGTCATAGAGACCGAGCATGTACGTCACATATGTGGGGGCACTCACGAAAATAAAGTTAGCATCACACATCTGAGGTAACACTTACAGTACATACACACCCATGTGTTGCTGTGAGTGTGTGTACTTGCAGTGTATAAATAGCGCGCTTGGAGAAAGGAAAACAGGCTTTTTGTTTTTTTTAAAACCTTCTTCCATTTATTCTTTTCATTAAAAACAAAACAAACAGTTTTAGCTGAGTAGTATGAAGATTGGAGGCTTTTCTCTCCCTCATTTAAAAATGTTTAAATTGTCCGTAATCTCAGTAGAAATACTCAAACTCTCATCTTATCTCGCCTGATTAGCTCCAGCTTTTAATGGGTTCTGAGGAGGACTGATAAACGCGTCTCCAGCACAACCGCAAATTGACAGGTTACAGCAGTAATAGACGATAACGCTGTCAATTTATTCAAATCCTTCCTTCCTCCACGAATTTGAATTGATGAGCCACCTCTCCTAATGGAATGTCAATCAGTGCTGAGCCAGTGCTGCTGCTGCTGACTGCACTTTATTCATGAAAATGAGTGGAGAGAGAGAGAGAAGGAGGGAGAAGATTTCCCATTCCTCTCTGCCTGCCAGGGACTGATAACGACTGCTGTGTTAAAAGTTCACTAAAAAGCTGCCAGGCTTGAAATAGTTGTGTCAAGTGCAACTTTTCTTTTTGGTGTCTCCTCATTTTGAAAAGTTAAAATTGTTCTCTTGAAATTAATGGGATAATGAGGAAGCGTGTACTTTACTTCTGCTTCCCTTGTATGTCTCCCCCCGTAGTTTTAAACAATGTCAACTCTTTCGCCTCTGTGAACTAGGGCTGCATGATTAATAGAATTCATCAATTTCAGTGTTACTGCACCTGGATGGAGGCCTGAGTATAATGGCGATGCTTTCAATGCAGCCATCAGCTACCCACAGAGTGATTGGTGCCACTTAAAAATCAGCTTCCTCAATTCACGATGAACAGAGCTAATATTAAATCCTCAGTATGTATCTATTTATTGCACTTGGATCAAAATTAAAGCGCTTTAAAATGGCTAAATCTATTCGCTGTTATCTACCCACAGCATTAAAAACGTCACGCCAAAAGTGGGCGCTCGGGAAACCCATGATGCCATCAGGCGGGCGTTTGATGTCTGGCAAGGTGTGACTCCCCTCCGCTTTGAAGCCGTTCCATACAGCGCCCTGGAGACTGGCAGGCGGGACGTAGACATCACCATCATCTTTGCTTCAGGATTTCACGGCGACAGCTCACCTTTTGACGGCGAGGGTGGTTTCCTCGCCCACGCCTATTTCCCCGGCCCAGGCATCGGAGGGGACACGCACTTTGACTCAGATGAACCCTGGACACTCGGGAACCCCAACCATGATGGTGAGTGAAAGAAGGGGCGGGTGCAAACTTTGATCTTAACAGTGAGAAAGTGGTTTTAATGGGTAAAGAGGGGGACTGAAAAGCATAAGAGAGGAAATAACGACTAAAGAGATTATGGTTATGGGGGAAAAGTGGGAAGAATGGTCTTCAAGCGCACAGTTTTGGCAGGTAAGTAAACAAGTGTGGGCTGAGAAAGAAACACAAAAAAGGACAGTCACCAGGAGAAACAGATAAGAACTGATGGAAAGCATAGATTGGAAATACAGATGGCTAGGCAGGAGGGCAATATGACAGAGATGGTATCACAGGGTGTGAGGGATGTGAAACCAAAAACAAAGAATGCAGAGACGTCTTTGATTGGGCTGTGCTCTGCAAAGACGCATAACCCCATCTGTCAGGATTTTGATGTTTTTTTCCTGCATAATAAGCTCTTCAGATGACAGGATAGAAAGCTCTGCTATTTTAAGATGCTGGTTGCTGGCACATGATTATGGCCACTCTGTTTGTTGTGAATTTGATGTATCTCAGTGGTATGCTTCAACGGTGGAAACATAGAAACTGACAGACAACCGCCTGATATTCATCTATACCATAACTAATGTAAAAGACATGTAAAGTTATGTTTTGATTTGTGTTTGTATATTTTGTTACGTTACCCCGATGTAATCACAGCATCATCTGCATATCGAATGAAGTTAAGGCCACTTTAAAGGGTTATATCATCTTACACCGTGTTACTCTGCTGTGCTTGATATTGCCGGTGTGGTCATGTTGGCCTTACTCTGAGTACAGTAGATTAGGTTATGTTTATAATTTTAATACATGTGTTTCAGTTAATGAGATGTTATATGCTAAAAGTGTTTTTATATTGTGTTATATTACTGAACAATATAATTCTGTTCCTGCCAGAGGATGTTAGCTATGATTGTTTTGTATTGTTTACATTGTTATGTTATACTTTTGTTATGTTATGTTCTGTTAAATAACATTGTGTGTATGTGTTTTTGCTATGGTATGCTGTTCAATGTTACTCTATCTTATGTTACATAATGCTTTGCTGTTTTATGTTACATTATGCAGTGCTAAGTTATGCTAGGTTGTTTTATGCTAAGCTAAATTATGCTGTGTTTTATTACTTTACATTTCTCTATGTCACATTATGGAGATGCAGGAGATTGTGTGTTTGCCAATATCAGAATAGCACATATTTTCATGGTACTGATATTAATAAGTAGAAAACATACCTTTATTTTATTGACTTGTTATTAGTTTTAGAAATAGACCAACGACAAAGGTGCTGATTTTGGAAATGAGCTTCTTAAACCTTTGCTTGACAATATCAAAACAGCAATAATATCATGAATCCCTCTTACTCCAGGCTATATTATATGTCATTATATAATGTTACCCTTTGTTGTGTAAGGCTATGTTTTGTGAGGAAATGTTTTCAGACCACGTGCGCTATGTTATTTTGCTAACCCTAACCCTAACCCCAATGTTGACTTACATTACACTGTTATGTTACTTTACTTTACTTTACACATCTTATTATGCTATATTCTGTTTCATTAAGAAATATTGTTTTGTAGTTGACTATGTTTTTATAGGTATTGCTAGCACATGCGGTATTCTGAAACTTTAACGTTAGCAGGCTATCTTAGCAATTTAAAATATCATCCTATTTCTTATTAATAAAATACATCAATCATTATTTACATATGCCTAGTTCATGACAAATGTTAAATCAAGACACTTTTTAAAAAGAGCAGGTCCAGGACACTTTGATTTTTGATTTTGAAGTCCCAACAACAAGACGAGATGAGACTGTTTTGTTATGCTGTATGCTAACTTTTGTTATTTTCAATTTAAAGTTAGATGCACAGATTTGTAGCATTTTAACAGCAGATAATTGAGTACTTAGATGTATTAAAACGAGATGCATTGTGTTTGGCTCTCATGTAATGAGCTGTAAAGTTTAGTTTGATTGTTTTGTGTTGCATTATTATCATTGTACTATCTATTGGTGAGGTCAGGTTAGGCCACTGTCAGGTTGTACAATAAAGAGTTGTGTTGTAATCCACAGGATTATAATCGATGATAGGATACTTTAGCTAATGTGATCACCAATTGAATTAGGCCTTGTTACTGCTATTTCAAAATAAAATGTAGGCTACCAACAGGCTAAGATAATCAGCCCAGAGAGGGAGATAAAATGCCTTTTCTTAGCCATGCATCCACACACACACTCTCTAATTACCCTACCTACAGGGCGCCAGGCTTGTCAGAGCACCACCAGGCTACTTTGCTAATACCCATTGTGCTGCACACTTACATTTTATCCTCCCATTAGTGGAAGAGGAGGGAAACAGCTCACATTGTGTTTGTTCTGGGAAACTGCTTGCCACCCATCAGCTGCCCTCCCTCCCCTCTCTCTCTTTTGTTCTCAAACTCCAATGGTAATTGTCTCAGACTCCCAAGTCAAATTTGTGTTCACCCTTGCGCAGTGTCCTACGGTTATCTGCATTGAGTGCCGAGGCTGAAAAGCTCCCCGTCTCTGCTTATGTGTCTGGAAAGCTGTGCAACCTTTAATGGGCTTTCACAGCAGTGTAATTGTAAATGTTGCATGTTGACATGTGCGCTAATGGTAGTTGCGGCCTGTCTCCTGGGAGCCCTTATGGGACATTTTTTGGTTAGGTGGAAGAGGCTGGTTGTGCGAGATTAATGGGGAAGGGGGAGGTGTAACCTTTTAGCTGCTGGCTGAGGGTCAGCGGTTGTTCATTGCAGCGCTTCTGGCAGGAGTGCATATCATGTTTTAAAGGGCAACAATCTCCTGGGGACAGCTTCAGTCACAAGCTTTATGTAAACGGTGTACTTCTCTCTAAATCAGGTTGACACCACAAGCTGACTGCTGACCACAGACACTGCTCGTGACATTTTTCCTTTCTTATTTATCTGCCTGTGTTTGAACGCGCCACGACCTAGACCCACAATGTTTTCATATGCAATGCCAACACTCGTATGTGTTCAGGTGCGTTGTATGGACGTGTGCTTGGATTTCACTGTCCTTTCGCTCTGGGCTGCAAACGTGAACTTGTGTCCCTCCCTGTGAGCGGTGGTGCACATGTGGCTAATCTCCTCTTACCGAGGAAAAAAAAAGAGGGAAAGTGGTCATGCTTTGCAATTTACCTCCAGTTATCTTTCTCTGCACTATTGAACCACATCAGCTCAGTCGAAGTCACCGCCAGACTGGAGGGCTTGGAGTAATGATTATTGCCATTGTTGATTAATCAACCAGCTATCTGTCAATTTTAAAGCTAATGGCTTGTGGATGAAATGTCAGCAAACGATGAAACCATGAAAAGTATCGCCATTAAACTGCGTATTTTACTCATGATATAAAAACGAGAAAGGAGCAGACTCTGTAGTAGAGGCAAGTGTTTGGCATTTCTGCTTTCATAAACAACTTTAATGGTTAACAAATGATCAAAATAGTTGTTTATTGTGTAATCAGGAAAATGCCAGAAGACCAGTGAGTAGGCTGTTTTATGTAATGTGCCTACGAATGCTCCCACATATCTTATTGTCCAATCTCTTGGATTGATTCCTGTAACACATTTAAGATCTGTGCTTGTCTTTAGTTGCGTTGTAGTTTACAACACAGGAGCCTCTATTCGGGGAAAAAAACAACAACAAAGTATAGCATTTACAGGTGATTGTATAGAAAACAGGTGGCTTGATGTTGTATCTATGTCCCAGTGTATTGAATGTGCTTTTATTATATCATCGTGTTCTTTCCACTTCAGACACAATATGTACTGTACTGTTCTATATGCAGTGAATAACAGTGATTTTTTTCTCCCCCCTCCAGGTAATGACCTGTTCTTGGTTGCGGTGCATGAACTAGGCCACGCTCTCGGTCTGGAACACTCTAATGACCCGACTGCCATCATGGCTCCTTTCTACCAGTACATGGACACAGAGAACTTCAAACTACCTCACGATGACCTACAAGGCATCCAGAAGATCTATGGTAACCCTTTATGTAATACTTCAGTCTTTTGTTTGCTTGTTTTTGTAGAGTTAAAGGGATATTCTGGTGTAAAATTAAGTTAGGGTCAAACACACTGAAACACAGAGTTAGACACCCCGTTTAGAGATGAATGTTGCAGAATATTTGCTTCTCAAGTTATACCAACTTTAGTTACGACCTCAGATAGCAATACAGAGCCACACACTCAACCAAAACGCCACTCTATAGCCACAAATAATGCTCAGAGCAGCACCTAACTTCATCAACAGTACATATAGGGTCACAGACATAGTACTAGCCACCAAACATCTTTTTAACTTTGCCTGATTTCTTGTTTCACACAACTCACCCACTCTCTTCCAGCAGCCGCTTGTTTGTAAGGAGACCTCCGGGCGAGTCTATCGACTGCAGTGGGGTGACGCAGCTCAAGATAGAACATTTATGATCATTTCTTCATGGAAATACAATCAGACCGAGACGCCAAGGCAGAAGAACTACTGTGTCTGCAGTGCAAAATGATTAATATGATGATTATTACTTCAAGGAAAGGATAAAGTCATGGTCATAAATGTTCTTGCTTGAGCTGTGTCACCCCACTGCAGTCCATGGACTCGCCTAGAGGTCTCCATACAAACAAGCGGCTGCTGGAAGAGAGTAGGTGAGTTGTGTTTAGTCTCTTTGCTTAAGGAATTAGGCAAAGTTAAAAAAATGTTTGGTAGCTAGTACTATAGCTGGGACCCTCTATGTACTGATGATGAAGTTAGGTGCTGTTCTGAGCATTATTTGTGGCTAAAGAGTGGCTTTTTGGTAGAGCGTGTGGCTCTCCATACTGCTATCTGTGGTCGTTACAAAAGTTGGTATAACTAGAGAAGCAAACGGTCGGCAACATTCATCTCTCGACGGGGTGTCTACCTCAGTGTTACAGTGTGTTTGACCCCAGCTTAATTTTACGCCAGAATATCCCTTTAATGTTGAACTAAAGTTTCTTTTCCAGGAATTCTTGCAGTTTTATGCCAGCATTACAAACACGACACGTCTTATTACTCAGAAACTTAGTAATGCCACAAAATCCTTGAATACTTTGAAGTTACTTTGTCTTCAGTTTCGATAACAAACGCCGATTCAACAATGAGTAATGCGAGGTTTAATGCCAATGAACAGCATTTGTCTTCTCAGCTGTTAGAGAGAACAGCAAACAGGTGCTTCAACGGCAATATGAGTCAGATAACAGGGCTCCAAAGGGGCCAAAATCTGTGCCAAGACTGAAGCTGCAGCGGTCAAAAAACGGTGAAGTTATGTAACATTTTTACTGGGCAGCGTCCCAAATGTAGATCAATCTCACAAACACTGAAAGGCAGCAAAGACAAAAAGGAGCAGATTCACCGAGAGGACCTGTAAGAAAAGTGGATGAAAAAGGGTTTCGTTTTTTCAGGTCCACCAGATAGAGCGCCCCAGCCTACCAGGCCCCCGCCTACGGTCCCCCCACCTCGCTTCCACCCTCCCTCAGACCCCCGTAAGCACGACCGCCACGCCAGACCCCATCGCCCTCCTCAGGGGGCCAAGCCCTCCAACCCTAACTCCAAACCCAACATCTGCGATGGAGGCTTCAACACCCTGGCCATCCTCCGACAGGAGCTCTTTGTATTCAAGGTAGAGGGGGTCATCAGCCTGAGCTGGTTTTTAGGCTGTTGAAACAGGAAGCAGAAATGATGAGTCTTCTCTTCTCTACTTCTACAGGACCAGTGGTTTTGGAGGGTACGAGACAACTCAGTAGTCCCCGGCTACCCCATGCAGATCAACTACTTCTGGAAAGGCTTACCTCCCAAAATCGATGCTGTGTATGAGAACAGTGAAGGGAAATTCGTATTTTTCAAAGGTACTTAAACCAACAATTTTCACTGTTACTGAACTTTTCTTTTCAGTGTCTTGACGAGTTTCTGACCATCAGTGGGGCGATAGATGGACAGATATGAACATTAAAGCTCCTGTGAGGATTTCTCAGTTTGTGGTGATTTTGGTGCCCCCCAGTGAACAAAATGGACATAGCTGACTTTAAAATGTACATGTTCTGTTAGTATTTCTGGCTCTTTTGTAACAGCTAATTTAATCACTCATTAGGAATTAGAGATGCACCAATCCATTTTTTTTCTGATCCAATCTGATACCTGAGCTGAGTGTATCGGCCGATATTCGATGCCGATCCAATACTTCTGTTGAATGAATAATGAATGAATTGTATACCTTGCCCTGTAAGTGAAGGTATCAGGCTTGACATTAGCCTTGTTTAAAAAAGGTAACAAATTAAAACAGATATAAATTTACTTAATATTATTTATTAGCAAATAGCAAATTAGGCATTAGCACACAGCAAAAAGAAGTAAGACTTATTAAAAAAGACTGGATTGGAACGCTGGATCGGCGTCATTCATCCGATATCCGATCCTCGCCATGAAACATCTGAAAAACAGCTGCTGTAAATTTGTCCTTGCTGCTCTGTAGAAAGTCGACCTAAAGTCCAATCTTTGTCTTTTACTTGCCATCTACAGTGTACAACCCAAATTACTTTCACACAGCCTATCTCAGATGTTTTGTTGTCATGATCGTATTCTCAGTACAGCTTTGTTTGACCATGTCCTCCATTTTTGTAGAACAAGATTACTAGATTAGTTTACTGAGGTTAAGAGGGCATGGACTGGCCGGATTACAGTGAAACCACAGTTATTAACGATTTTGAATAAAAAGTGACAGCCCCACTCTGTGCTACAAAAGTTACAATTCATGTTTATTAACTTTCATGACCCTTTCCCAGTTTATCAAAATCCAGATTACACTTTAAAAAGAGGTATTTTGGTGGTCTTGTTTACTTTTTTAATGACTTAAAGAGATATATTTATAGCCTTATAGAAGTGTTTCCTAACTTTGTTCCCCTTAAGCTGCTATCACATATATCTAAGAAATTTATTCAGAAAAAAATCATCAGAAAAGCAGAATAAACTGTATGTTAGTTCACTTAGAATTTCCACAAAGCATCTTTATTTTTGTTTTAAATAAGATCTTATCATAGATTTGATCATGTTATACATCAAATTACAACACAAAACATAATGAGAAACATCCTTTGATTAAATATGTAACTTTAATGTTGTTTTTCTTTTTGACCTTTTACATATTTTGTTGCGTGTTGTCGCTATAATCAAACATCTCCGTGTGACTTACAGTAATCTTTCATCATATAGCACTGATTGGTTTACTGTAAGGTTGTTTTGCGCTCTCTGCGCTGACAGAGAGGGTGCAGGTCCAGTACAGCCCTCCATCCATCAAGCAGATTAACATGACATCTGTCACCCAGTGGGATCAGAGTGCCTCATGCTTTATTTATTCACTCAGGGGGACTTAGCTGCTTCTGTTTGTGAGTGTGTGTGTGTGTGTGTGTGTGTGTCTTGCTACTCACTGCAAGCACACACCATATCACAGCAGTTCTCCTCACTCTGCCTGAGGCAATAATGATCAAACTGAATTAAATGCAACAATTGCGTCGATAAAAATGAAAACAAGTCTCGGTGGAGTTGTTTTGTTTATTGCATTTAAGACGCAACTACATGGATTCGCTGCTGAGCAACATTTTGTTAACTCAGTGATGCAGCTTACCTTTGAAACCTCTGAGTGGAAATTAATAAGACTGACAATAATAAACAAACAGGAAGCCTGAATGAGCAAACATTTTGTACATTTCAGGTCGTCTTTATGATAACGGATTTTTCACACAGCCTCGTAACTTTGTGTATTTTAGGAAACCGATTCTGGGTCTTCAAGGACACAACTCTCCAGCCTTCGTACCCTCAGGACATCTCGCTGTTCGGGAGCGGCATGCCCACTCAGAGTATCGAGACAGCCGTGTGGTGGGAGGATGTCGCCAAAACCTACTTCTTCAAGGGAGACAGGTTGGTGTGGAGCGGTTATGAGTGCTGTTATGAAGTTCAGCTGTCGGGCACGACTCAGATCGAATGATTGTTTTTACGAAGTACACGCTGGCTCTTGCAGAAGGTGAAAATCAAATATTACCTGGAAAAATAAGTCAATAAAATGAGTTTTGTGTTAATCTTAGAATAGTGAGGGTTATCATGAACAGGCTGATGATTATCTCTATGACTATTAAAATCATCACAGATGCACAAACAACAAAGACTCAAACATGTTTTTTAATTTCATCATTTGGTGCTTCATAAAGAGCAGAAGAATCACTGAATTTCAGGGCTTGAATATCCAAGTCCAAGGGCTTCAAATCTTTCACTTCGGCCTGCAAACGGTTTTTGTGCCGCTGAATGTTAAACACAAACATCACAAACAGCTTTTTAAATCTGGGTTTGTAATTATGGCTCAATTATTTTCATCTTTTATTCTGTTTTTCTTTATTGATGCAGTTTCTCTGCTTGTGGAGCGTTTAATGATTTCAGAGGTTGTTTTGCTTGAGGTATTTAATTATATTTCAGGTTCCTGGATCAATACATCTTCACTGTTGGCATAGATTAGCAAGCACCATTAAATCTTTGTAAGCTGCTACATTTTGCTTCTGAAAGCTGCCTGTTTAACAACTAGTAAATTCTCCTTTATGGCTTACAGTCCATAATGACCCAATGCTAGAGCAGAAGTTGAACTTGTGAATAAATTTCTTCTTTGTTTGAGCTTCGTTTCTGTATGGAATAACATATTTATTTATGATTGTTGTCAGGTTTAGAAACAGGGTAGTCTTTCCAAATGAAGAATCTGTTGTTGATTTATTGTGATGGTCTTGAAATGTAAGTATGGGCCGAGGTGACTCACATGTTTGTTCAGCTGTCATGATACATCATATTCTAAGAGGTCAAGGGACTCTGTGGTGAAAGCTGACAAAATGCTTTGTCATGATACTGTCATCCCTCAACCTGCTGTTGCACCTCATGACAAACGGGACGTTCTGTCCATCGTCTCAAACACGTTTTTACCGCTCTCTCCTTCTATCTCCTTCTCTTTCTCTCTCTCTTTCTCTGAAATGTGACAGGGTGTTTGTTCTAATTCCAAGAAATGACACTGTGCAGCGAGATTAATGTGTGAGCGCCAGGGTATGAGAGGCAGATCAATCACAACAACGCCTGAACAGATTTGTCTGGCAGATAAACACAGTATGGATGATTGATTGGACGCTTTCTTTGGTTACGTGAATTAAGCCACTGGGCTATTAGCAAAAAGATATGAGCCAAAGAAGACTGACTAGAAACTAGGGATGTGCTGAACTCACCACTCCCTTGTGCTTTAAACTGATATTTAAATTTAGCTTAAACATCTTGTCTATTGGCGAGGAAACACTAAACATTAAAAATGTTTGTAACACGGCCGGATCAAAATATTGCAAGATACCATCTGTGCTTGTTTAAATCCAGGTAGTAGAGTATCATAGCATTATGACAGGGGCTAACAATTGGAAGTTGATATGGCCACTCAGATCTTTTAAAAAAATTGAGTTTAACATTAAAGCTGACACCATCTTCACTTGTAGAGGTAGAGGTGAGTATAGAGGCCAAGAAGGTAGAATTTAGGTAGTGTTAGCAAACACTGGCAGCTAATGCTAGCTTCATTAACAATATGTACTTGTGACTTACTAGAACGTGAAGCTTTTCTAGCATAAAGTCAAAACCTGTTATCAGCTTATTATTCAGTACCAAACAGTATAAACTTTACTTGACTGGTGTTGAGCAGTACTCGTCTGAGATTAATAAGAACTTCTTGCAAACGCTCAATGGCTTTTTGTACCCAATAATAAATGCAAAACAGGTAAGTGTCATCTGTGTAAAGATTAGCATGACGACCTTTTAAAGAGGTAACTATGTCATAAATATAAAGAGTAATGAGCATGGGGCCTAGGATCGATCCTTGGGGACCACCTCTGTTGATTGATAAGAATTCAATTTGACACACTGATGCCTTTTGTACAGGTCGACCTGAATCTAGGCCTTTCCATTTCTATTTAACTATGATATAGATAGTTTTTAAGAGCAAGCTGTGATCAACTGTTTAAGGTTTTAGTTAAATCTTTTCTTTTAAAAAATCATGAAATTACAAAAAAAAAAAAAAAACATATTGAGGAAAAACATGTAACTGAGAGCAGTAAAGAACAGTGGCTTTATTCAGGATTTATGTGAGAGATGGATAATTTCTTAAAGACGTCTCTAGTATGACTTTTTAATATGATCAGTGCAGGTTAAAGACACTTTGGTGTTGGCTTCCCATTCGCTTCTGCTTTTTTATGCTGATCACTCCCCTAATGAAGTTTAAAATATGACTTTATCGTCCTTATTAAAGGATAGGACACAGTCTTCATTAGAGGGCCCTCTTTCAGTTATTAAAATTACATGGTTACTCAAGGCATTAGTCCTTGGACAAATATATTTGTTCATCATATCACGCTCTCTTCTGCAAACTCGAAAAAAAATTGTTTTCTTTTTCAAATCGGACTTTCTGCTGCTTTTCAGTCAGTGTGTGGGCACTCCTCTCCTGTGCAATAGGAGTGATATCTTGGCTGCACAAACTGTACACCTGGCACAACTTTTTAAAAAGCTTGGATTCAGGAGTGTGAAATCCTTTCTCACATGTTTGTCTTGATGTTTTGATTTTGTCCCTCCACCCTGGCCGCACACATTTGGATGCTCATGCTGACGGGAGCAGAACATAAAAGAAAGTAGATGTTGTTTTCTTCGTAAGACTGACACATGGGTCTCAAGTGATGATTGTGGCATCCATGTCCAGTTTGATTAATTAAACTGTCATCACCCTGTGTGGGTTTGTGCACGCAGTCAGAAATTTGGGAACTCTTCTTCTTGGAATTGCTCCCTGTTTCTGCAGGTTTATGATGAGAGCACAGAGATGACCAAAGTGTTTCTGTCTGTTCATTTGCAGATACTGGAGGTACAACGAAGACATGAGAACCATGGATCCAGGTTATCCCAAACCCATCACCGTCTGGAAGGGCATCCCTGACTCTCCGCAGGGCGCTTTCGTGGACAAGGCCAACGGTACGACAGCTTCATGTAGGACCACAATACCAGATAAACAACACACTTGCATTACATAACACCTCTCTTTTAGAAACAGTCAGGTTCACTTGGAAATATGGCTGCATTAAGTAATTGTTTAGTCACATTAGACAGAAATGTCTTTGTCACTTGTGTTGTAATTTGCAGTATCGTTATCATTTATCATATGAAGCTTAGCCAAATGTTCAGAGTTGCTGCTACGATCCTCTGATCACAACTTTTTGATGCACTGAGTCATAAATGATGTAATGTTGTGTTGGTACAGCAAGTCCTGGCAGATAAGTACAACTTCTCTGAAGGCAAACTTCTCTCTGAGGTTTATTCCTGAGAGATTTATGTTGTTACTAGGAGCTGAAAAGCAGAAATAAATTACCAAACCAAAACATTTCAGACTTCTATATCGAATTCCAGGTTAGAAGTTTATCAAAGCTTATCTGTAGCCACACAATACTTGCAAAGTTCTTTCTGAATGACTCAGAGTGAATTTGTTTTCTCCTTCCTCCAGGGTTTACCTACTTCTACAAGGGAAAGGAGTACTGGAAGTTCAACAACCAGCTGCTTCGCGTGGAGCCCGGCTACCCGAGGTCCATCCTGAGAGACTTCATGGGCTGCGACGGTCTACCCGCTGACCCTGACTGGGACTGGAGCCCTCCGGTGGCAGAAGAGCGCCATTACGACAACGGCGACGTGGACGTCGTCATCAAACTGGACAGCGCGGGGGGCACGGAGAAAGCCGTGGCCATCGCCATCCCCTGCGTCCTGGCGCTGTGCATGATGGTCCTTCTCTACACTGTTTTCCAGTTCAGGAGGAAGAGCACGCAGCGCCACATACTGTACTGCAAGCGCTCCATGCAGGAGTGGGTGTGAGGGACTGTTACTGCTCTGTATAAAGGGGTGTGAAGCTCTGATAAAGGTCTAGTCATTACTTGAAGCCCTAAGTACAGTAATTGGAAGCACTGTTAAAGGGTGCGCAAGGATTGCCATGTTGGCAGATTTGAAAACTGCTTGAATTCGTTACGAACAAGCCGCGAGAGAGCGAAACGATCAGCAGAACTCAAATGAAGACACAGTGAGGGAGCCACATCCCCTATGTCCAACTAATATGTATGTATCTGCTTCGACTTTTTTCTGTATCTTGGAATGAACTCAATTGAGTGAGACAGAGTTAAGCTACTATAAGTGGGACCTTTGTCTGTCCTCGTCTCTGCACGCCGCTTAAAAGCCCCTAGCACTAACTTCAGTGGACAAATTAGATATAGGCTTCTATTTTATTTTCAGTTCTTAATGAAATCGCTCTGAGCTGTGCTTTTCTTTTAATTTAGGGTCCCTGTAAAAGATTATTTATTGTGTGGAGGACTGATACACAAACCAAATATGACCTTTTCTTCCAAAGAGGATTACCGCTCGATGTTGTTTTTGATGGGATAATTTTCCTCCATGGATCGAAATATTGTGGCATCATAACTCTGGTTTTTCTTTCCCGCCATCAGTACTCACACCCACCCCGTCTGCTCTGTTATCTGTGGGGATAGGAAGCAGCCGTTAGGAAGAGCTAGGAACTCCAGACTGTGGTGGCGGTCTATCTCCAAAACAGGGGCCAAAAACCTCTCTGCAATATTTATGAGACTGCCTTAATCACGGATTGCTTAAACTCCCTTCTCTTTCTCTCTGTTCCTCTGGTCTGGATGCTGGAAGCTGAAGGGGGGCGGACACAGTAGGAATACAAACAAGCATTAATTTCTACCCATAATGCAATTTCAAAACCAGTAATTAAGGACAGTTTGATCCACAAAGGGTTCATTGCTCTTGAAAGCGTGCTAAGCAGTGCTAAATACCTGACGGCGAGAAGGCTTTTGGCTTTCATTCGCTGCCTCACCAGAGTGTGTGTGAGAGAAAGAGAAGGTTAGATGTGTGTGTGGAAGAGACAGTAATTACCCACACTATATACGTACTGTATCATACTGTAGTGTCTGCTTCAAACATCATGTTTCCCCCTTTTTCCTGCCATCTTTGGACCTCAATACTCCAAGCTGTGTCATTCCATACATTTTTTACATCTGAACTAATCCACGATTTCTTTTTGATTTCAACTTTTATACAAGGTTTGTAAGTTTACATGATGTTTCTCATCGAACTGGACATGATGAAGAGGAAGAAGAAGGAGGAAGAGGAGAGAAAATGGACAGGAGGTAAAAATGAGCCCCTGCTTTTTGAACGAGACATATGACATTTCTCATCATCTCTCTGCATATCTACCCGACATCAGCAGCCATTACTTTTGCCCAGGATGCTCCATCTTCTCATAAAGTTACTGCGAAACGCCTTTGAGGACATGCACAAGAAGAAAAACTCACAAAGAAATCCACCAAAATAAAAGAAGCAAATTAGAAACTGGGAAATATGTTAAAGAAAAACTATACTAATGTAACATTAACAAATTACTAACAAAGTCTTTTGTAAAACAAGTCTAACAATATTTGAATTAACAGGCACATCAACCAAACCAGCTAAATTAAGTCGAATATTTACCGAGTGTATCACGATCTATGATGTATCAAATATTTATTCATGAATCATGAAGTATGAAGACATGAAAGTGACGTTAAAACGGCAGAATCTCTACGGTGAGAGGTGGGGCTGAGCTGTGCAGGAGTTTCCTTCTGTCCTGTGTGTTGTTGTTTTCCAAAAATTCAACACACAGCCTGGATTCAAGTGAAATATAATGTCTCTCAATTGCCTTTGATTGCTGCCATATATGTGACCATGTGGTTGTGTGGTGTAGCGTTTCTAAGAGTTTGCCAGATGACCAGTCTGTGAGTATTCATGACGTGATTTTTTTTATATTCGTGCTCTCTGATTTTGTTACTCTTTTACTAGAAACGGTCATCGACATTTACTGTACAGGATATCTGCGTATCTTCCATTGATATCAAGGCAATGCCATTTTTATAACATACCACAGGTGGGATATTGAAGTTGAAAATGTACCTTTCAAAAGGGAGAATCTCGTAAAGGTGTTGTTGAATCTGTCATGTAAGGGATGATAACTTTGAATCTTCATGAAGGCGATGCATGCCGTTGTTAAACTAAGATGTCATTCTGTCAGCGGTGGATCATTCAGACGCTCATGTTCAATTCAGTCTTTTCCATTTCTGGTTTAATAAAGGTTACAAGTTTCTGTTGGATACATAAACACACCCAAGCTGTCCAGAAGAGATGGCTGTCCATGACGTGAAATGACTATCTTCCCGTCTGTCCTCCCTGTCTCAATCTACAGGCGACAGTCAGAGCGGTGAAAAGAAAAATGTACACATTTTACAGAGAGAGGAACATCTTTGCTTTCTTGGAGTGACGCAGAATTGCTGTGTGCACCAGTCCATGCTGATTCATGACCACTGTAATTTATGGAGGAAGCAACAACCTGTGGCTCAGTGTTGTGTGTGATGTCTTATCAGTTTGTGTGTTTGTGGTGAGGGTCTGACGGCTCCAGAGAGTGTGAATTAAAGACGACCAGTGAGGCGAGTCGGTACTATATTTATTGCCGTATTTATTCCTCTGTGCTCAGCACCTCAAATCTTGCATTGCATTGTACTGAGGGCGAGAACCTGTCAATAAAGTGGGTTTGAAATGCTGTCTTTCTCCTAAAGTAATCCTTCTTCCTTTGTTACTGCTTCAACAACAAACACATAATCCACTCCACTCTGGATGTTTTCTCTCCTCTTTAAGAGGTACACCACAAGCTTAAAGGTGGGGTAGGCAGGATCTGAGGAAGTGCCAGTTTTTGAGAGAAATCTTGAATGTTAACTCTCCCCCTCACAACCAGTTTTCCCCTCAGCTCCTCCTCTCCCCTCCCTCTCTGCTCCAGTAAGCCCCGCCCACAAACAGACGCTCCTGCTCGCTTGTATCATTCCAACTAAATTCAGATATAATGCAAATAAATACTTCAGATAATAAAAAATGGGGCCCAGTCAACATGAAAGTAAAAAGCATTGGTGCTACTGTAGCTGTCAACAGACTACCAGAAAACACAATGTCTGCAGGACTTCTACAACTAGGATAAAGTTCAGCAGCGCTACAACACACAGCAGTTCCCATTTGACAAGGAACACTTCTGTTACAGACACTTGGCTTACTTTGTTAAAGCGGTTTACCTGTCCAGCAGAAAGGTTACAGGAACTGTAAGATCCCGAAGCACCCCCATCATTGTTGACCCGACTTTATAGCTCTTGTCCGGGTGGTCTACCTCCCTTTTTAGCGCCTGTTATTCCGCTAAAGTCTCCGGTATTTATGAAGTTTTCTTGCTTGTGTTGGCAGTTGTGGCTAAAGTTGGATTCAGACAATTTTCTGTACTTTCTGGTTGGTTTCTACTGTCCGATATTGTAGCACGCTAACTTTGTTTGGGCTCGTGAACGACAGGGGGGAGCAGCATCCGCCTCACAACCAATCAGGTTGGGGGAGGTGGAGAATGGCTTTGTTTACAGTCAGAAAGAGCGGGCTGCTCAAAAAATTTAAAATGTTGACTGTACAGACATAACAAAACACAGCGATATCGTTATATTACCAAATGTCATCAATAACTAATAGCTATTGACTGATATTAAAAGCTTTTTTGTATATACACCACAAAAAAAGATGCCTCCCAAATGGATTCCTTTCACATCAGTCCTTAAAAAAGTCTGACATTACAAGTGTTCAGGCTCGTCTCTTTTTATCTCTGAACTCTTACCTCCATGCATTTACACACTGCCGGGCATAAGTCATTAAAGGAAGCAGATGAAGCCGATTAGACAGCAGACGATACGACGGAAAACCACTCTAATGATAACTGATAGGACAAGGTGACTCCAGAGCCCTCCCAAAATACACACAGCCTGTCCCCCAGACAAAGACACAAGAGATATTATCTTTGAATATATCAGTTGGCGTTAAAAAAAAACACTTTGGTTTGTTCAGTTGGTGTTTTATAGTAAGTGTGTGGAGCAGACAGACACCAGCCACCATGAGGTGAGTCCAAAAGAAATAAATTGGGAAAAGACTTCATGAACGAGCAGAATTTAGAAGAACTGACTTGGTAAGTATATTTAAATCAATATATAATCACTTGTGTCAACATAAAAGCAGGTCCATCACCAAAAAGGAGTTTTTGATGGTAAAAACTTGACAAATGAAGGATCAAACGTATCAAGCATCACTGAACCTTGTTGTCTTTGAAGGCCACCATTGCTTCACTGAGACGAGGGGCGAGCAGGGGAGCATTCAAGCTCAAATCTGAATGCTAAAAAGACTACTTAATTGGACTAATCTAAGGAGTAAATCAAGGCTAACTATCTAGGGTCTTGATAAAGGAAGGGGTGTTTAATGGGCCTGAAATAAAAATCAAGTTTTTCTGTGAATATTTGTTTAATCTGATTTAATAATGGGCCATTCAAGGGTGGTCCAGGGTTCTAATACAGGCCAGGGCCTCTCCTGTGTGGAACGGCAATGTTAGTGCTTCCCTCTGCTGGAAAGTGACGAAACCTTATAAATAACAGTAAAAGACTTAAAGGTCTATAAAACCTGGAAAATAAGCTCTGACAGGGAGCGCAGAGGGGTGGAGGTCAAGACTGCTGCCTTATGGCAAGAGGTACGTTAGTAGCTCAGGAGGTAGAGTGGTTGTCCAAGAAGGTTGGTGGTTCGATTCCCCTCTATCCCTAGTCTGTCTGTTGTGTCCTTGGGCAAGACACTTTACCCACCTTGCTCTCAGTGTGTGCCCTCCACTGGTGTGTGATTGTGAGTGTTGTGTGGTGGTGGTCTGAGAGGTCGTAGGCGCAAACTGGCTGCTAGTTATCATCCATCTACCCCAGAGCAGCTGTGACTACTAAGGTAGTTTACCACCACCAAGGTGTGACTGTGTGAGCGAATAAATTATGAATCCAATATAAAGCGCTTTGAGGATCTCTGATAAAGCGTTATATGAAATCTGATGCATTATAATTATCATTACGAAGTCAGAGTTGGCTGACTCGTTTGATGCATGTGGTGGTTAGAGAAGAAGAAGAGGGTAGAGAGTATAATCTGATCACTTCAGCATAGAGTAATCTGATTATATTTGGTCATATTTCTTTGCCACTACAAACATCTAAAGAATAATGTAAAGTGACATTTTAATAGTGTGGACCAAATTAAGCATCACGTGCAATTTCAAGTTTTTGCAAAGCAGTTCAGGAGGATGAATGTGTAAATCCTCTGAATTATTAGTATGATTTGACATTAGGATCAAGTTTGTTGTGCGAGTGGTATGAAACCAACCTTGTCCTGCAGCCAAACAGTGAGTTAACTGCGTAGAGAACAAAGGAAAGGTCAACTGTGAGCAATGAGTCATACGGCTGTTTGTGGGATTTTTGTGGGAACATAAAAAAACATTGGGTCATCCCCTGACAGTCAGATCAAGTTTTAAAGGGCCATGAAGAGATGGAGAATTTGTGACCCTCTGGTTGTTTGATTGGTGGTAATTCCTGATTTTAACCATTATCTGTGTCTGAACCATGGTGCCGACACTCGCTCTGAACATTTGCTTTCCTTATTTGTGCTGACAGCTTCAATTTTAGGGGACTTTTTCTGGAATTATGAACCAGTGAACATCCATTTATGCGTCTTTCCTTTATTTATTTATCAAGGTAAAGCAATGTCCTGGTTCCTCTGCCCCCAAAACACGTCTTAAGTGTCTTCGCTGTAGATGTTTGGTATCTGACAGTTCGTGTTTTCTTTCTGCTTTCAGGGGAAACGCAAAAATACAAAGAACCAGAAACATGAAAAAAATTATAATAGGAATGAGGTCAGAATTTTTTTGTTGACTTTATTTCCCTCCAGAAAAAGTGACCCCAGTCCACGCTCCTACACACAAAAAGACAAATTGACAGTGAAAGTAAGGAGGCTCATCTGGACTTCCTTCAAAGTAGAAAAACATATTTTACAAAGTCTGAGCTGCTGTATTAGGACCACGTTGAATAATCATTTTTTAAAGATACTTTTATTTTTTAAAGACTTTAAAGTAAGCAGTAAAATCATAAAGATTACAAGAATAAAGACAAAATATAATGAGAATAAAGTCGTAGTGAGCAGCCCCTTTTAATGCAGCAGCTAATCAACGACTAAATTAAAGACTTTGAACATAATTTTACTTTGACTTTATTTGGAAGAGTTTCTTTTTTGTGTTTTCCTCCAGCATCATCTCTGCCACTCTGATAAAGAGAGTCAAAAAAAGAGATTTTGTGGATAATTTTGCTGGTTTTGGAGCCAAATATCAAGTCTCAAACTCTGAGACATCTTGTTGCTTAGTTTGACCTTATCAGAAAGAAGACCAACACCTAGATCTCTGTTCAAATCCACATTCTTTAAGTCTGTTCATCTTTACCTCTTGATTTAGCCTTTTCCTACAGGAGACTCCACAGGCAGGAGCAGAGAGGCTTTTGTCATCTTTTTAGGGTACACAGTGTGAAAGTGGGTCATCTCTCAAGTTTGTCCTCCGAATTGGGTCAGGTGTCACTCTGGATATGTGAGTGCAACAGTAAGGACACTCTTTTTAAAAGGGTAAATATTAAATATTAAATGAATAAACTCGACAAGAGGAAAGTAGAATGACAGTGATGTGTGTTAAAACAGGCAGAGCTTGAAATCCAGTCCAAAAGTCAGTGCACAGTCAACTGGAGCGAATGAATCCATGAAGAGTAATGCAAAATAAAGCAGGAAATGAAATTATCAATGAATGAGGAGAAAAAAACTGGGAAATTTAATGGAGTATGACAGATTGTGATCACTGCTCCTGATATCTGACCATCACTTCTGCAAAGACATCTGAGTGTGTGGAAGGATAAGGTCGGTGCGTTTCCACCGTAGCTGATTTTACCCTTCCTCTGTGAAATCACAAGACTCTACAATGACACAGCGTTGTTTCTACGCACAATGGTCATTATCGTCATTCACGTCTCAGATCTCAGAAAACAGAACACTCTTTTATTATAATAAAAAAAAGTAATAAAAAAAACATGTACAAGTTAGACCAAGCCTTGTTTGATAGTTTTCCTACTTTCTACAGCCACTTGATGTGGTTGTGGATGATTAATTAAACAGTTACAGATTTTTAAGACATGCTTCATTTCTGACAGAAAAATTTCAGCTGCTTTTTTTTTGTTTGTATTTGTATTTTGAGTTTGTTTGGTTTATTTTTCTGTACAGAGACCAATCAGTTCTAGTGTTTGCCCTCCTTGTGAGGGCCTGGTTTGTTTTGGGAGTTTGGGGTCAAAATGGAAAGTAAAAAATATTCAAATGGGAGAAACAGGAAAATGTGATATGGGTTTAACCGCATTTTTGTATCCATTGCTGCTTTTCCTGTTAAAAAGATTAATTTCAAAAAAAGGAAAAAAGAAAAAAAAAAACTTTTAGCGGCTTGATGAAGATGAGAGTATTTACAGGGTCTGTTGGTTTTAAACTCTTTCAGTGCAGTTACGGAAAGCCAAAAAGGACAAAAAATGTGGTTTCTTTTTAATGATAGTCCTCACTTTGTAGTTAATTTAAGTGTCCTTTTCCCATCATCTTCTCCATTGCAGATTGTGCCTCTTTTCCACTCTTTTAGACTGTCCTAAACCTCGAAATGCCACCAAAACATCTCATCAAAAAGAAATTTGACTTTAAAAATGTAATTTTAAGACTTTATGAGTCTACAAACATGCAATGTTCTTATTTATTTTCTGCAATTCATACAGTTTTTTTTTTAATCGTGACAGTGAAGATGATCAGCACAAGACCATCGAGTCCAACAATTACCATTCTAGACACGCCAGTCACACCCTTCACAATTCAATTTAAAGCATTTTTACAAGGCCTCATGACAAGAGGGATCATTTGTATAAACTGGCCTGAAAGGGGAGCGTCCATTCAGACGATCAACTCACTCTTCCTTTATCCAGACTGAGAGAAACCTGCTCTTCTTTTTTTGACAATGAGGACTCTGCTGCTGGCCTCTGTTCTCTTTGCAGGGCTGATGTTTTCATCAGCTGTCCCTCTTTCTCTTCCTATTCCTTACCATGCTTTCTGCAGAGTCATGTGGTGAGTCATTTAATATCCTTTTTGTATCTGAATATGAGATCAGGATGTATTTCTTCATCAGAAATGATCTATGCGCCGTAATTTCAATCACACCTTGGGACATTTTACTCTGAATTATGAATGTTTAATCCTGAGCGTGCTCAAACTTCATTATTTCTTTTCTTCAAGGCTCTTTGCAGTACCCTGCGATGAAGTCAGCATGAAAGTGGCTCAACAGATTCAAGCTTTCTACCCTGGGTATAAGGTGAGTTAGATTCACCTGGATATGAAAATGATACAGAAAGAAGAAAATGCAAGACTACAAATAATATGAATTAATTCAGTCTAACAGTGTGTTACTCTCTGATCCAGCTGGTGTCGGCCTCTGCTATGATCATCAGAGCCAACCACACTTCCCTGGACGGCCTCCAGGCTGAGAACATCACCTTCACATTCAACCCGACCGTGGAGACGGGGGGCTGCCGTGCAGGTGTAAGTACAACTCTGGACCCCTTTAAGTACAGTGATACCTGTCTCTTCTCTAGTGTAATCTAGCTATTTTTACCCCCTGTGTACAAAAATTCTTATAGATTTACTTTTTAACTTACAGGACACTGGGAGTGAGAGTAAATGTCATCCTATCTGACTAAAACTGGTCCTCAAAAAGCTCCTATCTCCCTTATCGTTAGAGCAGATGATGAGTCAAAAACAAAGGATATGCTTATAATCTTAGGTGGAAATCTCACACATATGTCTCTTTAATTACAGGTTAGTCTTGGGACAAAGTCTAACTGTCAAAGTAATTGTGGAGCTGTATGAAAAGCACGGCATCAGCGCTCTTTTACATGTTTTATCGAGCTTCTGTTGAGTCTGATCTGTCCTTTTTTTTCCAGTGTCATGGTTTGGTCACTAATCTTTAAAAAGGACACATTGTTAAATGATCGAGTCGGCTAATTGGTATGACGCAGCCTTACCAAGCATCCCTGAAGCGGACGGCTGCCTTTTTATTTTAAGTAATGACTCTCAATCTGAGCAGAGTGAATTTCATCTGCATTAAGATTTTTAATTCTAAGGTGTAGAACAAAGAGATGTAAAAATAGCTTTGTTCCAGTTGCGATCACTGGGCTGAACGACAGAAAAACTTCATCAGCACTTTTTATTTCAGTTTATTCTTAGTTTTACTTTGGTCTTATTTCAGAGGTTGTCTATTTATTGATTGGGGTGATATTCATTTGCTGCTTTTATTCTACCACTCTTAAATCTGTTTTTTAAAGCTCCTATGAGCTGTATTTTTGATGTCTATGAAATACACTGAATTTATATGTTTGCCTTTTCATGATATCTGGAAGCTAACAAAGCCATCAGGGACAAGATTGACAATTTTTATATCATTATTTTTAATTCCTGAAATCAGTGCGAGGGGGTAGGTGTCAGCAAAAGACAAATGTTATTAAATATTAACAATAAATGATGCATTTGACCATTAAAAGTCAGCAGTAGGATATTTTTCAAAGGACACTTTTTGGGCATGTAAAAGTAAAGACTGTTTTGGCCACAGGGGGCACCAAAGTTAACATTAACAATAAATCTTTAGAAAAGAAAAGCTTTAATGACTAATAAGAGTCCCAATTCTCCCAATTTTCACAAAATAACAAGTTTTCTTTAATCCATTTATTTTAAGAGAGAATTTTGATGATGAACATGAAGAAAAATATCATCAGGGATTATAAGACACCAAAAGAGTGCTGTTAATGAAGTATGAGTTTACATTCTAGCCAGCTATTTCTTGTGAATGAGCTGAAAAAACCACAAAACCAAGTGAATAGTAACTCTTTAAATAAATTCCTACCAATGACAGAATTATAAATCATTGTTTTATTCTTCTGTTTTCTTCCCTAACAGGGTCAGTCTGTCTCTCTTGGATTCACCAGCCTTCTTGATAACGGACTCAACTACTGCAACCTCTACAACCTGTTGTCAGGTGAGCTCAGGCATCAGGATCACTCATCTGTCCTTTCTCGTCCTCAATAATAGAGCCACAGCTATCAATTTTAAATCATACAGATAGATATTATTTTAGTTTATACATCTCAGGATCTAATAACAAACTTCATGAACAAATTTCACTGATCTGTGTGTCTGAACTTTTTTTGATTTCAGTGAGTGGACTCACATCATCACTCGGTTTCATGGAGATCACCAATGAGTGGGCCTGCCTGGGCTACGGACAGAACACCTGTAAAGCTTCACCAGCTTTAATTTTTAAATAATGTGACCAAACAACGGCTTTCATACATAATTTGTCTCAGACTCATGTATGCTTTCTTAATAACAATAAAAAATTGTCAGTTATGTGTTTTCCCTGCATGCTCGTGTTTAATCCCTGAGATGTTCATGTGATCTGTGAGACTGTCCCCTTACTGGTCCTCTCTCCTGATGGTTAAAACATGAACTTTTACAATGTGATCGACAGTAAACTACAGATTAATACATCAGTTTGGTCATTTTTCTTCAGTGTAAATTCACTTTGGTCCGGCTTTAGGTCATATTTAAGCTCTTGTGTTCACTGACAAAGCAACGAGGGACAGGATCTGATGATGTGTGTCTACTCAGAGATAACATGAGATTAGAGGACTCTTGATAGACCAGCATGTCATTGTATTAAAGTGAAACAATTCAGAGGACGCTCTGCAAACTCCTCCCTGTCTGCTCTCTGACGTGAGACTGTGAAAGCTTGAGCGGTCAGATGACATTTGTGGAAGAAATTTTTTTAAAACATTCGGTGAGTTAGAGTGATGTGTTTTGGAGGTCAGAGGGCACCAGAGAGGGACAGAGAGTTGAACTCTAATGATAATAAAGCCACAAATCTGGAAACCTGTGTTTGAGTTGTGCTGCTGTTTGTCTCACCAAACATTGTTTTTTTATTTGTGTATATTCATAAATAAAAAGGTACTTAAACTCTTCTTTTACTAAATGAAACACAAGTGCTTCTGCCATTAACTTTCCTCCTGTGTTAGCTTTTACCACACATCCACCATGTTAAGGGTCGGTTTTGACCAGTGTCTTAAATCAGCTGTAAATGACACTAAAAACAAATTTCTATCATCCAGTTTGATTTTCATCTCTAGGTTAACTTGTTAGGCTTCATTATCCATGAAAATATTGCTTATATTTTTGTAGTGGTCCTCTGGGCCTTTCTTTGTCAGTATAACCTTGATACAGACATCTATACTGAATTGATCTTACATGTCTAGACATGCCCGACATAGTTTTTTGTGCAGGGAAAAACCTGGAAAAATGAGAATTTCCTAAATCTCACATGATTGGAAGAGGATCTGACTGTCAGTGTGGTGTCTGGCAGTGAACTTGTGATTTCAGTTTTTGCTCTGATTATTAGATATTGATCTAACCGGGTCAACAGCGACTCTAACACGACAAGTGCCATAATTTTAATAAGAGCATTTTATAATCTAGTCAATTTAATTTTCTTTTTATTTTGTTGAATTAGAGGTTCCTGAAAAAGTCAAAAAGTCTTGATGCAAAAAAAGCTCATTTATGTGGTTCTTTTAAGCATCTAAATCAAAAACAGGTCGGTGCAGACCCTAACACAGGAGGAGGGTTAAAGACTCAAAATCTAAATCATTTTCTCACCGAGTCTCAAACCTGGAGCATCAATTCATTTCTAAGGTTAAAGAGACTTTAATGCACCCCTGTGAAAAAGTACCGTATGTATAATCATGAACTCATTAGTTTGATTTAACTGCTGTAGAGATGAAGAGAGTCTAATGGTCTCGACCAACAGCTTAAATCTCTGGTCTTATCATTTCCTAGCCTCCTCACTCCCCTTCCTGATAACTGATTCTTCATAATTTTGTCCACTTGTTCAGTAACCAGCTCAGATTTTCAAACAATACTTCAATCTGCTAACATCAAACCATCTGAAACCTCCTTCATGAGGTCTCTGCGGCTGGCCTTGGAACCTCATATCAGGTCTGTCTGGCTCTTCTGATACCTTGCACCTGTTTCTTATCACACCTGCAGCAGACAGAACTCTCTGGTAAAACCCTGTTTTTGTGACTTTGTACCGAAGCTGGCAAAAAAGATCTCTATCAACGTCACACATTAGACTGAAAAACCTCAGCTAGTGGCAAATTGTCGCCTCCTGCTGTCATTTCAAGAATAGTGTGTCCATACTGTGATAATTGCTCTCTTCCTGCAGGCTATTTGGGCTGCTGTGTGCTGCTGACGTCTGTACCAAACTGCTGCAGCAGATTCAAGTCTTCAGTCCTTTCAGCTGCTGTGAAAAATGTCTCTACAGAAAGAGTCTTTTACTTCTGGGAGGACTGTTTTTTGGAATGAATGAAACAAACCTTTGACGGTGAAAAGAAAAGGAAATTGGGTGAAGCCAGATTTGACTACATAGCTTTCAAATAGCATCTAAGCAGATCCCTGTTTCCTTGTATGAGGTTTGGCATCACATAATGGACAAACATCAACTTACCAGAAAATCTGGTTAACCTTTAGCCCTAACAGACCATGTGTACTGCTCATTTTTAATCTCCTAGATTAGAAATACATTTTATAAATACTGTGTGGGTGTAAAATTTAATGTAACACACTGATAAGCTTCAGTTTACCTACATGTTTTGCGTTCTGGTCACAGTTTGGGCGATTTAGGGCCACTTCAAGATGATAGCTGGTTGGTTTCCTGCTCCTTTCCAAGCTAAAATGAACACTTTGGATTATGGCTAGCAATGACTTGAACCAACATTGGCTATGTGGCTAAATTAACACTGTAATGTTGAATAGAAAATGTGACTTCTGACTCTTTGAATCAGCACCACCTCATTTCGAAGAATAATCTTGTTGTGATATTATATTTGATGGCATTTAAATGTGCATAAATGTTGAAACAAGGGTGTAAGGGAGTGGGTTTCCTCGCAGGAGACTGCAAGCACTTGTAAGTTTATTTTTAACTTAACGATTCAGTTCTCCTCTCACCCCAAACACTTTATCTCAACACTCACCTCAGACTCTAGCCTTATCACCAGTCATCACAGCCTAGTCTCCCCCAGGCTGCAGAAAATCTCTGCAGGCAGCTTCAAACAATCTAAAAGAAAGTTTTTCAAAAGAGGAGTGAAGTCTGTTTAAGTGGCATGTTACTGCAGGTGGCACTGGGTGCAACAATCAGGGGTGGGCCTAGACCAAATGTGTCCTTATATGTAAGTATATAAAAAAATTAGTTGTGTTTCTGGAAAGTAACTAAACTTTCAAATCTTCAGAGCTCAAAAAAACATTCATACTGTAAAAGATTATGCTGAAACTGATGCCGGCTCATTAAACATCTTATACCGAGTGAACATTTAAACACAGGATCCAGTTTAGAGGTTTTATTTTCTTTTGTCTTCTGTGGATGATTTTTCTCTGTTCAAACAATCGAAGAAATAGAGACAAGCTGTATCAACATTACATATTTAAAAATAATACAAATCGGGAGAATCAAACATAATTTAGTTAGGTTTTAGTCAATTTTCCACTCACATTCAGACTCCCTTTGTTCTCTGCTGATCCATGGTCAGGGTGCAAGAGGAAGAGAAGGCTTGAGGGCGGGCTTTTATAATATTGGGGGTGTGGCTTAGCTTTGAGTGACAGGGGAGTCAGGTATGGTGATGGTGAGGTGAGAACTTGGGATTTAACACATACATTTAAGTCCAAACAAAATAAAAAGTACTAAATTGAAACAAAGAAAGTTATTACCAGCTGTTCAGCTGATTTCAACATTAGCTAGTCATAGTCGAAGGTTGTGGAGTTAGCTGGTAGGATTTATGCCACCTCTATACATGTAAGGGTTGAACACTTGTGTATTTTTGGCAATGAAAATTTTTTAAATGATGTAATGTGACTCCAGAAAAAGTATATTTTTCATAGCTGTATAATATAATTCAATATAATATAGTAACTATAAATTCAATACTTTAGATGTTGCTGACAAACATGGTGTCTCTTCTATTGTATTGTCTGAATTTCTGGAGACGCCCCTGTGATCGGCAGCAGCTGTCGTGTGTCTGTGAGCCACAATATTATCTTGTCCATCATGATCAGCTTATCCTTAATAAAGAAAAAAACACACATCATTTCTTTATATTGATTGTTTGTTTGTTTGTTTGTTTGTTCAGTCTGCTTCCCTCACATTCACCAGGATTATAAGTTATACGATTTTTGTGAATTCTGTGCATGACAGCCTATAAAACCTAGTAAACCAATCAAGTTTGCCTGTATTTTCAACACCACCCTTGCAATTTCGTCCCATTTCTACAGAGAAACACCATATCGCCCTCTCCATCATGGTGTAAAAACAACATGTAAACTCTCTGAAGTTTTCCACCTACTTTTGAACTCACTGTGTTTTTCTTTTACATGGTGCAAAGTGTCAGCTGACTTGTCTTGGTTGTCCAGAGAAACTCAATGGCGGAAAATCAGAGACTGACAGGGAGTGGACGATAGCAGCGGATATCTGATTATCTGATCTGATCTGAGTGAAACATGTGACCTCTGACATTTTGAACCGCATTGGCACCAGAGAATCACTAACATGCATGACACCTGAGTAGCTGGACTTAGAAGCTGAAAAACTCAGTTTTCACAAATCGAACCATAACATTAACCATCATGTAACTGTATTTTATTTGACGTCACTGCATCCTCTTGCTTGTATCAAAGACCATCAGGATCGACTAGCTTCCTGTAACGCACCAATTGATTATCCTCCCGGACTTAGAGATAAGGCCAAAAGACGACAAGAGCTCTTTTGAGAAATGAAACAATAAAAACTGAGCGTGAACAATGATTTTAAGGTTTTGAGAGTCTTGTGGTTTGTGTGTCTAAATCAGAGTGTTGTGGATTATATTGGAGGGTGAAAAATCACATTACCGTCATTACGAGGGTGACCTTTTGTTAAACCCTTTATAACACATCACGAGTGTAAATTTGATATATTTAGTTTGCATGCCCCGTCTTCTGAATAAATCCGAATGTCTTAGTATTCACCACACTTGAACTTTTTTGTCTGGTATTTTAATTTTCACCTTAACTTGCACAGCCTTGAAAAGACAAGAGCTGCACAAAGCTATTTTTTTATGTTGGATGCATGTCAAAGTTGCAAATATCAAATAATGAGATTTAAGTTTGATCATATATGACGTTATTTACATAAAATCTTCAAACGTGATTAATGATTTTAATGATTAGTTCATAATGTGGATCAATGGCATCATCTCCTAATGGTCATGTTTCTGCAGTAACTGATTTTTTAACCGAAATGCTCTTGCAATTTCTATAGACCGACACTGTAGCAACTGAAAATAATCTAGAGCAGAATGGTAAACTCCCCTGCTATATAGAAAAAAAAAACAATATTCATCATAAAAATGTCTTTTATTGATTAAATCCATCTACTTAATCTGTTTGGCTGACAGAAATTTCATCAATCACAAACCACACGTTTCAGATTTCACGTCTATTTGCAAGCAGATGATCCCATCCCGAGGCAGAGCCACTCGTTGGTGTACTCGATGAAACCCGGAGCTTTGGTGAGTCCACTACCTGTAAACACAGAACCACAATCATTCACACACTGTCATGCTTTTAAATTTCAACATTTCATGACTGGATTTTGATCTGGATCTGAAAAACTCGTGAAACCTCCTACCTTCTATGATGTTGTGAAGGTTGCAATAGTTTGTGCCGTTATCAAACAGGCTGAACCAGAATGCAGACACAGAAGTACCCTGGAAGTAGAGAATGTTCATGATTTTTGCAATAACAGAACTGAATAAAGCAAATATATCATTTATTGGGATGTGTAAAGTTCAAAAGGTTTCAGACTCACTTCTACGTGGCAGCCCATGCTCATAGCTGTGCCTGCGAAGGTGATGTTCACATTCTCAATCTGTCCCACTGCAGAGGTGTGGTTGGCCTGAATAAGCGCTGCAGCCACTGAAACAAGCTAAATCATCACCACAAGAAAAGAATTTTAAAAATCAGAGTTAATTTAAACAAAAGTAACGAGCGAACATCATGAGATGTTAAACTTTTCTTCAGCTTTCTTACCTTGTAAGAGCCCATGGCTTTAATCTGAGTCAGGATGGCCATGCTAACTCGCTCACACGGTAATCCAAGCAGCCTGGGAAAGGATCAAATACGTCATTAATGATTCCACTTTCTTTCTCACACCTGATGACTGTTTAATGAAGCCTCACCAGACAATCCTGCAGTAGGCATGTGTCACTTCTGTGGGTAAGCCGTTTACGGTGATGCACGTTCCCAGAAACAGAGCAGCTAAGCAGGCCACGATCAGAATCCTCACAGCCATGTTGAAGTTTGTTGTTTCTTGTTCTCACAGTTTTGAGCGTTTGAGTGGGTCAGGTTTATATAGGACACTGCATGACAAGAACAACTTGAGGACTGCTGGTCTGTCATGTGGACCCGTGGAAAAACTGATTTGCATGACACTTTGCAGGAACTGCATGGCTGGACTCAGTGGCCTGAATTCAGGGATCTGCGGATACAAAAAACACTTTTACTGTATAACCCTGTAAACAGCAGAGCGAATATGTATACCCTTGGAGAAATAATGAGATTTTGTATTCATTTATTCATCTATGGGGCGGCAGTAGCTCAGGAGGTAGAGCAGTTGTCCATTAACTGGAAGGTTGGCGGGTCGACTCCCCCCTATCCTGAGCCTGTCTGTTGTGTCCTTGGGCAAGACACTTAGCCCACCTTGCTCCCAGTGTGTGTCCTCCACTGGTGTATGATTTTGAGTGTTGTGTGGTGGTGGTGGTTGAGTCTGCCCCAGGGAAGCTGTCAGTTCTAAGGTAGTTTACCACCACCAAAGCGTGACTGTGTGAGCGAATGATGGATGCATCCAATGTGAAGCGCTTTGAGGGTCTCTGATAAAGTGCTATATGAAATCTGATGCATTATTATCATCTAATGAAATGTTTAATCCTTATTCTGTTGACCTTGTAAGTTTCACAGATTCTCCACAGGGGGCACTGATATTGACATCAACCAAAACTTCCTTAAAGGAGCTTTTTGGTGACAAACTTTGAGCACCTCTGTTAAAAAAAACAACAACTTATTACTAATTTAGACCTCTATGAAACAAGAAAAACTTGTTAAGACTTTGCAAAACTTTGACCTTTAACATTTCATTTTTGGAGGGATGAAGAGACATGCAGACTGTAAGGAGAGCCTTTTTATTGTGATCATATTTGCTCTTGCAGAATAAGATTTCTAGGTGTTAACTAACTTTTGCTCTCTTATTTGATAGTTTAGTCATTTTCAGGAAATGAATAACAAAAAAAAAAGTCATAAAATGGTAACACCAAATTTCCAACACTCCCACATAAAACAGATGAGTCACGTTAATCTCATTTCCTTTGTCAAACGTCATCCATGAAAACCCAAATTTCTGCTGAACTGATACTGATGATAACACTGTACTGGTTTAGGGAAAGGTTTGCGATTCATCACGGTCCCACTCTTCTCATAATTCATGATTTTACCATTATTTCTTTGAACAAACGAGCCTATTGATTCACAAATGCTCCAGGCTCCTGGCAGCCTAAGAAGCGTGAAAGTCAATAAAAGACCAGAAACAACAAACAGCAAAACCACAGCCAGTCAACCATTGGCTTTTACTGTCAGTTATGTCACTTACATTGACTGAAAGGCCTATGTTCACCCTCAGGCGGGACTTCTGTGTGCATGAATCTGATTTGAAGTCCAATTGTGAGCTATAAAGTGGAATTTGAAGTTTTAATGTGATGCCTTTATGGCTGGATCTTCAGACTGTATAGAAATGCAAGATATGTTCCTCCTCTCTGTCTGCAGAGGGTGCCAAACCACAACATTTGACCGAAACCTTGAAATCCTGCAGGTTTGAAGCAGCTTCAGTGACAATCCAAACATTTCTGTCTTTATGAATATGAGGAAGAAAAGGTTAAAATATAAAAAAGAAGAAACAATAGAAGAAAACTTTGTAACAGAAGTTAGCTTTGTGAGGACTTGAGACTGCAGGCCATGTCATCCAAGTCATATCTGATGGCTCTGAACAGCCTCATAAACACCATTTATTCTGCATCAAGCTCAGATTCTTGTTCATGTCCAGCTCGGTCTCAGGAGGCCTGTCCTCTTAGGAGAAGTGGTTTAAGTCATCTCTCTCCCGTTGGAGTCTCCCCGGGGTCGTGTCTGTCTGAAAAATGTCAGCCGTGCAGATGAATGGGAGTGACAGTCCTCTCTAATGAGGAACCCTGCAGTGGGACGCCTCTGCGGGCCCATGAGTAACAGCTCTCTAAAATCTCATTTACCATCAAATCTCTGTATCATTTTTTTGTGTTGATGAATTCATTGTGCTCCCCTGTTGTCTTGTTATGTGTAGCTACCCAAATGGCTAAATGTTTTTTGTCTCCCAAGTTACTGTCAGTTGTTCTTTTAGTGATTTTGTAGTTTCTATAGTGCTTTGCTCTTACTTCATCTGAATGAATTTGCAGTCCTTGATAAGCTGTCTTTTGCTTATTAATAATTTATGGAGGAGTCTCTTTGCTAGATCTGAAGTTAGAGATAATGAAGTTTAGACTTTTGAAGGATCAAGGTGCTTTACAATTAAGGAACAATGACAAGCTTCAAAATACATATGAGATACGATAATTACTGTTTGAAAAGGCAAAAAGAGGGGGAAAAAATTACCTATCTTGGACCAAATAAGTTGTTCCATCTTGTCTCAGAGTCTCTGGCCTGCAGATTTTCATCTTGCAGACAAATGGACGGCTGCTCAGTGTGATGGTGACTGTTCATGGGGCAGCTCTCTGCAACAGAAGACCAAATGCTGCTGGAGACCATCTGCTGGGAGAGGAGAGCAGAAACACAGAGTCACAGTCTGTCTCTCTCTCAAGCTCTGCATCATCCTCACATGTTCTCCTAAATAATGACACCAGACAATTTCAAGGACTTCTTATGGTGGTGAGATGTTACCTGGGAGTCTAAGGTTTAAATGGAAGTTTTGCCCTTAGCCTTGAAAACTTTATTTTTACAAAATCACCTCAAGAATTGATTGGTTGTAAAAAAAAAAAAAAAAAAAAAACTTTACAAACCACAGCATTAGTAATCTAAGCATTATCTAATGTGTATTTACTGATTACAACTCTTATGATAATATCAGTACAATTAGCTGCTACTACTTATAGTCATTAAGGAGGCAACTGTAATATTTGTCTCATTTTCTTTCATAACTTACAGATTACTTAAAACACGCTTGTAAATTAAAAATATATATATATATATACTGCACTTATTAATAAAGCTACTGCTGTATGTCAACAGAGACAACACTATTGATGTGAAGCAATTGAGCATTTGGAGGACTTGCTGTAATGTCCCATTTTATCATAAAAAAGCAAATAAACAAGTAAATGTAGAATAGAATAGAATAGAATAGAATAGAATATTCCTTTATTGATCCCCCATGGGGGAAATTTTTTTGTCACAGCAGCAACACAGACAAGACAGAAAGTGCAAAATGCAGTTATAACAATAAGGGTCCTAATATTAAGAACTTAATAAATGTAATAATTAAGAAAAAAAAAAAAAAAAAAAAAAAAAAAAAAAAAAAAATTGAAAAGAGAAAAGGGAGAAGAAAAAATAAAGCTTTCTGCAATATACACAATTTAAATGCCATAAAAAAGTGGTGGTGTAAATCCAGTTTTGTTACTGTTCATTGTAAAGTCTTATTGCAGAGGGGAGGAATGATCTGCGGTAGCGCTCTGTCCTGCAGGGTGGGAGTCTCAGTCTGCTGCTGAAGGAGCTGCCTAAAGCCCCCACAGTCTGGTGCAGTGGGTGAGAGGGATTGTATTGTCGAGTAACAATATTATTTAAGTTCATGTTTAAATTGGTTAAAATACCTGTAGAAATCAGGTATTGCATGAGTTTAAGGCCAAAGTAGATTTTTTTGCATTGTAGTCATCAGATTTTAATCAAATAAATTGAGACAAAATTGTATTTTACTCAAACAGCCTGATCAACCACCAAGTCAATAGCGATCTTTAACTGTACTTACATGAAATGGTACAAAAAAAACACATTATCAGAATAACACAATGGTATCACATGGAGGAAGTAAATTTACAATAAGAGTTAGACACAATACAAACTTTTTTTCATGAAAAATTGATGATGATTGGACAACATGCACAACATCTAGAATGTGAAGCATTAGTGCTTGGAATTGGAAAAAGAAATCATATTTTCTATTGTAAAACTGTAACTAGTGCCTTCAGTACAATGCAGGTATGATCACATCTCACACATACCAGATACTAATGCCATTGTCACCATGAGGTGCCATTTGATCACGTTTACTGTAACCAAAAGCTCACAAACAAAGTAGTAATAATAGTAACCTCTACACGTCAAAACCATCCCTTTGTTTGAGACACCTGGTGTGATGAAGTGATCCCACTGCTTTCGAGCAGACAGAGAGAGAACCAAACTGATACTGTCATTGACCGCATCATAACTAAAGAGCTTGTATCTTGCTGTTGAATAGCAGGCCTAATGACCTCTGATCTACTAAAGCACCACCGAGTTTGTAAAATCTTTTTCAATAACTCATGGACATTAATTCAGTCTTAATTATTGTAGAAACCAGGGTAGAGAGGGCCCCTTCTGACAGCACTTCAACCTCAAGTGTAGTGTTACCATGGTTACACTACACCTTTCATTGAATCATGGCGTTATTACCCGTAAGTCCTTTCATACGTTTATTTTTAATTATTTTATTGTATGTATTTAACCTTTGTTTGACCGTGAGAAAACCTCATTGAGATTAAAAATCTCTTTTTCAGGAGTTATGAAAAATATCTCCAAACTCTACAAGCTATGTGTTCTTTAAATTCGTGTTATTTTCTATTTAAAGGTGCTTTGGATTAAGTTGGTTGTAGTTTGTAGTTAAAGTAAACATGTTTGAAGAGGTACTATTTCCTTCACGACAGTGAGTTATCGATTATTGTTCATTAATTAATCGTTAACCCGGAAGTATGTAAAAGTCTTTTACTTTTACGTATTTAAATGTACATTTCTTATACGGTAAAGTTGGACAAAATTTTAAAAAGTGTTGCGAGATTAATAACATCAAAACATACTGAAGTTTCAAAAGAGTGACTTAAAAAAAAAGGCCTCTGAAAAGGTTTGATAAACAACCTTTGTTTGACTCACATCCTGTACGATCCTGTACCTTCGTGACTTCTCGCGATGATTCGAACATCCCGTTCCTCGCTGAGATTATAGCCGGAGGGAACTGTCTGAGTGTTGCTGGTGGATTTGCGTCGTATTTGACAGAGACGAGGTCAGAAAACCGTATTTCTGGTGTTAAGATACACTTAAAAGCTAAAACTCATGAATATTTAAACATTTACTCAGCTGGTGCCGCAGCTGCGAGTTAAGTGCATGTTGTTTCATTCTCATTTGCACGAGTAAACTCTACTTTTATCGAGTAAAGTAAGTAGTACCTACTTATGTTTTCAAACCGAGCAAGCAATAAGAAAGTAAGGTTAAGTTACGAAGTTAGCTTGGAAGCAGAGCTTAAGGTTAGTTGAAATGTGATCAGTTCTTTCACTTTGCTGTCCAAAGGTCACTCCCCTTCCTGTTAATGGTCAGAGCCTTTGGAAAGCTCTGCCTCCTGTCTGATCCGAAACATTGCTGCACAGACCTGCTAGAACTTTAACCAAATCTGACTTTGTCTAATGTAGAAAGTCACCTAAATGATTCCTTCTTTGTGCTTTCTGCAGCCTGTGGGAAACCCTGAACACCAGTCATGTCACAGCTTAGTGGTAAGGTCCAAACTGTCCTGGGTTTGATGGATCCAGACCAACTGGGCCGCACCATGACCCATGAGCACCTGACCATGAGCTTCGAGTGCTGCTACTTCCCTCCTCCCGTGGGCGACGAGGCGGTGGCTGAGAATCCATTCCACATGCGGCACATGCACTGGCTGAGACAGAACCCGTACAGCTGCCACGAGAACCTGCTGCTGCAGCAGGAGACCAGCGCCGTGAGGGATGAGCTGCTTGTTTACAGGAAGGCTGGAGGGGGCACGATTGTAGAGAACACCACCACGGGACTCGACAGGGACCTCCCCACCCTGAAACAGCTGGCCAAGGAGACAGGGGTCCACATTATAGCAGGAGCAGGGTATTATGTGGACTGCACACATACTGAGGCCACCAAGAAGATGAGTGTGGAGAAGGTGTGAGAGGAAGCAGATGGTTTACTTTAACTACACATGTTTTGAACACTTATTTTATCTGACAAAACACAAAAACTTGCTTAAAAAATGTCCATGAAAAAAAGACACCAGGAAACCCACAAGAACATGAGGTAGGGTTGGTGATGATCTTACAGAGAAGGGAGGCAACCCTTAAATAAAGAGATTAAATAAACACAAGCTCACACCGTCACACGCAATGAGACTTGAGTGAGTTGAGAAGGCACAGATGTAGACAAAGAAGAAGCACGATCATTAGGGAGGGTAAACACAGGGAGGTAACTTAAACCAGACTCACTCGCAGAAAATACAATTAAAACAGGAACCTAAAAATACAACACTGAAGATGCAAGATGAACAGGAATATATATATACTGAATCAATAAACATGTGGAACAGGATTACAGAGGAAAAACAAACAAAAAATACAATCCAAGATAAATATGTTAGTCTAGAATTTGCATTTATGCTTATCTCTAAAGTTTTAAATATCACCTGTTCTGTCAGCACAGCCTCTAACAGTGTAAATGTAGTTTTGTTTATATATCAGTATTCCAGCCTGAGATCTTCTCTGTTCATATCTGTCAAGTCTTTCAAAGAGACAGAACAAAAATATCACTGAAGAGTCATTTTAGTGCTCTGACGTGTGAGTAACTGCTTTTCTAGAGTGATATCATCCTGCTTTCCCTAACTCCTCGTTTCCTGCCCGCCAGCTCACAGACATCATCGTGAGCGAGGTGCTTCATGGCGCTGATGGCACAGACATCCGCTGCGGCGTGATTGGAGAGATCGGCACAGGCTGGCCAATCACGGAGAGCGAGACAAAGGTGCTCAGAGCCGCGGCTCACGCTCAGACCCAGCTCGGCTGCCCTGTCATCATCCACCCTGGCAGGAATCCCGCTGCTCCAGCGGAAGTTGTCAGGATACTTCAAGAGGCTGGAGGTGACATCAGCAAAACAGTAATGTCACACCTGGACAGGTGAGAAATCCCAGAGGTCATTTAATTAGTAAAGGCTTAAAAAAAATCAGTCATTCAAAATCTCCTTGACTGTATGAAAGGATGATAAAAGGACAGCCCCAGAAAGTAAAACCAAAAGCATCTGGAGCTTCATCTCATAGACTGTATATATTATGGACAACTTGGTTCTGCCTTTCGCCAGTATACGGATTTGAATCATAGAAAACATGAACCTCCTAATAATTTTTTTAAATGAAGCTGTACTGAAAAAAGAGGACTTGAGCACAAGCCAGTCTTACAGTAACTACATGTCAACATTGCAGGCAGGGGTTTTGTCCACAGCTCCAAAAGCTTTGCTGGAGGAGGTGGGATTTATGACCTATACTGCAGCCCGTCACCAGAGGGTGCTGTTCTCAGAGTGGCTTCAACCAGCAAGGAGGCAGACGCTGTCCTTTCTATGTACAGTATATGCTTCATCTGCAGTAAAGGTCACAAAGCCAACCTCCTCTATGTAAACAGATGGGACATGGGTCAAACATAAAAAGCAAAATAACATGTCAAATTATAATTTTTATTATTAGTTCTCATCATGCTGATTATGTGCAGCATTTTTCTGAGTTTTTGATTTTAGAAAATGGAATATAAAACTATGACTGACAGCTTCGTTAACAAATACGGCTCCTGTGGCACTGAGTGCATTGGCCTTGATTTGACCTCACTGCTCAGACTCTGGCTCCAACAAATGAGATATTAAGTGTTGGGTAGTTTGGCGTCTCTTTTGTCCAGTATAAAGAGGTTGAGACACTTAGTCTATTTTAAGATACTGTGTGGAAGAAAAATAGTCCTCCCTGAAGCTGTATTTTTCCCTGAAAACCTTTATTTTGATAATAGTCATGTTTGAAAGATATGTGTTTTGATAAATAAAAGTTACAGTCCTTTGATAAGGCTTTCTTTTCTATGGAGTGACGCTGGTGTTTCAGTGAATGTAGATGGAAACAAGTCAGTATAACTGTTTATTTAATCGCTTATCACTTATTAAATTTCAGTCATGTAGGGGAGGGCTGACTATTTGATTCCCCCTCCAAAAATCTGTATGTCTTGTGTAGTACATATATCAAAACATGGGAGACTTAGTTGAGTCAGTAATTTTAAGGTATAAATCAGATCAGTTTCTACTGCTGCAGTTTATAGTGTTTGTATTTTGTTTGTAGACGACTGCTGCAAAATGTCAGCACTGCACAATCCAGCGCTGGAGAGTTGTAGCTGTGCTTGTTTAAAAAAATAGAGTAAACAGCTGTGATTTGTGCCCTCTGTCAGCCATTAACATCACTTTGTTTTATTCATGGAGCTAAAAATCGAGTGGTTTAAGCTGTTGTACTTGTTACAACAAGGAGACACTGATATTTGGTTTGAAATGTCATGTTATGAGCCAATATCACAGTGGAAGCGAATGACTCAATTATTTTTTAACATAGAGATAATTGTTGATTGACTTCTTAAGTCATCATCTCAATTCATGTACTGTTTTTGCCAGAGTCAGACAGACAGACAGACAGGTAAAATGGTGTAACATACATACCTGTAGGGTAGATTTGATTGAACTCAGTGGATCAGCTTCAACCTGCTTTTCAGGTCTGATTGGATAAGTCCCTGCTTTGTTTGTGTTACATAACTTTCAAAAACATAAGCTAATCAATGTTTTTGTGGGATAAACTGTCTTCTTTATAATTTAGCCCTTTTGCTTTGATGTCAATACTGAATTTTCATTTCTCTCCCTCTTTACACAGGACCATTTTCGATGACGGTGAACTGCTGGAGTTTGCAAAGCTGGGCAGTTATCTCGAGTATGATCTGTTTGGAACAGAGATGCTGAACTACCCGTATAACATGGAGGTGGACATGCCCAGTGACTGCCAGAGAGTGAAGACGTGAGTTTCACCAGGATTATGGGAAAGTGTGACTAACCTGATACATTATCAAAGCTCAGTGTTTGAGTTTGAGACCGCTCCAGAAATCCGGATGTTTGGGAGGAGCTCACACCAGGTTCGTTTAATTTGGGGTAAAATGCTGCTTCTCAGATTCGGCGAGGAACTGTGAGACTGATCTTCTTGTGCGCAGCAGGGCGGGGGGAGTTTGCATCAGCAAGATGAGTGACGAATTAATGAGGTTGCAGATGTTTGTACTCACATAAAAAGACAGGTTTAGCCACACACAAATGTAGAGTGACAGTTCCAGGATCTCCTTTATGAAAAAATGGACGCTTTAATTCATCTTTTTACTCATTTACTACCTTTTGTATGTTTGTGTAGTTTGGCATTCCTCGTGAAGGAGGGCTACGAGGACAAGATCGTGGTGGCACATGACATCCACACCAAGAACCGTCTCACCAAGTATGGCGGCCACGGCTACTCTCACATCCTGAAGAACATTGTGCCCAAGATGCTGATGAGGGGAATCTCGCAACACCAGGTGGACAAGATCCTCATAGACAACCCCAAACGGTGGCTGACTTTCAAATAGACCAAGAAATAAGTGCCGGAGAGTGGCGTTTTAACGGGATGATTATCTTATCCTCTGAAGATGAAGGTTATATACTCTACGATTAAATCTTTGCAATAATCACCGTCCAGGATAATTTCAAAATAGACTTTTGGAGCGAAGGAATTTTTCTTAGTAATGAATTGTAGCAAAACGTGATCTTGAAGCTAAATGTTTTGTCGGTGTCTTTTCGATGAAAATGAACCACAAGTTGTTTCATTCACTTTAAAGCGTTTTTGTAGTTGCACTATCAACCTGATTTTACAAAGGAGCTTTGAGCGATCTCTGTGCCTCTCGTCTGACAGAATTTTTTTGATTGTTCTACGGCACAAACATCCACTATTTTTTGTCCTCCGAAAGTATACGAAATAATTGACAAAAACTTTGCAATATGGTGCTAAAAAGATGCGGTGCTAATTGATTTTTCTCTTTCAGTGTCAACCTCTCAGCTGCTTTCTTTGTATTTGTTCGTGACATCTCTGCCAACATGCTTTATGGGGCCGAAAATAACGAGCGTGTTGGTAATCAGTATGCTGCTCTGCTTTCGACACAATGCGGCTGTGTTAGATGAGTTGTCCTGTTGCCCCTCAGTGGGTGTCTGGGTGTCTCTGGGAGGCTGAGTGGCTGGCAGGGCCCAGATGAAGGACATGTTCTCCTCTCATCTGGGAACAGGTGGCCTCACAGGGTGACTCCTCGCCACATGATCGACAGCACGATCACTGCGGAAACCCAACAACTGTATAACTTTGATTCATCATGGAACTAAAAAGGGAGTCGGAGGATTTATTTTATACATTATATTTTTACACATTTGTGGACAGTTTTATACAGAGAGAGTGTAAGATTGTTGACTTCCCACCAGACTACCCTGTGGTTGTCACAGGGAGACAGAAAATGAGTCGGTGATCTTCTTGTGACAAAGATCATCAGTTTGGCCCTTCACGGTTCCCCATTAGTGTTAAAACGTCATTTTTACAATCATGCATCACTTCGGTTTTTACATTTTCACTCCAAAAATGCAAGAACTGTTAAATACGGTTTGTAAAATAAAGCACACATATGGACTAACATCACTGTGACAGAGTGGTGACTATATGGGTATCATTTCTGCATTTATAACTGAAGGTTAAAGGTGAATACATTAATCTCCCAGTCACTCAGCAGGTGTTATGGCAGGTCTGACATACCAGCAAACTTAATTTGTTAAGCTAAACAGTTCGTACAGGGTTCAATAGCAACACTAATCAATCTGACAGGTACAATTCAGTGCTGTACACCTCAAAATCCATGATTATATTCTGTAATGACACTGTAGAACAGCTCTTTTACACGCATGAGGTCCTCCACATCTCCAAGGACTCTTTTTTTTTTGCCATATGGTAATGTTGAGCTCTGTCTCTTATAATCCAGCTGACATGGAACCGAGCATGAGCAGTGAAGCGAGCTGTATATGGAGATCAGGTGTCTTCTCCCACGGTGTTTCAATCAGCGTACAACATGAAGCCGGAGAAGGTGCTGTACTTGTTGTTGTTGCCCCCGTGCGCCTTCCCGCCGTCCAGCTTGATGTAAATCTCGTCCCCGGGTTCCAAGTGCAGGACCACACTGTTGCTGGCGTAGTCGTAGTTCTGGTCGGCGTCTTGGGCGATGGCGCTGGCTCTCACCTGGAGGGGGAAACGAGGCATTTTGGTGGTGAAGCGCGTTTAAATCAGGACCGTGGACAGCTCCACGAGTGACGACGCAGCTGTAATCTTTTTGAAAATTATAAACAAATATCAGACATCTTTACTGTCTGGATATAAACTGTTTTTAAAGGTGCCAGAAAACTAAGATTGGCGTGCTTCCTCTGCAAACGAGAAACGTGCGTAAAAGTCAGGCGTAATCTGTCTGATGCCAGTTAGAGGCTGTTTTGTGGGTATATAGTTAAAAAGTTTTAAAAAAGCAAAAGACCGGTTAAGTATAAGGTAGGCTGGGGTCTTACCTGGGTGTTTTTGCAGAGGTCTGCCCACATGCTCGTCCCGTCCCCGCCTCGCATCAGCACATGGTAAACAAAGAAGTAAATCCCTGGTATCGAGCAGGTGAATTTCCCTGTTGCGGGGTCATAATGATTACCTAGGTTTGTAACTACATCGTCGAATTTCAAGACTTCATATCCCTCGTGCTGCTTCTTCAGTCCTGCGTAAAACGCGATCTTTGGGATGGTATTATAGGTGGCAGCGCTGATGGCACCATTCGGTCCATTTATTCCAGGGGCCCCGGGTAGACCGGGAGGGCCCGGCGCCCCCCTCTCTCCAGGAGGACCAGCAGGTCCAGGGGGCCCGGGCTCGCCAACCGGACCCCTCGGACCCATCCTCCCCACGCGCCCCGGCTCTCCTTGGGGACCTTGGATGAACGTGGGCAACGACTGGACCAGCCGGTTGTCTTTGATCGGGTTGGTCGCCTTTGCCGTGGCTGTCGCCGCTGTCCCGTGGGAGTCACACACCATCTGACAAGAGCCGAGCATCTCGTAGCGGGCAGGAGTCCCGGCGGTGTTCACCACGACCGGGATCAGCACCACCAACACCAGCACCAGCGCGACTCCACAAACACCAGTTGCGATCATCTGCGCTCTGCGGATCCGCGGTGTTCTCCGGAGTGGATGGTCTTCCAGCCTGCTTGTTGGCGGAATTTTTGCAGAGGGGAGAATTTCACCTGCTCTCTTATTTTACAGCAACGTTTGGGGATAAAATAGTCCGTGGGATGTTTGTGCGTAAAAGTAACCATCCACAACTTTTACGCGCTGCAATATCCTTCCAAATGATTCATTTCCGTTCTCTAAATGCAAGAAAAAACAACACCAGAAGGCTTTCCGAGGGATGAAACTTCACCTTAAGCGTCTCTTTGTTATTCAGCAGAGGGTCAGCCGCATAAGTTTCTGTCCACCTCGGTGCCACAGGAGAGAATGGACGAGAAATTAACCCGCGTCTGTGTTTGGAGAGGGAGGGGAGGGGTGGAGGTGATGGATGGGATAAAAGAATCCACGCGTTTGTTCAATCAAAAGAGAGAAAGTGAAAGACATCCAAACTCTGATGCAACATCGAAGCTCTGCAACGTGACTACTTTGTCTGATGCATTTGTTTGTGTAATCAGGGAGCAACTTTATAATTTCAGCAGCTTTTCAATAGCATGCATTACTCTGTCCATTGATTGCTGTGGCGATGCATCCCACGACACGTTGTTAAAACTTACCCAAACTACTCTAAAGGTCTCGAGCATAATTAGGCCCATTAAGGCCAAAAAGCTATACTTCTCTGGCACCTGGTTACACCTCAGCGGCTCCCTGTGTCCAATTTATCATTTGGAAAAAATCTATAGAGCCACTGAGAGGAAGGGGGGAGTCACTGGGAACTGGCAGTGAAGGATGACTTCACACAAATATACTGATGAAGTGACTAAATATTGATGCATTTTAGTGCAAAAATGAGGTGAGATCACTTAATTAATTAACCATGAGAAATAAGCAATCGAAGCAGCAGGTTCAAAATCAAAAATGTTGATTTTAATTTCATAATAAGACCCCAAATGATCCAAAGATATTGGATTCTGAAAAAGGAAAAACTTGGAAGTTTAGTCTAGATAAAACTTCTGCACAGTGGCCTCTGTGAGCGATGAAGGGCTAATTGTTGGTGTGGAGGGCAGATGATGATGATGTGCTCATGAATGCAGAGGCTGACACTGTTCGATGGCTCCTCCTGCCAGGTGGAGGATAGATGAACAGGGAGGAGGAGGAACAGTTAGGCTTGTTTGTTTGTTTTGGAGGAGTGGGAGAGCTTTGATTGTGGCCTGGATGAGACTCTTGGAAAGTCACAACATCGGCTGCGTTTGTAAAATCATGATCAGGAAAAGTTCAACAAAGAAGTGATTTTAGATAGAGTTCAAGTGTTGTGAAGACTTATAATGAGAAGAAACTGTTAAAAGTGATCAAACAGGTATTTGCCGTTAAGTAAACAGACTGCTTTTCACACCTTAATTGAATCTCATTGGACTTTTTATTACTTTATTCTTTCAATAGTTATTTTATATGTACTTAAAACTATGAAAAGACAATAGAGTTACAAAAAATCTGACTTGAACAAATTAAAGCTACTATAAGGAGTTTTAGCTGGTCATGAAATAGTGAAATTTGTGGTGGTGTCTTGCTGTGACTTATGTAAATGAACAAAACTGTCAACGACCAGATTGACAAATTTTAATCTTGTGACCTCCAGCATATTAGGAAAAAAAAACACATTTTCTACCATATTTTTCTGACTATAAGGCGCACTTAAAATCCTTAAATTGAATCAAAAATTGACGGTGCGCCTTATAATCCAGCGCGCCTTATGTATGATTACTTGTTGTACTTGTTGATTTTATGTGGTATAATCTGATTCCACAGTACAATGTGCTCAAAAATCTGTCGAAATGCCTAAGTACGACTTTGGTAAGCAATGAAGCCGCTACACTTAATGGATATTCAGAGCATTACCGTACGCTTTGTCACTACCTGATGACTCTAATGTCTAAACTAGAAGTGCATCCATGTAAGGCAGCCTGGGCCCAGAGTATGCGCTAGAAACAATAAACCAATCAATGCTTAATGTGCCGTATAATCCGGTGTGCCTTGTCGCCCGAAAAATACGGTGTATCAAATACTCATAATGAGAAGTATATTTTTTGAATTTCAAGAAAGCCTCAAGAGATTTTTTTTCAGACATGATTCACTCATGTTTAGACCAAGATCGTCCAAGAAAGAAGTGGTGTTACTTTGTCCACTCTTGTTTCTGTTGCTACTGTTATTGTTTTTATTAATATCGTAACATTTTGAGAAGCACTTTATGCTCTTGCTTTGTGAATTGTTCACCAAATAGATTTTACTCACTTCATTCTGCTCTTTCTGCTGTTAATATTATTGTGGTTAATGGGGACTAACTCATCACTGGTTAAAGCCTCAAGTGGCTGCCTGAGGAACTGCACCTTTTTTCTCTCTGTTTAATCACACAGGGATGTTTGTTTAGTAGTATAACATTGAGGGGTAGCATGTTACTAAAATCAGAGGTCATTCAGAGCGCAGTACGGCTACAGTTTTGAGTACAACTGTAGAGAAAGAGATGATGAGATTACTTCTGCCTGTTGACAATGTGGCAAAATCTTCAGTTACCGTTAGTATTCTTAATCAGTGGGTTACACAATACAGAGGAGTATTTTGATCGTGGATCCTGTTTCATAGTGGATCCTGTCTTGTAATGCTGGTGTTGGTGAGTGCACCTAGAAGTTTATTTCCACTACAAAGTAACTTAAACTGTAAGTGGTGGTGAGAGTAGCAACAATATAGGATGTTATATTTGCAGCATTTGTCTTTAAAGGTGTGTCAAACGAGGACAGAAGCTGACATTAATATTACTGTATAAATCCTGTTCACCTTGTCTCATGTAGCTCTCAATGGAAATGTTCAGTGGTAAACAAACTGTAGACCATGAACTGAAATGAGTAGTTTTGCTTTTTTTTTTCTGTATATAGAATAACAAGAAGAACTACCAACCAAACCTTTTTTTTCCAAGCTGTATAATAATCATAATAATGTTTTAATCTCTAAATCTATGTTTTTTGTCAGCTTGTTTATAGCTTTAACTTTCAACTGGGGTCCTCCTCACTTTACCAGGATTCAAATTCTTATAACCACCTGCCCACAATGCATTAACCCCTTATGTAGAGTAATGTCAGCTAGTTATTGAGACATTTTTCTGTCATATTTCCCCAAGAAGCGGTGAGAGAAACTTGTTTTTGTTGATTTTTGGCCCCCTCTCTGTGATACTTCTTATTTCTTTGCCAGTTCTCCTGCCAGTGTAAGCTTTTTCAACAATCAAATACACCAGTCAGTAATGATTTCACCTTAGAAAATGTAAAGTAAACCAAAAAGGAGAAGGATGTTTTGGTAGGGTGCATCTAAGGACAACTAGGACAAGTCTAGTTGTCTAAGGACAAGAAACAGACACAGTTGTAGTAGTTGGTAGTTTAGAAAGTAACCAGGAATGATTTTAGTCAGAGCTAAAATCTGTCTGAAAGAGCTTTAAAGAAGAAAAGAAGTGAAACAATTTCATTTGTTTTGTTCAGTTGCACTCTTACAGGTCTCCAGATTCGTTTTGGTTTATTTCATTCATGCGTCATTGTTACTGATGACAGTTGCTTCATCGGATCTCAAATACATGATCTTTTCGAAAAGATCACACATTTTCTGTGGGATGGGTGCAAAGTGGGAAACAGACTAATGTATAAAAAAATAGTATATTGAGACACACATGCACACTCACTCTCACACATACACACACACACAGTGGGACATACTGTGGTGGCTATGAGTCAGTGAGCACTTGTTAGTGGTCAGGCTCTTTCCCTCCAGTTGGCATGAGCCTCCAGTGACTCAGGGAGACTTGTCGACCAGGAGCCAGAGCGAACAGCCGTGTCAAAATCCACCAAAAGCTGTGGGAAGAAGACACAACTTGTAATAGAAAGCTTCTCACAGTAACACACCGGCTGAATCAGAATGCACCTTTTTAGGTATCTGATTGAAACTACCTCACACGTGTCAGAAGTTGACTTTCATCACTCTTTTTCCAGCTCGAGATCTTAGCAACTCTGCTCACCTCCACGGCCGTGCTGAAAGATTCCTCCGGTGGTGCCGAGATCTGACAGGTTGTTTTGAGTCTCGACTTTTGGAGTTCATTTACAAGCAGTCGGGCAGGAGTCCTGGGGGAGCCTGATGATTTTTGACACCCGGACAAGCAGATGTTCAGAGGACATGAATAAAACATACCGGCCCATCTGACCACAGACTGCAAGCTCTTTGCGAGTGTCTAATGAAAATACGAGGCGTGATTTCAGTTCTCAAAGATAAAAAAAATATCTTTTTGTCAGATTCCTGAGGTGCGCCATGAAATATGTATGACACCTCTGCAGTCTGAGCTGATTGGCTAATCAGGGTTCAGCTGTGGTTATGACAATCAAAGCTGAGACAGGTTCGTCAAAGGATCCACGTGGTGAATGAGCGGGAAGCTGAATGGACCTCTCATTACCAACCCAGAATATAAACAGAAATATTATGTGACCAATGACACTCAAGTGTTTATCAACTGATAAAGCAGCATGTGTGCACGGCGGCGATAAGGTGCTAACCCTCAGTTCTTTTCACGCCTTCTGCTCTTTCAGAATTTGAGTGTTTATTTCTCTTTTCCAGTGAAACGGCTGGGCTCAACGGTTCATCTCAGCAGGGGCAGCAGAGGGAGGGATAACAGAGCGCGTTACCACACCACCCACTCAAAGCTGCTCCTGTACTGTATTTAAGATGGAGAAGCAATCACAATCACACAGGGTGGGACTTAAGGGAACATTTCTTTTCATTCAAGTGGAAATCAAGGTGTGATTAGTGTTTTTTTTCGTTTCCTCTGCTACTTTCAGTTTACAAGGAAACAATTTCTGTGAAACTTTTATTTTGGTTTGTGTGTCAGCACCCTGCTGTTCTTTTTTATTCTACATCTAAAGTGAGTGATAGTTTTCAATGTACTCTACTTGCTCTGAAAGAAGACTTTTTTTTTTAATGAATAAAAGCTCTTCAATTACGGCTAAACTTAGCACTTCCCACTTGAGGGAAAAAACAAGATAAGTGAAAATTAAGATAAAACAGATTAATCAGAGCAACGAAAACATTTCTGGTAACTGTGATGGTTAAGATTTTAGCTGCGACACACAAAATGGGAGTCCTTCTCGCCGGGGAAGCTTCAAGCAGAGATCCACACATTTGAGTTATTCTGTTTAACCATGCTGCTTGTTGTTATCATCAGATCTCAACTTAAATATTATGTGATCTCAAAATTATAATAACACAATCTTGAGTAAAGAAGCTAGTTTTCTGGTCATAAAACTACACTAAACTATTCTGATAACACTATACCTAAAAAGCTGGTCATTGTAAAAAGCCAAATCCTAGTGGGAACCTCCAGTTTTAGGAAAAAGAGCAAATGCA